TATTGCTTTTTCGTTTTGAGTATTGTCTTTATAAAACACTCTTTGAATTGGTGTTGTATTTCTTATTTATTTACATAATTATACTTATTAGAGATCTATTTAGTTCTGTTGGGTTCTATATTATATATGTCAAGGCTGGGGAGCGTTTTTTCTAACTACAAAGTGAAGGTGCCAAGCCAAACCTGGTACCGACTCAAACCGAGACAAACATGTATCGAGAGATAAACTATACAGTCACATCCGGCGTGTTGAAATAAGATTGTATGCTAGATGTGATTCATCATAAATTTGCTAAAGGTACACAATTTCAGAATAAAAGGTAAATATAGACTTTAGTCCACACACGGTAAAAAGTAGTCTAATTAAAAATAATATTGGTCCTGAAATTTGATAACACTTGTCACTCAGTCCTAACGTTATGGCGATCTAAATTTTCCACTTAATCAAGAGCTAACAAAGATTTACTTAACATCTCGAGGTTTTAGACTAGAAATTAGTAGATATGTGATGGGGGCCCCCAAACGCATCAGAGAGCCGTATTAATTGGTGTGGTAACACATCCGGAGTGCATCCACGAAACCTGTGTCACAATGTTCCTTAGGATTGCCAATGACAATATAATTAATCCTTTTTGGCGATTAACCGACTTCTGAGTAGGTCAAAGGCCACAATTGGTCGGCCACGCCCTTCTACCCCAAATGCATATTTCAGTACAAGGCAAGCACACAATGGGTATCAAACTATTCCTTGGGGATCCCTATGGCAATATGAATCCCTCTAGGTGGCCAATTTTGAGAAATTAACCCGCTTGTGAGTACGTCAAAGGTCACCAGTTCGGCCACGCCCAATCTACCTTTAATGGAAATCTCAGTACAAGCACAAATTGAATATCAAACTGTTTCTTAGGACCCTCTAGGGCAATATGAATCCTTCCGAGTGGTAAAATTTAGGAATTAACCCGATTCTAGTCGGCCATGCATATCTCAGTACATACCCTCTGTACAAGCACAAAAGGGGTATCAAACTGTTCTTTTGGACCCCGATAGCCACGGAGGCTCAGTGAGTAAGACGTTGGCTCGCTGTCCGGGAGGTTCCGTGTTCGATACCTGCGTTGGGACGAAACACTGAGGTTCCGTGTACACATTGGCAGTTGGAATTCGATATAAGAGTAAGCCGTAGCGTCACTCTCCGAGCAAGATTTGATTTCCCTCATAGCACGTATGGCGTATGTCCGTCTTCATTAGCCCAGTGGGAGCAGAACAGTAGGACGTTAAAACCCCATTTCATTTCCTTGCGAACCCTGCCCCCCCCCCCCTCCGCCTATCTCGGTACAGGCACAAAATGGGTATCAAATTATTCCTTGCGTCCTGGGGGTAAATAAAAATCCTCCTTTAGTAGACAATTTGGGGGATTAACCCTCTTCTAGGTCAATGTGAACAGGGTCCAAAAAGTATTACTTAAGAGTTTCATTTTGGGGGGTGCCCATCACATATCTACTAATTTCAGCCCTCAAACCTTTTGTACCCGAGATGTTCATTAAATCTGTCCTAGCTTCTGGAATATTATGTTAACGCTAGATCATTGCGGGTCTTTATTCTGGCTTCATTAAGTGTTATATAAACAAGCCAACAGTGAGGCTGATGTCCCCCGCCGAAATCCCAAAATAAATAGAGAGAGAGAAATGGGGTTCAACGTCCACTCGACACAAACTAGGTCATTTCGGGACTAACATATGTTTTTTAAAAATTTTATTTCAATAATTCACTTGCGCGTAGGGGTCTTTAGCAGTGGGAGGAAACCAGAGGACCCGGAGAAAACCCACGAGGTTGGACAGGCGACCCTACTCCAATTGTCATGTACAACCGGGGACTCAATGACAGACTTTATGATACAGCGCGCACACGCTAACCCACCCCCTTCAAAATAAATAGATGACACATATTAATTAATCGCACATCTATTTTTTTTCAAAAGTATCAAGCAATCAAACTGATTATCAACTATACACTAAGTTTCATCACTCTCTATCCGATAGAATCAAAGTTATCTTGTCCCAAAGCATCGATCAATGAAATTGCTTAGCTCTGTTTAGCTTTAGTTCGAAATGTTAATCATTGAACTCAGTCAAGACATTTGCCTAATGAACATCAATATCAAGTTTAAACATTCTACCTCAATTAAAAGCGGAGTTGTAATGTTCCAAAGTCTTGACCAATCAGATTGCCTATCAATCCTTAGCCTAAGGAGAAAATTCTCATCACCAAACTTAGTCAAGGTAATGATAAAATGAATCTATACTCGGAGTTTCATCACTCACAATTAAAACCAAGGTTATTGACCCCGATGCATCAACCAATCAGATTTCTTATCTCTGCTTACCGTAAGCAGACGATGTTTATCATCGAACTCCATCAATACATTCACCTACTAGCTCAATTCGAAAGAGGGTTATTGTGTCCCAAAAAGTGTGACAGACGAACCCATTTTAATAGCCCCTTGGTTTCTTCGAAAGGCGGGGGACAATTATTATTTAAACATATAGGAGAGAGGTCATATAGGCTATGTCTGTTCCTCAATTCATTCAATCTAATTAAAATATAGATCTATATTTCGTTTCGTTTTTTTATACTTTCGATGGTCTACACTACATGTAGTGTAGTAAAGACAAGTAAAATCGAAATTTTGAACTATAAAAACGAAACGAAATTGGATCTGTGTTTTAATCAGATTGCAACCCCTTTTAATTTCTGAATAAAATATTGTATAAAAAAAAGCAAAAAAAAAAGCTTATATTAAAACAATCAATTCTCTGGGTCATCGAGTGGTCCCGAATTTAAGTAGATTAGAACACCGTGGTCATTTAAGTATAAAATAGATAAACGAGACTGTCAAGTGACGTTGCTACGATAATTTTACTCAAATTTTTTTGAACTAATATAGCATGAACGGCCATCTTTAAGCGGGGATTTGTAATTCAATTCGAATATTTTTCGATCTTCTAAAAAAATTTTTTTTATTAAATGAGTCAGCAATTCTTTGGTATTTTTAAATGATAGTAGCTTGAACTGCAATTTTTTACGTTTAGCTGGACGAATTACACGGTTTCATTTTTTGTTTTGTTTTGTTATCACAAAATATCTGACGCTGATTTTCAAGTTGTGAATGGCGCACTACATCCTGCACATCGACGAAACTCCTTTTCATGGCGCACCTGTCCATTATACCACGGGGCACTTATTCTTAGCCGCCCGTCTGCATAAACCCAGTCTGTTCAGAACCGTAGAACGTTAAACTCCATTCCATTTTCCATTTAATCATAAACAGTTTACCTGTTTTGCTATAGCTGGAGTATGTCAAGTAACATTCTTTGGATAGCGCGATTCGTTCGTGTAGAGATGTGTATATAGTTCGACCACTTCTCGTCTATGCGGACCATAGATCAACCCCCAGATAACTGTTTATCAATTTCAAATAACAATTGGATTAGATTTGAATCAATTGCTCTTCGAGATTACACCAGCGGCTGCCAGGCAAGATACGCCCACATTTTCGAGAGATGGATAGAGAACAGGCTAAAAAGAAAGTGATTTTTCCTACAATCAAGGGCCAGAATTCATGAAGTTACAATTCGATATGCGTAAATATCGAAATGAACCAAGATCTTTGGGTTATAAACATGCATTTCAAGTTTCATCAAAATCGGATTAAAATTGTGACCTCTACAGGGGCCACAACCTTGATAACCATATTTTTACACTATTTGCATCCAACAGCGGCCATTTTGTCCAACAGTTTTGGTCCAATTTTCACGAAATTCGAACTGAACCTTTATTACGGTGTAAAAGTGATATATTCCAACGGTTTTTAAAATTTGATAATAACCGTGACCTTCAGAGGGACCACACGCTAAAAAAAGCTATTTTTCGTATAATCAGGTGCCATAATTCAGGACGTTACGATCTGATATGCGCAAATATCGAAAAGACCTAAGATATTTGAGGTATAAACATGCATTTCAAGTTTCATCAAAATCGGATTAAAATTGTGACCTCTAAAGGGTCCACAACCTTGATATACCACAGTTTTACACTATTCGCGTACAAGCGGCGGCCGTTTTGTTCAGCAATTTTGGTCCGATGTTCACGACATTCGAACTCAACCTTCATTACATTGTAACGGTGTTATAATCAAACTTTTTTTTATATATCGGGTAATAATTTTGACCTCCAGAGGGACCAAAAGCTAATAAAGGCGATTTTTCGTACAGTCAGGGGCCATAATTCAGGAAGTTACAATCTGATATGCGCAAATATCGAAAGGAACCAAGATCTTTAGGTTATAAACATGCATTTCAAGTTTCATCAAAATCGAATTAAAATTGAGACCTCTACAGGGTCCACAACCTTGATATACCATATTTTTTACACTATTCGCGTACAAGCGGCGGCCATTTTGTCTGGCAATTTTGGTCCGATTTTCACGAAATTCGAACTCAACCTTCATTACGGTGTAACGGTGATATAATCAAACGTTTTTTTTAAGTCGGATAAAAATTGTGACCTCTGGAGAGACCACACGCCGAAAACGCGATTTTTCGTACAATCAGGGGCCATAATTCAGGAAGTTACGATCCGATATGCGCGAATATCAACAGGAACCAAGATCTTTGGGTTATAAACATGCATTTCAAGTTTCATCAAAATCAGATCAAAATTGTGACCTCTAGCGTGTCCACAAGCTAAAAACGCGATTTTTCGTACAATCAGGGGCCATAATCTACGAAGTTACGGTCCGATACATGCCAATATCGAATGGAACCGAGATCTTGGGGAGATAAACCTATATTTCAAGTTTCGTTGAAAACGGATAAAAATTGTGACTTGCAGAGTGTCCAGAAACAAATAGAGGACGGACGTCCGGACGGACAAACGGGCGACGACAATATTATAATTACGTCCACATGAAAATGTGGGCGTATAAAAATACACTCAAACCAGATTAGAAAATGTAATCTTTAATATGAATATCTCCTCAACAAAAAGTGAACATTTAATCTAACAAATAACAAATTAAGAATGGTTTAAGATCATGGCAATTTTGTAAGTAAGGAAGATTCGTCCTTGATAAGTATTAACAAAACCGTTTTTAAGGCTACGTCAGGTTACCCAACTTTAGACTGCTGACGTTATGAGTTCCAAGTCGCCCGATTTAATAATCTTAACACTAATGGCGATTCCACTTTGAGTGTTTACGGCTGTAGTTTTAAGTCAATATGTTGGTCAAATAATGCACAAATAAATGGCTATGTAAAACCAGCACAATATAATCCATCGCGGATTCTGTCTATTTATGATTTTCTGTAATGCAATAGTCAAATGAACTTGACCGCCACCAACCTCATCCATGATCAAATGGGAAAATTGGATCCAATTTCCAATCCTTGTAAACACGACACAAGAAACAAGATTCGCGGTTGGTTGTCTTTTGTTACGTCACGATTCAAATTATAGGCCATGTGACAGTACCGAGACTGAACTCGACTGTACATCATCACACATAACTTTACGGGATCACAATCGAGCATCACAACGATCATAATTATAAAGGGGTAACCCACAATTTTCTCAGCAAATTATCCATTCATGTCAACTAAGTAAACAAAAATAAATTATACATTAAAATTCCTGTACATAATTATTTCTCTACAGTATGCATAGTTATCTTTTAGTTAAATTACAATTAAGTGTATTATTTACACATTATACATAATGAACAACTATATACACGATGTACTAGTATACACTATACCAGACAAAATGGCGAATCAATTTACAAAAATATAAATACGGGGGAATGAATAAAAAATATATAATGGGACAGATAACGCGACAAACCATAATCGGATATAAGAATTCCCAAATATTTTCTTCCATTCTCTCTTAATGGTAATAACCAATGAATATAAGAGACAAATTTGGGTTGCTTCTAATTAAGATCAATTAACCATGAACAACTAACCAGGCGCGGGTCTATACAGCTTAGAACTCCCTCTCCCCTTGCTCAGAATCAACTTTGGGGGCTCGGAGTCCGAAATGAGAAATGGTATCGATAGCGTTCTATTTTTCTAACTTTTCATGGAGGGGGTGGGGCTTCAATATGGAGGGAGATCTAACCCCTGGATCCCTCTCGGTTGAAATCCTTGACCCACACACTTCTAAAGCTTCGAGTTAGATTAGAAAGTGATTCAGATCGGGCTCACTACTCAGTTCATAATTTTAATATTACTTAAATCGACTGATTTGAGAATAAATAAATAAACATAAATAACAGTAAAAGGAGATCAGTCAGTTAATAATATCTATCACACACCATAAACTTCCAATCAATTGGCATAGTAATTCCGACTTTAATAAAATATCTGTCGAGGCAATCTGAACACATAATTTACAACCGATCACGTGATTTAGGGTAAATATTATGTACATGTATGCGTTACAGTCAGTATCTACAGACCCTTCCAACTAAATCACCATGGAAATTCTAAAAACCGGATTTACTCAAGATACACAGCTAAAAACTGAACATCTTCAATTCTAACTGTTAGTATTATGCGAAAGTAATGCTTGGTTTGCCAAGGCTAGAAGGTTTTTAGCAGCTTCTTTTTCTGGACTCTGAACTGCATTGAGAGGACTATTTCGATTTTCATCGCGTGTGCCAGCTCCGTTACTAACCGTAGTGTTTGTAGGAGTTATTGCTGTAGGCTGGTGTGTAACACATTGCTCATATTCACTACTGATTTCAGAAACATTGTTTTGGGCTTTTAACAGTTGTGTATTTTCGCTTACCACAGACATAGATTCCGCGACAAAAGTAACAGCGTTAGTTGTTTGCCTTGCTACCGGCGACACCGAGCATATTTTTGTGGTGCAGTTAATGTTTGATTCAGGAACATTGGAACTACTTTGGAAACTAAAAGGGTTGGTTTCTCTGTTGTGATTGGAATTTTTCTGATCCATAATAGTACTGTAACCAGTTGTTTTTTCTACAGAAAATGTAACAATTTCGTTTACTGCGGGTGTGCTGTTAGTTGACATCTCTGGTTTGTTTTGGTTGTAATTGGTTTGCACAAGAGTTTCTGTTCGGGTTGAAAGAACTGGAGCTTGAAGACGGTTGGTTAAATTAGGCGTTAAGTTTTTAAACGGGGTCGTGACTAGTTTAGAGCTAATAGAATAGGGAAATGAAGACACACTGAGTCCACCTTTATCCACTTTTGGGGGTTTAGTGTCTGGTGGGGGAACCGGTGTTGAACTAATTAAATTAGTTAAACTTTGCGGAACCTTGGACAGTGGTGTCCATGAAGTCTCCGGGAGTAGAATTTTATCGGATATTGACGACTTTGGAAGAGATATACCTGGCATATCTGTCTTCTCACTGATTACTTTGGAGCTGATTGAGTAAGGAAATGAAGACACGCTGTGTACATCTTTATCTACTTTGGATGGTTTCATGTCTAGTAAAGGAGCCGAGACTGAACTAATTAAATTAGTCAATGATGGCGGAACATTGGACAATAGTGTTTCTTTCTTGAGGGGTGTTGTCAGGACTTTGCCAGATACGGAGGTTTTCGGGGGAGATATGTTAGGTATTTCTGACTTTCCGCCGACTGAGACGGGTATTTCGTAATTATCACCTTGGGCTGCAGATGGTGCCCGAACAGTTAGAGTCTGGCTGCCGATCTGTATGGTAGCTTGTTGAACAATCTTTAAGACTCCTTGGTCCACGGTCACAGGAACACCTTGGGCCGTCATCAACTGACCACCAATATTATACAACAGGAGCTTCTGCTGCTTGCCTGGCGATTCTGTGCTTGGTTTGAGTCCTAAAACCTCTGTTTTCTTAGCTCCATCAACGGAAATATGGCTTATGGTTGGAGAAGTTTTCATTGGTGTCATCTTTTCTGGTGATATTTTTGAGGGAAGGCCTACTTTATTTGGATCCTGCTCTGACTCTTGAAGATCTGACACTGCCAACTGAACTATCTTTGTGGCAGAATTCATTTTAGGGTTTTCCTTTTTTCCCTTTGGCCAAACTACATGTGTTTTTACACCGTCGTCTACCGGGTTTAGTGGTACCTGTATGATCTTTGATGCGCCTAGCTGCTGGGAAACAGAGTTCTTGCCAACTGGTGAAGCAGCAGAACTATGTGGTGTTGGAATTGGTTTGTTCTGAATTCCAGCATGAGGACTCTGCACTACAGTACTATTTGGGATAGAAATACTCAATGGTGTTTGAAGCTGCATTGGTGTTTTAATTGATGATACCGAGTTTTGTGTTGGGGCTGGGGATCTTAAAATATTCATAATTGGTTGTGATGTTAACCCTAGTTTATTACCGGTGACATTTAGATGAAACTGAACCTGTTGGTTATTTACTGATGCTGCAGGTGCTACCGATACTCCAGGCGATACTGGAACAACAGGTACTACAGGTCTGACTGGTCTGACAGTTTGAAGACCCTGAAGTTGCTGTAAAAGTTGCTGACTGTTGATTGTTGGATTTTGCGTAAGCTGGATTCCCTGAGTGGCGCCACTGGGTGATAACAGTACTGTTTGGGGCAGTACTTTTGAAGCTGTTGTTACTTTAGCTATGTTGGACTGTTGATTTAGCTGATTAAGCAATCCTTGATTCAGACAAATATCTTGGTTACTAATACTGCCACTCTTGACACCAATACTTCCTTGTGGAACTTGAATCAATTGTCCAGTTGGAAGTCGCAGCATATTTTGTGGGAACTGAGAAACTCCTGGCTGTCCAAGAATTTGTACTCCCATTGTTTTAGATCCAGCTGGCAACTGTATCTTTTGTTGGTCTGCTGCAATCTGACGAACTAAATTGGCTGCTGGCATGGTGGATGTATTATTTTGTGGGATAGCGAATTTGGAGACTTGTTTCGGTACTGAATTTGCTACCTGAAGTACTGGAGTTGAAGGAGATTTCAGTTGAATTGTCTTTGTTGAATTAAGTGTGTTTGGTAATACTGCACCCAAAGGCATTGCCTGACCTGAGCCTAAGATAATCTGATTTGGGTTGCCAGCAACTTTCTGTAGCTGAACATGTTGAACTGGGCCTTTATTACCTGGCTGTACAATAAAGTAATTTCCCGGAGGTTGTATGGTCATCATTGGTGTACCCGCGGCTGCTGTTGTTGCAATATTAGTCAATGGTTTCGGTGATAATAAGGCAGAATTCTGATTCTGAAAGGACTGTGAAGCAGCTGAAAAGGTCATAGGTGAAATACTTGAGGCAATGGCTGTTGTCGTATGAGCTGTAGAACCTGCAATGGCAGATTTTGAAGCCTGTAATATAACTGATCCTGTTGAACTTGGTAACATATTACTAGGTATCTGAAGTCCTTGGGGTGTCAAGTATCCTTGGATAATGCCTGGTGACGAAGACAGCAGATTCTGGGGAACAACATTGTGTTTTGTTGGTTGGCCTTGCAGTAAAATGGTTTTAGCATCAACTGACTTTGTTTGAAGTATCAATCCTGATTTAGAAGCAACAGTTTGCACAAGTCCTGTATTTGAGGCAACAGTCGGGTGTGCTATCACAGTTTGCCGTGTTGAAGAGTTCACTAGGCTCGTAATTGGTGTGGTCGAAGAGACTGTAGAGCTAACTCCATGGGTTCCCAATTTTCCTTTGTCAAGTTTTGTTGTAACAGAGATCGGAGCATTAATCATCTGTATTGTACGAGTGATGTTCTTTCTGGGTTGTATCAATGGAAGTGTCACCGGGGGTGGAACTTTGATATTTACAGTTGGTAATGAAGTACTAATTGATGAGGCTGGTATAGAACCTTGTAATATTTTTGCAACAACTTTACTTGGACTCATCCCATCAGTGTTTGTTTGATCAGGAGAAAATGTTTCCATTTCAACTGATGTAGAACTATTAGTAGAGGTTCCATGTGATTCAGGTTTTTTAGCTGCTCTATTCTCTAACAGAGCTTTGACAGTCACATTACTAGCATACTTCTGAACAGGGGAGGTTTTGCATGGTGACAGCATGGTAGAAGTGGTGCATGTGTTTGATGAAGTAGCTTGTAATGAATGAACTAAAGCACTAGTTGATGAAGTTGTTAAAGGCACAATGTATGGACTAGAGGTTGTTTGGACAGAAGTTATTGGAGGTCCTGGCGTGGATACAGCCGTTGGGGTAATGACTAATGGTCCTTTTGCAGGAGATGTGCTAGTTTCTGACTTCATTGGTGTGGTTAGTTGGATGGGAGCTGCCAGAACTAACTGAGTCTCTCCTTTGGAGTTCTGTTGTATTTTGATGGTTTGGTTTTTAATGAGCTGCTGCAGAAGACCTGCTGGTAATGATGCTAAGTTGGTTATTTGTGGTTTTGTTTTATTAGGAGGTATGTTTTGTTGATTAGTGATAACATATTGGATTCTAGGCTGAGATGAAGAACTTGTTGCAGCAGTTCCTGTTTTGGATGTTTGTAAATTTAATAAAGATGAGTTGATTAAGGTAGGTGGAGCTTTGGTTCCTGTTTGTTTAGACAACAACTGTTGTATAACAGGATGAGATGTTGATTTCTGTGGCAATGTACCAGGAACAACTTGTCTGACTGTTGGTGTATTCACCGACATCCTCAACAGTTGACTAGCAGTCTGAGGCTGATTTGCCATTCTGATAGCTATTGTGTGACCCATGGATGTTGGTTGCAAAGTTAAAGACTGTGGCGATGCAACTCCAGGCACTGAAAAAGGAACATAACAATTCAGTTAGGATTGCAATTCAAGCAATGTCTAAGAAATAAATGTATGATTCAATCACTAGATATCTATACAATAATCTACTATTACTTAAGGGGTACTTTTTATATTTCCTGGTTGTTTTTTTACTTTTCCTGGTTATTCATAGTGCTACTGTGAATTTAAAGCTAAATGTAAATAATCCTCACCTGGAGATTTAACTTGACGTAATATATTTGGTACATGACTAGGCACTGGTTCTTCCTTTTTAATAATCTTTTTCTTCTTGATACTTTCTTCACTATTGTTGGGAATAATTCTCCGCTTGCGTAACCTACCCCTGGAACTGACATCATAGTCATCTTCGTCTATCTCAATTTCTTCAACCTTAATGGCTTTTTCCTTTGGTTCCGGTTTTTCTTTCTTTACAGATAGATCTTGTTGATCTTCCACTTCAGATGAATCATTTTCCTCATCAGAAGAATCCACATTAGAGGATGTTTCAGACTCACTCTCCCATTTCTGAGAAAAGAAAATTGTTGTTTTGTTTTATTTATTTTCCTAATTAGAGGAACAACTCTGATATTAGGCATATCTTCTTTAAATGAATGTTTCTGGTTAATTAGGGCACTGAAAATTAGAGGTTCTTAATTACCAGGAAAACTAAAATAATGGACCTAGGATATTTATCAAGCTGGTAAAAATAGTATTTCTGTCTATTAACCGGTAAAATGATGATCATTTAAATAAAGACGGACGATCAAAAAACGTCATCATGAGATAAGGGGAGATAATTAGGATTGGTATATATTCATAGTGTTAGTTCCTTGAAATATTTCTGGTTATCCAAAAGAAGGGGTAATAAAAGTTACAGGGTATACAACTATAGGGAGAATTTACATGTAGCTGAGAGAATTTGTTTCAATAAGCAATGTAACATTGTATATATATAGTTATTACAGGACCAACTTATTTTGCTCTTCAAATACATCTAACTACTTACACCTGATGCTTCTTCTTCAACATAGTCTTCAAATTCTCTTCGAATTTTAACTCTGGCTTTTCTCATTGCAGCATTCAACTTTGACTCCCATGGTTCAAGCTCATTGAGTAGGAAAGCCAGTCTATCGTGTAAATCAACAATACATTTCTTTCTTGGTGGCGGCTGTACTATCTATAAAATATGAATGGTGAACAATGTATTAAAGTGGTATTGTACAATCACTATAGATTTAAACCCAGTATCACCTTTCTCTGTCAAATCAAAGAATTTCTTTAAAGTTGGGGACCAAGCTCAAAATTTTCCACTTTAAGGGGGGAGGCTATCCGAAAAATTTTGTTCTGAAATGTTAAAGCTGTTGAATTGAAAACAGTACAAGTAGTTAGAAAATGTAATAAAGAAGGGAAAATTAACATTAAAAAAAAAGTTGTTGCCATGGTAACTCATTTTTTGGGAAAAAATTATGAAAAACGTAGGTACGCTATATCTCTGTAACTAATTAAGATATCTTCGCCAAATTTGCAGGGTATATAAACTAATATCTACCACAGAATCAGACAGAAAGCAATTTGAATTATAATTAATATTTCAAAAGTTATCGAAATATTTCTCCAAAGGCAAAATATTGTAGTGAGGCAAATGTTTTAAACATCATTTTCCAAGAAACTATAAAAATTAAAGAGAAAAACTCTCTGCCTGGTTTTAGGGTTATCATTAAACAATAAGCAGTCCGAAAATGAGACATTTATCTTTATTATTATCAGAGATATGGTGTACCTACGTTTTTCATACTTTTTTTCTTTTTTTTTAATGTTAGTTTTCCCTTGTTTATTACATTTTCCAACTACTTGTGCCATCTTTAATTCACTAGCTTTAGAATTTCAGAAAGCATTTTTCGGGTAGCCTCACCCCTTAAGTAATTTGTGAAGGGTTTTGCTATGTACTTTGACAAAATTGTTTGTCTTTGTCACATTCTCTTTGTTCTACCTTTTGTTGGGTACCAGTAGTTGGAATTCACTGTCTACTAGGATCATACAGTACAGTTAAGATAGACTGCTAGGTAACAAAACATACGCCCACCACCACAGCTAAATCATCCGGGCAGTCAACAACGGTTGTCGCATATTTATTCTTCACTGGGCACTAGGTAATGGGAGTATTTACAAGACACTAATATCAATTCAATACAGATCAGCACACTGATCAGCAGTGAATTTTCGCTAGGCCGCTATAATCACTGATAAGGATGACATCGATGCGATTTAATGAGCCAGAAACATTAATTTTTTTCCTGCGACAAATTAAATTCTAAAACATTTTTTTTTATGTATTAGAAAAATAAATAATGGCGTTTGACGTATTTGTAGGTAAAAATTACTTCCTATTTAGTGGCAATCGGTATTAAAATGAGTAAAAGTCTCCATTCTGCCCGAACTAGAACGTCTTATGTAAACAATGCACGTGCCATTGAGCCAATGATTGACGCCGCATGATGAGACGTCACGTGTTAAAGGTAGTCATCTTTTACAGAGATATTAGAAGACTTTCATAATCCTTGGTGAAACAGATCGACAGCAGATGATGGCTTTTGTAATTTGAGCATTCACAAGGTTCTACAAAGGGCCATAACTCTAGAAGTAATTACAGTAATAGAAATTGTTGAAATTCGCTAGGTTTCTTCTTTTTACTGATTTGAATATGGCTTATAAATTTCATACAGATTGGATGATAAATTTTGTCGTAGGGGTGTTCACAAAGTGAAAAAAGGGCCATAATACAAGAAGTAATAAACAGAAATTGTTACAAGGTTCTACAAAGGGCCATAACTCTAGAAGTAATTACAGTAATAGAAATTGTTGAAATTCGCTAGGTTTCTTCTTTTTACTGATTTGAATATGGCTTATAAATTTCATACAGATTGGATGATAAATTTTGTCGTAGGGGTGTTCACAAAGTGAAAAAAGGGCCATAATACAAGAAGTAATAAACAGAAATTGTTAAAATTTGATAGGCTTTTTCGCCACACCAATGTAAACAATCTATATAAATTTCAAAGCGATTGGATGATAATTTGATGATAATTTTTAAAACAAGCCAACAGTGAGGCTGATGTCCCCCGCCGAAATCCCAAAATAAAAAGATGACACATATTAATTAATCGTACATTTATTTTTTTTCAAAAGTATCAAGCAATCAAAATATACACTAAGTTTCACCACTCTCTATCCGATAGAATCAAAGTTATCTTGTCCCAAAGCATCGACCAATGAAATTGATTAGCTCTGCTTAGCTTCAGCTCGAAATGTTAATCATTGAACTCAGTCAAGACATTCACCTAATGAACATCTACATCAAGTTTAAACTTTCTACCTCTATTAAAAGCAGAGTTGTTATGTTCCAAAGTCTTGACCAATCAAATTGCTCTTCGCTCCTTAGCCTAAACAGAAAATTCTCATTATCGAAATTAGTCAAGGTAATAATATGATAAAACTATACACCAAGTGTCTCACTTAATTAGAACTAAAGTTATTGTGTCCCAAAGCATCAACCAATCAAATTGCTTTTCTCTGCTTACCCTAAGCAGACAATTCTCATCTTCGAACTCCATCAAGGCATTCATCTAATAAACACCTACCCCAAGTGTGAACATTCTTGCTCAATAAGAAAGAGAGTAATTGTGTTCCAAAGTCTCAACCAATAAAATTGCTTATCGCTCTGCTTACCCTGAGCAGAAAATGCTCATTATCGAACTTAGTCAAGGTATTGATGTAATAAAACTATACACCAAATTTCATTACTCTCACTTAATTACAACTAAAGTTATCGTGTCCCAAAGCATCAACCAATCAAATTGCTCATCTGTGCTTACCCTATGAAGAAAACGCTCATCTTCGAACACCATCAAGGCACTGACCTAATAAACACCTACACCAATTTTGAAAATGCTCATCTTCGAACTCCATCAAGACATTGGCCTAATAAACACCTACACCAAGTTTGAACATTCTAGCTTCATTAGAAGGAGAGTTATTGTGTCCCAAAAAGTGTGACGGACAGACGGACAGACGGACGGACCCATTTTAATAGTCCCCTGCTTTCTTCGAAAGGAGGGGGACAATAATTGGAAGATAAATGTAGTCTGTAGAATGTTCACAAGAAATTGTGGATGACGGATGGACTGATAGAGTACGAGCATATATATCTCAGACTATGTGAGAAACTTCCAATCAATAGAAACAGGTAACACAAACCAATTACAGACGGTTTGATGGGATCAATTTTGACTAAGTCAAAATGATGCATTTGATATTCAGATAAGTTGATATACGATCATACATGTAGGAATGATGACGTCATGGAATTGGATACATAACATGAAAGGTTAGCTAAGGTAAAATTTTACAAGCAAAGAAAATTATGCATGATTATTAATGATTTTGAAACCCCCTGGATTTAAAGATAGGTTCCCAGAAAAGTATTTATCGGGTGGTTATTTCCAATAAAAGTATGGCAATTTTGGTATATATGGAAAGTAGAGATATCCAATCTTACTAGAAAAATACTGGATTCCCTGAAAAACACTCATGGAGCGTATACAGGACAAAAAATGTCAGGGTTCCCCTAATCAACAGCCTGACGATTAGGAATATCTGCACGCGTGACGTCAAAGGTTGCACGCGTGGAGATTGAGCGCTTGATCTACATGTTGATAAACTTTATGAAGAGTTAGACGTACAACACTTTCTGAGATAAAAATCACGGAAAAAGACGCGGGCAGTGGATAATCCGAGAATTGAATTAGGATTCGATATTTGTAATAAATAGTCAGTGATTAAAGACAACATTGTCTTGTGTGTGCAATGAATTCTCCTCCGACTTCGCACCTGTAAGTCACGTGACACAGACATGACCTCTTTTGATCGATTTTTTATAGTAAGGGTATTCCTTGACAATTACAATGTTTTGAGAAGGATTTGAAACAAATTTATGATAAATTAATTAGTTTGAATATGTTTTCAGGCCAAATATATCATCAAATCACCCAGTTTGTATGTGGGAATAGATCTTTAACTCATTTAAACCATTAGGACAAACTGTGGATTCATAGACTTGATTCAGTTTGGCCTAACGGTTTAAATGAGTTAAATCCAGGGGGTTTCAAAATCATTCATAATCATCCATAATTTTCCTTACTTGTAAAATTTTACCTTCATTATAAGCTAACCTTTTATGTTATGTATCTAAGTCCATTATGTCATCATTCCAATGATGTCATAACTTCCTATGATGTCATAACTTCCTATGATGTCATAACTGAAGAAGTTAGTATTTTTACTGAGGAAACATTGGATAAAACAATGTTTTTTTGATATTGTATTCTGTTAATTATCATATCTCTATGTGGACGTATAAAAATGATTATTTGCTTGATTTGTGGACACTGAATGCTCATTTTACTACGGTACTGAAATAGTTTTCATTGTCAGTCAGACAGCATCTAGGAATACATATAAGTACATATAATCTATATAAGATAGTTAATCAAATAGTCAGTAAGATAATTAAATAATTTGATATATATATTTGAAGTAATCACTGATCTGTGAAAAACATGGATATCTTTATTTTAACACCGATTTGGATCGACAGTGTTAATTTTGATATCAGGTGTACATGTAGGTACAAATAAGTGTTATTAGCATATAAATACATGTATTTGATTGAAGTATTTACCTTCTCTTTCTTGCCTCGCTTCATAACAATAGGTTCTTGTTCAGCATATTTATCAACAAGTTGTCTTAAATCATCTACATTATCACATATCATCAAAAATGGCCCTAACTCAGGTTCCTGAAATAAAGGGGTTTAAAACTCAGTTCCAGGCATAGATTTACATTTTGGATAATCCAGGGTTTCAGTTTACAGTTATAGAGCGTTTTACATATATATCTTATTCTACGAGATGGAACAAGTCAATATATTACAGGAGTTGAGTTTAGTATCTATACTAATATTTGTGACTGTCGTTTGTATGTCTGTCTGTCTGTTCGGGGTTGGCGGCTACACTAGGTCTGACCGGGTCTGAAATTTGGGGTATATGGGTAGCTTGGACCTGGGAGTAACTTAGGCCAGGTGGCGTTAGTCTACCACTTCCGGTTTCGGGGTTATGACCCCCGGGCTGTAAGGGGTTGGCGGCTACACTAGTTCTGCCCCGAGTCTGAAATTTGGGGTATAGGGGTAGCTCGGACCGGGGAGTAACATAGGCCAGGTGGCGTTAGTCTACCACATCCGGTTTTGGGGTTATGACCCCCGAGCGAAGTCGGGCATTCTGCTAGTACATTATAAAAGGAACATAGAATAAGCTAATCTTGATGATATGGCAATAACTTGCATTTTATGCCAGTATGAGTTTGATTAACTTGTATTTTATGTTGCTACACCATTTTGATTAACTTGTACTTTATGTTGCTACACAAATTTCATTACCTTGTATTTTATTTTGATACATGAGTTTGATTCACATACTATAATTTACAATGTACATGTACACTGAAATATAAATATGCGTTCACATCAATATCGAGGTCCAAAAAATCTGAATTTTGATCGGGTTCTTCCTTCTGTAACAAGGAACTATTTGGACAAGATTTCATACAACTGAATGTGAACAGGAAATGTTGAATAAAATCCCACATTTCTCCCTTTCAACTATATTGCATTCACAAGCTTTAAATTGTATTTTGTAGATGGTTGATAACTCTTTAAACTCTACCTTCTTATGCCCCCCATAATTAAAAACTCTGGCCTGTATTTTTTTCACAAGATTTAATTTGCTATCGAAAAATTTGGAATTTCAATAGATTATGTACTTATGGCCTGATGATAAATCTACCAAGACCAATGGGCCCTGTTTCTCGAAATCTTAACTAAAGATAAAATCCAAATTTAGTAGATACTTCAATTTTGATTGGCTAAGCACTAAAATCAATCTAATATTATCCAATCATTTTACTAAAATTTGGATTTCATCTTAGTTAAAATTTTGTGAAACAGGCCCCTGACTGACTGACAGTGACAACAAATGATGTCAACATTAAATAGGGGCTCAATACATAAACTATTCACCAATTCTTCTTCTTCTTCCTCTTCTTCATTTTCCATCTTTTCTTCTTTTATTTCCCCTTTACTCCCTTCCGTTTTCTCTTCACTTTCTTCATCTTTATTTCCATCTTTAATTTCTATTTTAATTTCTGTATTTTCATCAGCTTTAATTTCATTTGATGGAGTACTGTCTGTTTCCATGGTAAGGATATGTTTGCTATCGTCTTTCTCTATTTTTATATCACCATCAGAACATTTCTCTTTTACACAAGTTTCTGATTGTCCCAAATCAGTTTCTTTCTTCACATAAACTATTTCTGGCTTTTTTATTTCTCTTCCTTCATTTTGTTTCCATATGTTTTTGCTACCTGATGGTTCATCCCTCGCATCAATTTCTAATTTCATGTCTTTGATTATTTCTGACACTTGTTTAGGTATTTCTAGTTCACTATTCAGGTCAGTATCGAACGGTTCTGTTTTTATTTGTTGTTGGATAACACTATCTCTATCTAAATTGTCAACATCGCATTCAGAATTATTTACATTAGCAGAAATATTGGAGTCTGGCTTATTGTGAAAATTATCACATATATGTTCACTAGAAGTCTGACACGTCTGTTTGACTTGATTAACCAGTTCAGAATTACACTTATCAAATTCACTGCTAGTTGAAATACTGTTTAAATTGTTAAGTGCTTCAGACTTATTTGTATTAGCACCATTGTAAATATTGGAGCTGACCTTTTCTTGATCAGGTTTTGTAGTTTTATTGTTTATATTAAATAGTTCTGAATCCTTTTGAGTTGAGTCAGAACAGTAGTCATTAGCTTCAGATTCATTTTTAATTGTCACTGAAACATTTGCACTGTTTTCATTAATATTATTATCATTGGGCAACATTTTATTATCTTTATTTATCAAATCTTTTTCTTCGCTATTTCGATCACCTTGATAACACTCAGTTAAACTAGAACAAGTACTTTCATCAAAACATTCACTCTCAGTCAAGTCAAATTCTTTTTTCAGATTTTTAGCATAGCCATTCTTTCGACCCTTTTTTCCACCTCTTTTCCGCCGTCTGCTACTAGATATAGATATTGAAGCACTATCTGTACTAGTTTCATCCAATAATAATGGGGTATTGTTAAAAGATCTATTTCTCTTATGTTTTGAACTTGGGACTGGGAGGGATGCACTGTCATTACTTGTATCATCAAGGATAGGTAACTCTGGTGTATTTTTAGAGCTAGATGAATGTAATGAACTGTTATTATTTGAATTACTACTTTCTTCACTCTGCCCTCTTCTTGATCTCCTTAAAATAGAAGTATCTGGTGTATGATGCTGTAAAACAAAATAATTAACATTTAGCAAATGCAATCAAAACTCTTTGTATTTTCGTATGTGTTATAGTATAGGGTCTTTTTGTTATGATGGACGATCCATTTTCAGTTGAAAATATGTTTCTACAGAACATAATCACATGATAATACGAAGGGAGGGGTGAGATTCTGCATAATTAACAAATGAATGAACATCTTTTTGTTTCATGTTTTTAAGAAACATAGCTGGGATTAATGTTTTTAAAGACAAAAATAGCTATTTTAGCTATTGGTTTTTGTTAATTAAAAAATAATACCTTATTGTTATTATTTTTTAGAAGTGTAGCTGAGTTTAACTTTTTGGACGGAGATTCTAATTTCTTCTTTTTAGCTATTGGTGGTTGTTCCTCCTGGAAAATAAATCCAAAAATAAGAAGACTAAACATTAGTGATTAGCATGGATAGTAAGCCCGTGACTTTGAAAAACAAGCGATCCTCACCTAGTACTAGAATTTAGTACTAAATTTTTAATTTTAAGGAACTCGAAGCAAGCAAAAAGTGATAAGAAATAAAATTAACAAATGAACAAAATAAATCTAAGAAGCTCTCTATTTAACTGGTAATTAAGTATGAAATTGGTTTCTCAGTCAAAATAATATATTAAAGGGAGGTGACTCTATACAATTCTCCCTAACTCAATATTATCTGCCCTTAGACCACAATGTCAAAATACAGGAACATGATTTTACCTCCTTTGTTGCAACTTGGCTCTATACTAACTTTATTCTTCCTAATATTCTAATTTCTTCTCATAAACACATTTCAACAGGACATATGATAAAAATCAATTGTTCAATTCTTTACACTTACTATTTCTTCTTCACTATCTTCTGGTTCAGGAAAAGGTTCTTGTCTATATATTCTTAAATCTGCACCACAAAATTGGGGAAAATGTATATACTGATTGCCTTTAGTGTCATAACCTAATAAATATTCACGCTGTTCTTGGATTGGTTGTCTTTCTATGGCATCGCGTATTGACTCTTGTGTTTCCTACAACAAAGTAAAATTGGGTATTCATAAAATTATAGTACTAATATTTTTCATAAAATTATAGTACAAATATTTTTCATAAAATTATAGTACAAATATTTTTCATAAAATTATAGTACTAATATTTTTCATAAAATTATTTTAAATCAATCTTTGTAATAATATAATAGTTTGATCTGACTAGAAGAAATGTGTTTTCGTGGAGTGATTACAGTACACATGTAAGAACACAATGTTAAAACTTCTCAGATGTTTCTTTTTTTTTATTTTCTAAATAATTTTGAGCCTGGTGGTAAAATACAGTATATAAAATGACAGAAAATGAAAAACGAATTTAAAACAAGCGATTTGAATCATATTGTCTTGCAATGGCATTACAGCTTACATTTTTTCACAGTACAGTCTCGCAACACTATGGGCCCAACTATTTGAAATCTCTGAGAAAAACAACCTTTCTAGAAAATAAATCTAAATATTTGTTTACATGACTAGTATTTAAATATAATATACTTACTAAGCAATGGTCACACAAGCTTTTAACAATCCACACTATACGGTAAAAACTTAAATCATGAAACTTTTTTTTCAATAAAGGATTTTTCCTTCCTAAAAAATAAATCAAATAAAATTATTAGCCCAGTGTGTAGCATTCTCAAAATTTACTACCTCAATCATAACTATTCACTTATGGAACTGAAATTGTATTAAAATGTATTATATTTTCAAGTGTTAGCATAACAAAATTTGAGTAAATGTGCAGTCACTTTACTTACCAACAACATCAAAGAAATATGAATCTATACCAATTTTATTAGCCGCCTAAAAATAAATATATAGATATATATGTCACTAACTTAATAAAAATAACACAATATAACAGATTATACAGATTAAAAGTAATAAGATATATAAAAACATATACAATACATATTAAAAAAAAGTTAATTTTAGTTGTGTATTCAGTTTAGAAGCAGACTGAAAATAAATACAATATAGAACAAGCCAACAGTGAGGCTGATGTCCCCCGCCGAAATTGCAAAATAAATAGATGACACATATTAATTAATCGCACATTTATTTTTTTCACTAAGTTTCATCACTCTCTATCAGATAGAATCAAGATTATCTTGTCCCAAACCATCGACAAATGAAATCGATTAGCTCTGCTTAGCTTCAGCTCGAAATGTTAATTATTGAACTCAGTCAAGACATTCACCTAATGAACATCTACATATACATCAAGTTTAAACATTCACCTAATAGACACCTATGCCAAGTTTGAACATTCTACCTCAATTAGAAGGAGAGTTATTGTGTTCCAAAGTTTCTACCAATCAAATTGCTTATCACTCTGCTTACCCTCAGCAAAAAATGTTCATTATCGAACTTAGTTAAGGTATTCATATAATAAATCTATACACCAAGTTTCATCAATCTCACTTAATTAGAACTAAAGTTATCGTGTCCCAAAGCATCAACCAATCAAATTGCTTATCTCTGCTTACCCTAAGCGGAAAATGCTCATCTTCGAACTCCATCAAGGCATTGACCTAATCAACACATACACCAAGTTTGAACATTCTAGCTCAATTAGGAAGAGAGTTATCGTGCCCCAAAGTATCAACCAATCAAATTGCTTATCTCTGCTTACCCTAAGCGGAAAATGCTCATCTTCGAACTCCATCAAGGCATTGACCTAATAAACACATACACCAAGTTTGAACATTCTAGCTCAATTAAAAGTTATCGTGTCCCAAAGCATCAACCAATCAAATTGCTTATCTCTGCTTACCCTAAGCGGAAAATGCTCATCTTCGAACTCCATCAAGGCATTGACCTAATCAACACATACACCAAGTTTGAACATTCTAGCCCAATTAGGAAGAGAGTTATCGTGTCCCAAAGCATCAACCAATCAAATTGCTTATCTCTGCTTACCCTAAGCGGAAAATGCTCATCTTCGAACTCCATCAAGGCATTGACCTAATAAACACATACACCAAGTTTGAACATTCTAGCTCAATTAGGAAGAGAGTTATTGTGTCCCAAAAAGTGTGACGGACAGACAGACGGACGGACAGACAGACGGACAGACAGACGGACAGACAGACGGACGAACCCATTTTAATAGTCCCCTGCTTTCTTCGAAAGGCGGGGGACAAAAATACTGAATTTCAAAATACTTCAATTCCAAAATATAAATGTTCAATTATTCACAATCAGAAAGTATATATGCATAAGTAAAAGCCAGGTATTGAGCCTTAGTGATTTATCTAGAATGAGAACTTACAAAAGATCATTATACACAGAAGTTACATACCTAGAACAAAATATCTTAAGTAAAGTTTAAGAAGAACATACCTTATACGTATCTCCTCCATAGTCAGCTAGAATCTTGTACCAGGCAGCCAACTTAATATACAGTTTCTCAGTCCATACAGAATATGGCATCATTCCTGTTTTCTCTAATCTGAAGTAAAATGCAAGCAAATTAAAAACCCATAATTTAATATCATACTTTAATAATTAAAAACCAATGTAAAACAAAATGTTTGAACAGGTGAGATATATTTGTAGATTAAGCAGAATAGGACAATAAGCATGATCATAAACAAACGTAATTACAGATTAATCCAAAACAACAAACAATAAATTAGATTTTGGATTCTTAGTCACACTAGTGATTATTTTAGTATTTTAACATTTCATCAGATACAAATTTTTTTTATGTTGTCTCTTTCTGTGTTTCATTGATACCTTTAACACATGTTAAAGATGCATTACATGTATGTAAAATTTGAGCTGGCCGTTCTTGCTATTGTAGTTTAAAAATAGAATATGAATATATTAAAAACTTTATGCAAATTATTTTATTTTGAGCAAGGTTATGGGCGTTTTCAAGTTTGACAAGATCTAGCATAGATTGTTCATTATCTTAACAACGGTACTTGGCAACCGAGACTATATCTCGATTATCCATTTTTTAATCTCGCAGGTGTTTTAATCCATTTAAATCTCAGCCACACGATGGACTAGAGAGTTGATTATAGCCTTGTTGTCAAATAAATGTCTAATTAATAATTTATATAACATTTGAAGCCAAAAGAAAGGCCTGCAATAGGCAGATTTAGGTCTTACATAATGCATCTTTAAAATTCAAATTATCTTTATCCAACCATACTGAGATGCGCTGTCTATGAGTTCACATTTTACAAATAATGCAGGGGCATGATGATTGCTGACTTTGCATGAAGAACCAGATACCGTGGTGGTGGGGGGGGGGGGGGGGGGACAAAAACCATTGGTGGTGGTATGTCTCTGATTATTACTCTAGTAATATAAGTTTCTTAAGTTTGTCTGAAACAGTAAATTCCTAATAATTCCGAGTCTGTCCTATGCCCACATAATGTCTTGTACATGGATCCATATGGGGATCATTTTGTATATTCTCGCGTGTTATTTTTGAGGCAAGTTTAGCGTCACCTTCACTTAGCTTTTATTTGTGCCATTTTATGTTCAGTGATCTTCTAAGTTGTTGACTAACTTACTTGGTTCTTTGGTACTGAGTACTCAAAAGGCTTGTCATAACATTCTGCATACATGAACTTTGTCTAGGCATAGCAAAACTTCTCTCTAATTCAAATTGTGGAACTTCACCAATATTTAATGGTTCTTGACACAAAAACAAAAAATGTCCAATTTGTGGGAGCTGAAAAATATGAAAAAAAAATTAATGAAGATAAAGAAATATCTCTTTTCCAAAATGCAATAAACACCATAAGGACCTTACTTTTTTTTAAAACCATTTTATATTAATTACACCTACCTCACATGTTTTATTTATTATTTACCTAGTATTTGTATGAGAACAAATATAATTGTAGGATACAAAGTTAGAAAAAATGGTAAGACAAATTCTGTAATCTCTCTATACATGTATGTATACATCTGTGACAAAAATGGTCAGTTGATACTCATATTCCAAAATTAATAGATTCTAGAAGACATATCTATATGGTTATAATCTAAACTATCTTTATATGTAGTTCAAAACAATCAATCTATTTCTACATGACATGCAAGTACACATTATTCACTGGCAAACAAACATAGGTGTGCATCAGAAATATCTGAATACTTGACAACAAATTATCCCAGATACACATCAGGGTTGACACAGCTATTTCAGACTATTTATTTTTGCCTACAGGAGGACATCAGCTATTTCAGACTGTTTATTTTTGCCTACAGGAGGACATTGGCTATTTTAAACTATTTTGGCCTACAAGAGGACATCAGGTATAAATAAATCATAATAGAGTGGATTCTTATTAACATTACTTTTTCAATATCATGAAGTGATGAAAATGTTTCAGATGAAATATTGGTGCAGCAGGCATTAAGTTCTTTGTCCACTATAAGTGATCAAAAAGATGGGCCCAGTGTGAAATTAATCGTACAAGTAGGTGTGTGCTGAAAGCAAAATTAATAATTACCTCCCACATTCCATTCATCTGTGATTTTATTGGGTCTTTTAATAACATGTTCTCCCATTCCAATTGTTCTTGTACCAGGGCCTCATTAGCAGCCTTACGATCTAAAATCTGTTGCCTTCGCAAATCTTTACCACGTTGGGCCTCTTCTTTACGAAGCTGACTTAGTAGAGCTGAGGTATCTCTTTGATATGTAGATTTAACACGCCTTCTCATTCCTAGAAAATACAACGAAAATCATATTATGAATCGAATTTTAATTTTTTCCCCCAGTTTGCATCATAAATACTCCTGATAAAAAACCCCAGGGCCCTTATTCACGAAAACCTAAACTAAGATACAATCGAAATTTTAAGAAATACTGTAATTCGATTGGCTGACCAATATCCAAATTGGATATATGCAAATTGATTTTACTGGTCAGCCAATCGAATTGCAGTATTTCTTAAAATTTTGATTGTATCTTAGTTTAAGTTTTCGTGAATAAGGGCCCTGAGCAATGAATTATAATATACTGAGCGCCATGGAAAATGCATCACTTTTTTTCCCCAAATATTTTATTACTAGGTGGTTTTGCATGTATAATATTATGCAATACTATGAACTATTGTTTCACACAATGCTCCCAAACACAAAAAATATCGGCCCATGTGCACAAAAAACAATTGCACAAGATGCACATGAAAAACCCAATCTGTCGTGATTTGTTGTTGGACGTGTGAAGGAATCGAGCTAGAGATGCCGGGACTTACTGAAAATCAACGGAATGAAGCCATGGGAATGTCCAGGGCTGGCATGTCTACACGTGCTATTGTCAGACACTTCAATTGTCATCAGTCCACTATTGTAAGGTTGGTGGAACGTGTTCGAGTTACTGGATCAACACGTGACCGTCAACGTCCTGGTCCACAACACGTTACAACCCAGGCTCAAGACCGCTACATCCGGGTCACTCATCTGCGTGACAGATTCCGCCCAGCGAATCGAACAGGTGCAGCAGTCGTCGGAAGACAAGGACCAGTAAGTGCCAACACCGTAAGACGTCGTCTAAGAGAAGTAGGACTCCGTGCACGACGACCTTATGTTGGAGCTATCCTCAGGGATCATCACCGTCAGCGGCGTTTAATATAGGCTCAAGGACACCACACGTGGAGAAGAGCAGACTAGCAAAGTGTGCTCTTCAGTGATGAGAGTCGCTTTCATCTTTATCATGCTGATGGCCGTCAACGTGTGTGGAGACGTCTTGGGGAACGTCTTGCAGACTGCTGCGTCTTCGAAACGAATCGATGGGTTGGGAGAAGTGTAATGGTGTGGGGAGGCTTCACATTTCATCACCGGACCGCCCTACACATTTGCAGGGGTCGCGTTAATGCTGTAGCCTACCGTGATGATGGCCCGTGGAGGACACACGCGCTACTGACATCTGTGTCGTACTTTTGGTTTTGACCCCTCTGACTTTGTACCGTTGATTACAGATTAAACATCCATAAGTGTACAAATGTGTTGTTATTGATGTGTTCCCATTTGAATATTGTTCACAATAAGAAGCAAAATAAATAAGATATGTTTACAGGATCATTTTGTTATACGAAAAACTAAGTGATGCGTTTTCCATGGCGCTCAGTATATTAAGACTTAAATGTGAAAATGACTTTACTTTTTCCTTTAAAATTTAAATTCATATAATTGGGTATAACCAGATTTCTATGAAATTAACAAAGACATTGGCATTATTATGAGTAGTGAAAGATTACCTGATGAAAATGATTCCTCTACTTTGCCACCAGTTGTAGCTGCGACACTGGTTTTCTCTCTTAATTCCCTTTAATAACATGAAAGAAAAACAACTATTTATCAAACTGCTATTTCTGGGTTTTGGATCATTCCCTATAAGACCAGTTTCCAGTTGACTGAGATCCCTGGGCCCTTATTCACGAAAACTTAAACTAAGATACAATCGAAATTTTAAGAAATACTGCAATTCTATTGGCTGACCAATATGCAAATTGGATATATGCAAATTGATTTTACTGGTCAGCCAATCGAATTGCAGTATTTCTTAAAATTTCGATTGTATCTTAGTTTAAGTTTTCGTGAATAAGGGCCCTGATTTGGTCTTGTTGTTAGCCTAGAAAGTTCCTCTGGATTTTCCAGTGCAATTTCCCTTCGCAGGGAGGGGAGGAAGAGAAATAGGGTTTAACATCCACTCGACACAAACTCAGTGATTTTGGGACTAGCATACAGTTCAATTTGATTTAATAATTCGCTTGCGCGTTGGGGTCTTAAGATGTTGGAGGAAACCAGGGAAGTCTGAGAAGACCTACCAGGTTAAATCGGCAACCCTACTCCATGTGAGGTACAAGTGGGGAACTGAAACCACGACGCTTGATTCAATGTAAGACATTACGATAAACCATTCGGATGAGTCATGGAATAGGGTGTGCATATGGTCGATTCCATGTGCCAAAAAACCCCTAAGGACCTGTGTATACTTTGGCGTACTCGCCAAAGAATGAAGCACGCTGTACATGTATAGCATAGGACGTTTTATTCCATTTCATTTTCCAGTCATCTGACTACTGTCATTTTAGTGATCGTATTTTAAATAACACATGCTTTTCTACATGTGACAGCCAACATCAGATGCTCCAAGACAAGACGGTTTCTGTCACCTAGTCAGTGTAATCTCACAGACTACCTTCATTCACACACCTTCTCGCAATGTTTAAATCAGATAACTAGAGCCATTCTAATAGTAAGATACAAAGTATCTGTTTCCATTTAACTATTCTTTGAATATTTTCAAAACGAAATTGTATTTAATGGAATGTCAATTCTAACTGGGGTATATTGGGCCAAACCCTAGATAAAATATATGTACCAGTACATATCATCTCTATACATCATATATCTTTTTTATTTCCTCTATTGTATCATGTAGATGCACTCATGAACCTACCTTGACAAAAGTGCAAGTTTTTGCTCAAGCATCATCTCTAACCTCTGACCTCTCTTAGAAATAAAATGGTCTGGTCCATTGTAACGGTAACAATTCTCCAACATCACTCGGAAATCAGATACAAACAGTGTAATACTATCATAAAGACGCTTGTCAAATTTTTCTCTCACTAAACAAAATTAAATAAAATGAACAAATAAATTCCCACCATGTCCATAGACTACTACATAACATGTAAATGTATAGATATATTACTGGAAAACATTCTAGAACTATTGTTAGTTTTCTTCTCTAAATAAATGTAATAATATTCATTTTGAATAAATATATGGACCTTCATAGTTACTCATCACTGGTGGTTTGAATGAAAGGAAAAAAGCTCCAATTGAAATTATAAAGATCTCTAGAAGGGCCTTTCATCCACACTTTTTGGGGTCTCCAAATGATACTATCTGAGAGACAATTATTGTCTTGAACTTTAAACTGATATGGATATCACACTAATCTAAATTTTAGTGCCATTTAGAAAATGCCAGTTTGTTTAATGATATAGGACTAGTCAATTCCTTAAAATGGTTTAAAGATGGGCCTACATGTAGGCTTTGCCTTTGTGGACCAAAGTGAAAACAAGATAATTTGTAGACACTAGAATTACTAAAGATTCAGCCCCCTTCATTCCACCTTCCTAATTTAATTATCACTGATCAACAAAACAATGTTTTTATTAATTTTCTTCCTTTAAATAATAAATATTATTGCAGAAATATCTAGGAACGTCTTATTTTTATTTTACAAACTTTATGCACTTAATTAACAATCCCATAAACTTTTAACAAGTTCATGAAAAATTTAACTGTCTTGCAGCAATAAGTAAACATGCCCACCTGACATGACATAAATAGCAACCAGGGATAGCCCATGTTTTTAAGGGGAATTCCGTAAAAATATAGATGAGCAACATAAAACAATTTGGGTGCATAATCCGTGTCGCAACTCTGATTTTTCAGTTTGTTGTATAAATGAGGACAAAGACTACATTGTAATGTATGTCAGGCTTTTTAAAAAGAGCTTTGTTTAGTTTAAATAAGATTTCTTACTTCTTTTAAGCCACATAGGATTATCTACAACTTCATAATAATCAGCTGTGTCCGGATGACTGTCATCTACTGCTTCCATGAACGGCCAGTTGACCGCTTTGTTGGAATCAGACATCAACTCCCGCAGAATTCTATATCCATTTTTTAATTCGTCTGATAAAGGTGGTTGTCCGTCCTCAATGTCAATGATAATTTTTTCCCTTTTCCTTGGAGTTTTACCCTTTACAGATTCCTCTTTTTTGTCATAAGTGTCTTGGCTCGTTTCGTCCAGCGGGTTAACTTCGGGAAATTCATAATTTTGCTGAGTTTCTAAATTTAGCTCTGATGCCTTGGGACTGTTAACTTTTTCTTCAGTTAGTTGACTGTCCGGAGTGTGGTTAGAAGTATCTTCAAGTTTCTCCATACCTAACCGCTCAACGTCTGGCTATTTGAATATGATCAAATATGATTAATTCCTTAACAGCTCCAATTTAATCCAAAATGATAACATTGTTTTCTATATTAAATATTATATTACCTACAAATGCTTATCTAAGAATTTACACATTGAATACAGTTGAAATTAATATTGAAAAACAATACGGAAAGAATGGGATGCCTTTGGTCATCTTCGGTTACGTGTGCTTTTATAGGTCATTGTTTTATAATATGTAATAATCTAAAGTCTTGGTGCCTTTTCTCTTACATCAGTATGTAATGAGTTTCTCATAGAACTGAATAAAAACATTAGCACACCTGACATACGAACCATTTGCATTGGTAGATCGGAGTTTCCAAATTTCAGCGGAATAATATCAATCGACATTTTTGCTTTATCACTCTGACAATATATTCGGCCATATTTATTAGAAATTTGACAATATTCGAATATATTTAAATCTACCAACCCAATTGGTATGCTAACAATCAGTAATATATTGGACTTTGGCATAAACAGATATTATGATAAGGCACTATTTTTATAGTGCATTGACATATGCAAAATAGGGGTTGGTGATCAGCCTCGTTTTGAATACGAGGTTTCTGTACACGCGGTAGCACGTCATTTCGGTCCCGCGTCATTTCGGACTCAGCACAAACGTCGTTTCGGACTCAGTATGGCGACTTTTCGGACTTACTCGGTGTCATTTCGGACTCAGTCAAACGACATTTAGGACTCGGACCGGCGACATTTCGGACTCGGACTCGGACTCAAATAAAACTTAAAATTATGTGTGTATATATTAGTAATAGCTGTTTTTCTTTCGTTGTAGGTGAGGCTCAAGACAGACCATTCACATTAATAAAGATTTAAACATTGTTAGTCTTGTTTTATTTATCCCATACAGGCCATTACTTGACAACACGCCTTTGAACTTGAACTTGAAGTAAAACCTATGCTACTTGCCTTTTTTGTATTTGTTTATTTACTTGATCGGATATTATTGTATTTTGATGAGTAAATTTTGATTGTTGACGATGAATTAGTTTAGATTGTTGACGATAATCGATCCGCGATTGTTGTTTTAATCTAGCGATTAGTGAATCCAGCGATTAGTGAAACCATCCCATTGTTGTATTTAAGATTAATAGCGATAATTGATCGGCGTTTCTAATAGCCGCTAAGAAATGATTGAGAAATAAAAACACTGATCGGCGTTTCTAATAGCCGCTAAGAAATGATTGAGAAATAATGAAGCCGTTAAGAAATGATTGAGCCCAAGCTCAAATGTATTATATATATGTGCCATATTTCAATTCAAATCATTCTCAATTTTTACACGAATCTATCATGGCTAGTGGAAATTGCGTAAAGTGTACCAATCCTGTCCGTCCTCGACAAGAAGGCCTCCAGTGCGATTCTTGTCTTTTATGGCAACATCGAACCTGCGATTCCGGTACGTAATGAAATTTTCTTTATTGTTATTTATTAAAACGTTTTAAATTTGTCGTTTCTTGTAAGTTATTGTTATTTATTAAAACGTTTTAAATTTGTCGTTTCTTGTAAGTTATTGTTATTTATTAAAACGTTTTAAATTTGTCGTTTCTTGTAAGTTATTGTTATTTATTGAAACGTTATAAATTTGTCGTTTCAGCTTGTAAGTTATTGTTATTTATTGAAACGTTATAAATTTGTCGTTATTGTTATTTATTGACACGTACCCGCAATCCGGGAATATTATTATTTTATTTATCACTATTTCAGGCATCACTCGGGATGAGTACAGGAGTTTAAAACGTGGTACATGGACGCCACCTTCCGAGTTATCAACAAACCATATTCTCAATTATTTTCTATCCACGCTTTCGTGGATGCGTGTTTCATTGGACCCAGGCCGTTTTCCGGAAAATTCAAGAAAAGGGATTCCAGGTATGTTGTGCGTTCTTCTTATAATAAATCTTCTTATAGTAAAATAAAAAAATTCTTATTATAATATCTTCTTTTAAAGTACAAGTGCACAAATAGATTTTCAGTATTAATATATTTCTAATATTTTATTATTTCAGACAGCGTACAACGAAAAGGGGGACGTGTTTAATTATTTGAGGCGATTGATGGCTCTCCCTTTCCTGCCCGAAGAACACGTGGCGGGCATGTTTGCCCATTTGAAAGACAGGTGCCCAGAACAGTTAGAGCCGATATGTACATACATAGAAGATCAATGGATTTCATCTCGTCTGTTTCCAATAGAAGATTGGTGCGTGTTTATGTTGCCAGTGAGAACCAATAACGACGTGGAGGGCTGGCACAACAGACTAAATTCCCGTGTCAACGCCAGAGGTCCTGTGCCATTTTATCTATTGATTTGCGCACTTTTTTCAGAAGCTACAAAGATACCACTGGACCTCACAATGATGTCGGAAGGTTCATTGAGACGACACCAAAGACGTCGGTATCGACATGTAGAAGGCCAACTTTTTAATATATGGGATTCATACAATGAAAAACAGATGAGCACTAGTAGACTATTAAAAAAAATAAGTCATTTGTATGGTCCACCCGCTCAGTGAAAAACAATTACATAATTAAAAAAATGAAAAAAAAAAAAAAAAAAAATGAATAGCCGACTAAAGCTATTTTTTCATCAAATAAATACACGTGTTGTTATAAATGTTGCGTTAATGTATGAATGTGTATGTATTTATACAATAAATGAATGTTTTATATGACCGTTGTTATCGCTATATGGTATGTTTAAAAATAAAATAATATGCCCGTTGTTATAAATCGATGTTATCATTTTATGCTATGTTGATAAATAAAATAGTTTATAAAGTAAATTGGCGTCAGTGTGTTGTATAATTCTATCTTACCTACCCGAGTCCGAAACGTCACCTACCCGAGTCCGAAACGTCACCTACCCGAGTCCGAAATGTCACCTACCCGAGTCCGAAATGTCGGGGACATATTTTTTGGAGTCCGAAATGACGTAAGTCCGAAATGACGCGGGACCGAAATGACATGTAATCGTACACGCGCACCTGTTAAATTTATTGAATAACAATGTAAACTTTATGATTTACTTTTTTTTTTACTTATTTGAGAGTAGGGTTCTTAAACAACTTAGTAATAAATATTTGTCACATTAATAACAAAAAAAAACCATTCAACACAAATCCGGGGTTGCCGAGGTCATACAACAATGTTCTTTTCACTTCCGGAGGTCAGCGCAATGGAGGTCTCGTTGAGTTTTCTTATTCTGCTACTTGCAGTTTTATGTAAATTTAGTGATTGTTTGGAACATGATTTAACTATTGATGTGGGGGCTGGTATAGAAGAATGTCTTTATCAAAATGTTAAAAAACCGACAAACTTAGAGATTGAATATCAGGTAAATAGTATACAAAACAATGGAGATACGCGTAGGCTACCAAGTACCGGTACACTGGAATTCCCGTACACTGCAGCAAGTAACTTACTGAAGTTTAGTTAGTAATAGTAAGAAAATTTTAAAGAAGTGACATGGTCGTGGCAGAAAATAAAACAAGCCACTGCCTCACACTTTCAGTTCAGTCAAAGATCGACACTAGATTCCCGAAGAAGAGACAATGAAATGTTGTAGACCCAATGATTAGGTGTACTACAACTATTTGACTATCTCAGTATTTATTTAGTCAATTTAGTGTAGTTTAAAAAAAAAATGCAGTATAGGCCAGCAGCTTGACACAGTGTCAGTGTAGCTAGGTGACAGGTCTATGAGTAGGAGAAACTTTTTTTCAATGGGCAATTAAAATTTTATAGATCGTTAGTATTTTTTTCTTTTATTATCGTAATTTTACTCTACACTGACTACAGTTTTAGTGAAACAGATCTGCCAAATAATTGCTGTTTTAAGATTCAGAACTTATAGTTATTGTGGTTTTCCAATATTTAGCAAAAGCTTGTAATCAATTCTTTGATCTAAAAGTAGACATGCACTGTTTTTAACGATAATCCAGAAGCTACACGTTGACATGCATTCCGCGACAAGTTTGTCATAGATAGCTGTACCAATTGATAAATTAGTGCGTACAAAGAAAACTCTTTTTGGAAAATATCAGAAATGGCAACAATCAAAGTGGGTACGGTAATTAAAGCTGATTAAAGGATAATCCCTATATTATTGTAGTATGCGCAAAGAAACCTTACAGTTCTTTAGTGGACGAGGAAAAACGTGAGTTGTCAATCAGCGATAATGGCGGCCGTGTGTTAATTCGATTATTCTGACTCACGTAAAAGACATTTAGGCTTTCACAATTATAAAAACATTAGCAGTATTACTAAATATACACAAATTTTCGACAAAATTGTATTGTCAAATTCAATACTCGCCGATAAAACAAAATAGAACAAGCAGTGTAAAATCAGTGTTAACTTTTTATTAGTGGTCTCAAGAATGGCCAATCAATTAAATAAAACAAAACAACTATCAAACTCATATAAAACGAAAATAAAAAATAAACTGTTACAAATATATCACACAAATGTTCAACAGTCTTTTAATTATTCATCCGAGTCCGAAATGTCTCCAGACAGAATCTGAAAAGTTGTCAAGTAAAGTCTGAACCGTCGTCAAACTGAGTCCGAAAAGTCATCTGCGCTGAGTCCGAAATGACACGGGACCGAAATGACATGCTACCCATCTCTTGTGGTGGGGGATATGATGACATGTTCTGTCATTTCAAGGGTCATAGGCCAAGCACAACCATCCACAATTCCCTCTCCGCCAGCCACAACATAATTCTGGGATATAGCAGGGTTTTTTTCTAATTCTAAACATGGATTATTCAGATCTGACACAATCTTTTGTAATAAACTATATTGGAGGTTGTTATCCTTACACTATACTTTACAGGTTATAGATGGGGGTGATTTGGATGTTGATTTTAGTATTATTACACCTACAGGACAGAAAATAGTCCATGATTTACGTAAAACAGAAAATGTTCACAAGTAAGTAGGGTACCATATATAATACTAATAGACCGACCTGTTTTACTGTTCCACCCACAAAGTTTGGTTAAAAAGTAAAAAAAATTCTGTGTTTAAAGTAAAAATCTAAGTGAAACATACATTATGCAAGAGCTAAATCTGCCTATTGCAGGTCTTTCTTTAGGCATGAAAAGTTATATAAACTATTAATTAGACATTCATTAACAAAACAAGACCATAATCAACTCTCGATGGCATCGGATACTCAAGATTTTAACTAGATTAGAACGGTTCACCATTTAATAATTGAATTTAAAAATTGAATTTAAAAATGGGAAAGCGAGGCTAAGTCTCGAATATACCAGTCCCCTGGTTACCACAATGCACACATCTTGTCAAAACTACAAACAGTGATACCTGGCTCCGAATGAAGTAATTTGAATGAAATTTTCAATATTGTCATCTTACATTATCTATATTTGAGCTATTCTAGCAAGAATGGTCAGCTCTTTATCTAAATCTTACATAATGTATCTTTAATAGAATAAGTTCACTTTACCAAACTTTGTTGATCACTGTCTTACTTATCTTCTATACTAATATTTGTGACTGTCGTTTGTCTGTCTGTCTGTTTGTCTGTCTGTTCGGGGTTGGCGGCTACACTAGGTCTGCCCCGAGTCTGAAATTTGGGGTATAGGGGTAGCTCGGACTGGGGAGTAACATAGGCCAGGTGGCGTTAGTCTACCACTTCCGGTTTCGGAGTTATGACACCCGAGCGAAGCCGGGCATTCTTCTAGTTGCACATAAGGTGAAAAAAGGCTTTACATCTCAGGTATAAAAAATAAGAGGACAAATTTTGAAATTGCTCCACTTTTAGTAAAATGAACACAATATATATGCAATTCCACCAATTCTATTTACAATTGTTTTTAGGGTGGGTGTAAAAATACCAGGAGCTTACAGATTTTGTATTGACAATACTTTTAGTCGTTTTACTAACAAGGTAGTATTTTTTGAAATACTAACTGATGACGATGATGATGAGGAGGATGATAATGATTGGCAATTAGAAAAAGATGAAGTAGAAGAGTACATTGACATGACAATAGATGATTTAAAGGTATGCTTGATTTTGTTTCTGATTTTCATCATAATGAAAAAGTAATTTTAAAGCCTATCTTTAGTAGCCTCTTGTGAATAGGTCTGTAGCTTGCATTCATTACATATGCCCTTGGGAAAAGAACATAATTTGAGATGTTTGCATTATTATTGGATTAAACATACATTATGCAAGAGCCCCGTTAAAATAACTCTTAATTTTAATGCAGTGCTTTATATGACAATTTATAATAATAAAAAGATATCCTATTTCTTCAGACATGAAATTCCTCTACAAGTCATGGTTTTGCTTCGTAATTTTTGTGCTACATCACTCTTACATGTACTTTGCACTATTGATACCCCGCCTTACAGATGTGTAAACACCTGAAATATAGGTAGGAGGTGGATACTATATATTGACCCTGTATCCTGCTAGTAGTGATCAAATGCTGAATATACTATTGGGTAATTTTTGAATATTCATGATTTAAAGGCTTTTAAAGATATTCAATTTAGTTCTACATTTACGTTTTGATTGTTTTTGGTGCAATTTCAGATTTCAAAGTTGATTTCATTGAATTTTATTATTAAATATTTCCGTATGCTACTATAACACAGTGGTGAATGGCCTTACGAATACAAATCTCGACATTTGCATTTGTTCGTGAGCATTCATGATCGTAAATGGGTTGTTGCAAATATTAGGAAAGAACATTCTCATTTCTTTCGCAACACTATCATAATTCAAGGCAAGGCATTTATTCATGTAGTGATCTGATCTGAAGATATTTGTAAGGATTTGCTAGTATTTGTCTTGACTCGGGAACAGTCATCTAATACTCTCATAAGCTCTGATTATTTGTGCATGAAAATTAGAAATTCATGGCAAATTCACAAGGTCCTCGTGAGTATTCACAGTCGTTTATAGGGCGTTGCGAATATTAGGAATTTGCCACGAGTTTCAAATTTTCATGTACGCAAGGATATTTTTCACTGTGTGATAGTTGCATAAAGGAGATAAATAAATAAACAGACTGAATTTCCTTGGATTTAATTTCTGTAACTGATGTCAAATAATAAATTTTAAAAAAAACCCCAGTTCAAATATTCTTGATAAACTATTCAAATATTCTTGATAAACTATTCAAATATTCTTGATAAACTATTCAAATATTTGTTGACTAGCCTTTACATCGAACGATGGAAACGACAAGTTACTCCAAACTGAAAACATGTACATACTTGGCCAATGCACCACAGGGGGTCAGCAATTTACTATTAAAGATACATTATGGGACATTCGATAACAAGTTGGCAGTTCTCACTATAATAGTTAAAAACTAGATAATGTAAAGGCAATTTGCTGAAAATTTTATTCAAATTGATCCACTATGAACCGAGAATTAAGCGGTTGAAATTTCCGCCTAGCCTTGATCATCATTACTAAAGTCAGTACGATAAACAGCATAGTCTCGATTATCCATTTAATCGTTAAATCGTGAAGGAAAGTTATGCAGAAATTCGGCACATAATCCACTAAAGATCGCAGTCTAGCGATGTCATCTAGAGTTGATTATGGTCTGGATAGGTTAATTAATGTCTAATTATTAATTTAGATAACATTTCAGGCCCAAAGAAAGACTTGCAATAGACAGATTTAGCTCTTGCATAATGTATGTTTAATTGGAACTATTTAGAACACTGTTACAAGTATAAATCATGTTCACTTCTCTGTATTTTTTCAGAAATTGGTGTCCACAGTGAAAACAAATTTAGAAAAATCATCTCAGTTACAGAACATTTTACGAGTTTACGAAGCCAGAGATAGAAATATCCAAGAAAACAATTTCCATCGTGTTAATTTTATGTCCGGTGTTCAGTTATTTATCATGATATCAGTAGGATTAACTCAAGTTCTGATGATACGCAACTTATTTACTGAACAACACCCAAAAAATACGAAAGTATCAACATAATTTTTTTTTTAAAATGGGTTTATAGTAATGTATATTTATAGATATTACATTGAATTGAATTGAAATATTATTTCTGAAAGCTGATAGAAGCTTGTTAGGGATATAAAAAAATGTGAATTGGTTTGGTTTTGTTGTAGAATATTTGATTTTATTACCATTTATCTGAGAACAATTTGTAAAGAAATAACCCTTTGAACCTCTAGTTTCTATATGATAAATGTTCTTTCCTTGCTGTTGGGTATAAAAGTTTGCCTTTGAACTATATTCTCAACCTCTGGCGCTCTGACTTGTAAATTCCATTATCAATGTTGACTTCCACTTCATGGGGCAGTTTAGTGAGAAAAAAAAGAAGTTAGAAATCAAGTTACTATTTATAGTAGTCATAAACAGCGTTGTATGAAGACATCCCGCTTTCTGACTTGACAATGAAATTGATAATTTGTCTCAATCTGATTGGAGAATGAGATTAATAATTGTTCTCAATCTGTAACAGTTCTATCAATAATTTATCCCAATCTGATTGGACAGTTCTATTAAAAAAATTTCCCAATTTGATTGGACAATTCTATTAAGAATTTGTCTCAATCTGATTGGACAGTTCTATTAAGAATTTGTCTCAATCTGAACGGACAGTTGTATGAGTAATTTGTCTCAATCTGATTAAACATGTTAAGCAATGACAGCAGAGCTTGAGAATCAAGTATGAATTGGATTTTAACAAGAGTACTGCACTGTTGCTGGAGTTTACTGGGTCCATTGACCCTCCCACATCATAATTTTCAATTAAACATATGATTTAATTACCAATTAAAAGCACAAAAATATAATGTAAGCATATTGTTATTAGGTATAAAAATGACTAAAATTGGGATTTACCCTAGTATTAATGATTTTGATTATTTGTATTGTGTTAATCTAAGCAGCCCATATATGCTTCTGGCAACAAATTTATAAAGCTGCTCACCAAACAAATGGAATGGAGTAACGGTAATTCTGCAAGAAATTTACATGCTATGGTGAGTTTGGGAACGATTCTTGCAGTTGTTGTTGCCTTGTTATTATAAGCATGTGGGTGGACTACACAGTAGGCCAGTTGTATTGTTAAAGTTTGAATTTTTTAGAATAGGTTTCAGCATCAAAAGGTTATTATTAAAGCTCTGTGAACAAATCAATTGTATAAGAAGAGTAAGTTAAATCTGGGTTCTTTTTGCTGTTTATGTTAATATTTGGGAAATATATGTTTGTTTATAATCCGTTCATTGTCATGTAATTGGATATATTAAATTTCAAATCTTTTGTTATAGTAAAAGGAATTTTCAAAGGGCATGTTTTGGGCTGTTAAACAGAAATAGAAAAAAATTAGGTAATTTACTTTAATATAAGCCAATTAACCTTTGTATTAGCCATAATAATATATTTCTATATTATGATGGGCATAAGAAAAAATGCCTAAGTTTGGGATATTTCGATTTTTGATATTAAATCGATTAGTGGTTTTTCCATATATATTTTACAACGAAGAAAAAATGATAGCCAGCTTGTATAATTAATTTAGGTTTTGTATCATATGCATTTGAGAAAATATCTCAGAAGATGTGAAACTTCATAATTTGGTTTATTCTATGCAACTATCACAAAACCAAGGTTTTATGTAATATTATGGTTTTATGTGTTCAACTTCTGAGATGTTACATATCTTTAGTGGCTATAAAAACCCTTCTGCTCAGAAGAGATCTTATGATCCTGACTACATAATTAAATTGGTCCACCCAGTTTTATTATTATCTAGTCTCTTTTGAACAGTAGGGCTTAAGACTCTGAAGACGTTATTTTACACCAAAACAATATTATGTAAATATTTGCTCCAAAAATGGAAGAAAATGTCGATTTTTGTCTACATTCTAACAATAGATAACAACCACAGCTACTTGAATCAACTTATTAAAAAAATTTGTACCTGCCTCTGTTCAGATGCATTCTAAGTAGAGATTGCAGATTGTCACTACATTTGAGAATTGGAAATTATAGAAACATGACTACAGATAATTCTACACACCAAATAAACAAATTTGACCGATATACTAAAAACCTCGCCATTTTTAAGTCTTGAGATGTCCTATTCAAATATCTGGTATTATGATGTTACTACCACATTCTTTAATTAATGAGTAGAATACGAACGGGGCACTTAGAATTTTTCTAAAAAAGTTGATCTTCATTATCTATCATAGAATAAAGAAACTGATAAATTTTTTAGGGACTGTGGATAAATTTCAACACTTGCGTCCAAACGGTTAACTGACAGAGTAAGAAAATGTTGTAATATTTCTGTTAATGATTCAATTGTAACCAACTTTTAATTTATCATTTTTATACGCCCACATTTTCATGTGGACGTATATTGTTGTCGCCCCTGTCCAGACGTCCACAATTTGTTTGTGGACACTCTACAGGTCACACTTCTTATCCGATTTTGATAAAACTTGAAATATAGGTTTATCGCCAAAAGATCTCGGCTGCTTTCATTATTGGCATGTATCGGATCGAAACTTCATGGATTATGGCCCCTGTTTGTACGAAAAATCACGTTTTTAGCTTGTGGACCCTATAGAGGTCACAATTTTTATCTGATTTTGTTGAAACTTGAAATGTTAGTTTATAACCCAAAGATCTCGGTTCCTTTGGATATTCGCGCATATCGGACCGTAACTTCCTGAATTATGTCCCCTGATTGTACGAAAAATCACGTTTTTAGCTTGTGGACTCTATAGAGGTCATAATTTTTATGCGATTTAAAAAAACGTATTATTATATCACCGTTACACCCTAAGGAAGGCTAAAATTGACAGACAAATGGCCGCCCTTCGTTCTCAAATAGCGTAAAAATATGGTATATCAAGGTTGTGGACCCTATAAAGGTCACAATTTTTATCCGATTTTGTTGAAACTTGAAATTTAAGTTTATAAACCAAAGATCTCGGTTCCTTTCGATATTCGCGCATATCGGACTGTAACTTCCTGAATTATGGCCCCTGATTGTACCAAAAATCGCGTTTTTAGCTTGTGGACCCTATAGAGGTCATGATTTTTATCCGATTTAAAAAGCCGTATTATTATATCACCGTTACACCCTAAGGATCGCTGAGTTCGAATTTCATGTAAATCGGCCCAAAATTGACAGACAAAATGGCTGCAGTTCGTTCTCAAATAGGGTAAAAAATATGGTATATCAAGGTTGTGGACCCTATAGAGGTCACAATTTTTATCCGATTTTGTTGAAACTTGAAATGAAAGTTTATAACACTAAGATCTTGGATTCTTTGATATTTGCGCATATCGAATTGTAATTTCCTGAATTATGGCCCTTGATTGTAGGAAAAATCACTTTCTTTTTAGCTTGTTCTCTATCCATCTCTCGAAAATGTGGGCGTATCCTGCCTGGCAGCCGCTGGTTATATCGGGGGTGTCGTTCAACCCACCCACCTTGTTTTACAGGTTATTCACTTGGACGTAAGTGTTGAAATTTTATGACTGTCCCTTATTAAGAATAATTACAAATGATCATTAACAGGAATTATTTTGATTAAAGATGCATTATGTAAGAGCTTAATCTGCCTTTTTTCTGGCTTCATGACCATCCCATAATCAACTTCCTGGGCCATCAGATGGCTTCAATTTAAAGTAGATTAGAACATCATGGTCATTTATAAGTTTAACGATAAAATAGATAATTGAGAATTGATATGATAATAAACAACATATCTTACATTTTGTTAATACTAAAAACACTCATAACATTGCACAGAGTAGGGGAGCCATGTGGCTCAATGAGTAGGATGTTTGCTCACTAACCTGAAGGTCCCTGTGATCAATCCTTGCGCTTGCTGAAAAAGTTGATCAGGATTTTCTGGCCATGGTTCCCCATTGTCAGTGATGTAGAACTGGCAAGGGGCAAACTATAGTAATTTGGATGGCTTGAAAGAACGAGGTCCTGTGTACACATTGGCGTGCACAACATAAAAGAGCCCTTCACAGTTGGAATTCGAAATCAGAATAGGCCATAGTGCCGTCGCTGTCTAGGCAAAATTTCCCTTATAGCACACTGCATGGCGTATGTCTGTCTTTGTTAGCCCTGTAGGAGTAGGATGTTAAATTTCATTTCATTTCTCACAGATTAATTTGCATGAAGTTTTCAATATATTCATCTTTTATCATCTACGTTTGAACTATTATAGCAAGAACGGCCACAGCAACTTATCCGAATTCCAGACCCTTTACATAATGTATCTTTAATATTTATTTACAATTAGCTCAATTTTAAATATTGCCTTATTTTTTAAAGTTACTACATTTAAATAATATCTCTGTGGTTATAAAGTCAATTTCGACAAAGATTGTTCAAGACAATTAATATGTCAACAGGCTGTTCATTTTGTATGTGCAAGTATTGTTATGGCCATAGTGATAATGCCAAATCCATGAAATCCTTTTTTTTTGATGTATTTTAAAAACAAGTACCACCATACCGTGGACCAGGAACTGACTGTGATGTCATCACAGCCATCTTGGGATGGTTATGTTATATCAAAGATCAGAGTCTGTCAATTTATGCGCAATTCTCCAAGGAACAGACATGCCAAGATTCACATGTTGATCACACATGAGTTGGTGGAGCCGTAGACTTTTTTTCAAGAGAGCGTCTCCCCCCCCCCCCCCACTATTTGATAACCCATCGAAGAAATGAAAATATACAGGATGTGAGAATAATTCCGTATTATAACACATTGCAAGTGTAATGATTCATTTTTTATATAATGTTCCCTTATTTAATTTTGTTTTGTTTTATTATATTGTTCCTTATTTAACAGTATTGTAATAATATTTTTGAAATATATATAGAATTATATGGTCACTAACCTATAGAATGTTGTTAAGTTTGATGTTTATATAGGCCTAATTTAGCTTTCCCAGTTATTAACTGTTATCGTTTATCTAACAAAAGAATAATTCTTATTATATATAGTATGATAACACATTTCTGGTAATGGACTACTTAAGACAAGCACAGACGAATCAAATCTTATAAACACAATATATTTTGTTTTATAACTTGTTTGATTTTTGTTTTGGTAGTAAAAGATAGTATTTTACTATGATCATTTACATTAAAAAGTGCAAGATACGTTGTTTAGGATATTGTTCTTTACCGATTGCCAGCATTTTCACCAATCCTGACTTCCTGGCAATATATTTTGTTGATTGGCAAGAATAATATAAATTCTCTTTCCAGATTCTAGTCACAAGAGTTTTACAAATCCAACAGACTCTGCTGTTGATTTCGAATCTGAAGAAATCAAGACACTCAGTGGCTTTGAAAATTTATGTATCCCAATTTAGATTTAAAATCTTTTGGAAAAATACTGAATGTATTCCAAGTCTGAATTAATCCAGAGACTTTGATGTATCATTTAAAGAAAATATGCAATAAATAAATAAATGTAACAAAGACCGTGATTTCAATTTAGTAATCATGATAAGAATATAGTATATGATCAAAATAGTGCCATAATATATAGGTGTATATATAGTTTGATTGAAATTGAGGTTTATTTTGTAGCCTGTATTGGCTACTCAGCTGTATTATTTGATGCATGTTTGTTAATATTTTGAATAAGATAAAGGTTATATAAGTAACAATCAAATTTGATTCATGAAACATTTTCAAGTCTAGCGAAGGTTTAGTTGACATTTAAATATTTATATTTTTGTACATATTTTTTTTAAATTTTTACTCAGTCACTATGTGAAACATAGACTATGTTACATTACTAATTATCAATGAACAAACTCAAAAGACAAATGCCCATGCTAAATTTAATCTTAAAAGGATCAAAAGAAATAATATCTCTATAGAACACAGTAGGCCTATCATGTAAATCCAATGTTGTGTAATGTGTGCCTTCATTTACTTTATAAATAAACTGTTATTTAAAATGTGTGCCGTTTCTTAATAGAAATCGTTTTTTCTTCCGTTTAGTAATCATACAAAAATGTCACGAAAGTAAGACTTTACAACCTATAATGGGGGTCACGTTGGTTAAGTCTCGTTTGATCCCTGCAGTGCATTGGCCGAGAAAGTTCATCCAGATTTTCCGGCGTGGTTCGCCCATGTCAGTGAAACAGGACGGGGGCCTGACAAGGACAGCTGTCTAGTTGTTCGGATGGGACAAAAAAACAAACGTCTACACATTGATGTGCACGTAAAAGATCCCTTGACAGTTGGAATTCGATAAGAGTAGGCTGTTGTCCGGGCAAAAATTTCCCTCATAGCACACTGTATGGCGTATGCCCATCTTTATTAGCCCAGTTCGGAGCAGAACAGTAGGACGTTAAACACCATATATCATTCATTTCTACAACCGATAGTACCGTACTCGAGTTATTACACTGTTTTCATCCAGTCCGTAATTTGTTTTACAATAACAAAGACAGAATCAACTAGTCTTCCCAAGACGATTACAAACTGCTAGCCTCGACATGCCAGCTTGTGCTATTATTAGTATCATTGTAATACACTATCTTTAGCCATGCAAACCAAGACACTGTTTTCTGGTTGTTGTGCAAGAGGATCAGTTTTATAAAAGTTGCTGACAGCTTATAATTTCACCATTACAACCACGGCCATTAGGCCAGAAGCGCCTTGGAGAATATTCTCAAATATTAATATTAGAATTCTTGACATTGCCAGCCCATTTAAATTGACTGTTAGCTTGTTATTTCATCATGGAGGTATTGTCAGCTACGGACATGCAAAGCAAAGGTAGTAACAACAAATACATAGACAACATAGCAGAACAATTCTATGAAGCAAAAAGAATTGATTTTGAAGTAAATGCACCGAAACCAAGTGTAATGATTTTCCGATTTGATCAAAATGAGAAAAAGACGGAAAATATTTTAGCAATGGAGAAAAATGGAATGGAAAATGCAGATATTGACAATTTGAATAAGGAAGAAAACTTGTCAACTTCATGTAAACCAGGGAAGGAACAGGACGATATTACCATACTTCTGCCTAAAAAAAAACGTGATATCACAATTAAAGCTCAACCGAGAAAGAATAAGTCCAAAAAGAAGAAAGTTGTGGCAGCCAAAAAATGGACAAATGTGCCATGTAATTCTATTGGATTAAATCTAACTCTGTTTCCAAGGCCAACTAAAACTTGTGAATTTCAGGGTGACATTGACAATATATTAAATGATATTGAAAACGAATTAAATGAATTCGAAAAAAGATCTGCAGAATTTCAAACTATTGTGAACTACGAAGATGACACTGTTACAAAATGCAAGTACCTTCGTCCAAGTAAACACAGGAAAATTGAAAAAGCGTGCAAACAAGTGAAAACGAAATACTGTAAGAGTGTTCGAAATAATAATGGTAAAACTTTATTCATTAATCATAGAGTTAACAAAAGAATGTCCCTGGAAGCTAGACGTACCTACACTTTATATTCACAGAAGACTTATGCCGAGAAAAAATTAACAGAAGAAGAAATTACGGTCACGAGGAAACAACATAAGACTCAGTCTTCCACTTGGCAAAATACCAACCGTAGTGCTCCAGTTCAAAATTTGGCCCATGCACTGGACACAACAAACAATCCAACATCTTTTGAGGCTAATGTTTTATCGTTGTTAATTAATTTACAACATCGTGAATTAACTCCAGAAGATTATGAAATATTGTCCATGTTAGACGAATCAGTCGCACCAAAAACTGTCTCCTCCAATCATCTTACTTCTTTCAAAACAGAAAAAGTTAGCGATTCATTAACAGACAAAATGTGTTCAGTATGTATGGAGATGTATACATTAGGACAGACAGTCAAATATTTACCATGTGGACATGAATTTCACGATCACTGTATCGACATGTGGCTTAGTAACTCATCCAGGAATTGTCCATTGGACGGCTTACCTGTGGACAGCTCCTAGCATAATATATTTTGATAAATGTTTTGGAGTTATGTGTTTTGAGAGAGTGGTGAATTTTGTTAAGATTTGCTGTTATTTTTTTTTATTCAAAATACCTGTATGAATATATACACCATACAATTGTATTTGAAGAAAATAAACCATTATACAAATTTATTTCACGATTTTATTAGCTTTTTTAAAGCTTGAACAAGGCATTTTTTTTAAAGTGGCAGATCTACTATCAGAACATAATGCAGTTTTAAATAAAATGAAATTTGGTTCAATCTACTACTTTTCTGCACCATTTTCAGAATGTCAAGAGGGGTCTGGGGTGGGGTACAGGATTCATAAACAGAAGTCTTAATGAATTTTCACATGTTTTAGTAAACAGTAACTCCTGCGCAAAGAAAACCATGTTAGAAGATTTTACCATTCTCCAAATTTTGTCAAGGGTCCTACATTTTTGTGCCAATTTGGACCACCCATACTCAAGGGGCTTTGGCCTGCATCGCACCCCTGACTCCTGATTAGTGAACCATCGTCTTAAGCGGTGGACACACTAGCTGAATCAATCAGCACAGAGATTCGCCTACTGTCTACCGCTTTTCTCACAGAGCCATGCAGCTCCTAGTTTTAAATAAAGATAGGTTGCTAGGCAACAAAAAGATACGCCCACAGTAGCTAAATCATCTGAGCCATCAACAAGGTTTGTCACATTTATTCTTTTGTAGGTAATTGGGGGCATTTACAAGACAATTTCATACAGATCAGATCATTTGAGGTTTCACAAGGTTCTACAAATTGAAACAAGGGCCTTAACTCTAGCAGTAATTTACAGAAATTGTTGAAAATTGACATGCTTTTTTGTTTTACGAATTTAAATAATGCATATAAATTTCCTACAGATCGGATGATAATTTTGGTCATTTTAACATTCACAAGGTTCACAAAGTAAAAAAAGGGCCATTCACACATTTACAAGGTTCACAAAGTAAAACAAGGGTCATAACTCTAGATGTAATTTACGGAAATTTCTAAAATTCAATAGTAATCCTCTTTTAACTAATTTAATTGATGCATATAAATTTCCTACAGATCGTCGGATAACTTTTGATGTTAGAGTGTTCATAAGGTGCAACAAAGTAAAACAAGGGCCATTACTCTAGAATTAATCAATGGAAATTAAATAGGCCTCTTCATCTCACTATGGTAAACAAAACCATCAGATGATAACTTTTGGGGTTAAAGCGTTCACTAGAAATTGTGGATGACGGATGGACGGGGGCGACGACAATATACGCATAAGGGCGTATAAAAACGGATGAAAGCATAGCTTGTATATCAATCAAGATCTAAATAAGACATCTATGTTAAATACTGCTCTTCATGTGTGTTGGGTATTTAGAAGCAAGATGCATTTTATAGAGACTTCAAATAAATTTCCGTCTTCATCAGCTTGTTTTTATTTCTCAGTTTAAGGGGGGGTGGATGGCCGAATGGTTACCACGCGCGCGCTGTATCATACGGTCTGTCATTGAGTCAACTGGCGGGGTTTCGAATCCCCGGTTGTACGTGGCAAGGAGTAGGGTCTCCTGTCCAACCTCGTGGGTTTTCTCTGGGTCCTCCAGTTTCCTCCCACTGCTAAAAACCCCTAATTGCAAGCGAATTATTGAAATAAAATCGAACCATGTGTTAGTCCCGAAATGACCTAGTTTGTGTCGATTGGATGTTAAACCCCATTTCTCTCTCTTTTCTCAGTTTAACATATAAGTGAGACACCATTTATAGGATAATGACCTCATGCCATACATTACAATCATATTTAAAACAATTAGATTTTTCACAGAATGAGCAACAAAAAGAGACATAATGGCTCATAAAAAAACCATACTGATCTAGTTATTTAGACAAATGTAAAGCATATTAATGGTCGTAATCCAAGTGAAAAGGATGTCTCACGCATTAATCCACCATAAAATAACAAAAAGAACGTGGAACAACATCTTGTCATTTGGAGACTAACATATTGTAGTTTTTATTTATATGGTTACTGTTCATGGTATACACAGCACATAATAACAAAACATTTTTACACTATTTCAATACTGTTCATTAATTACACACATGTAATACCAAATGTCTGAACTGCGTACTGGTATATTAATCTACGATTTCATTAATAACTACAATATAGTATGACATCTATATTTCTCAGTGATATTGTGGGAAGCAAAATCTTCCCAATGACATAATATTGCAATGGTAACAGTACTAGTTGCCATATCATAGTTTTTTCAATAATGAGTTGGTCCAACTTTTCAACACTGACTGGGCTAATGAAGACGAGCATATGCCATACGGTGCCATACAGTGAGGTAAATTTTGCCTGGACAGCGGCACTATGGCTTACTATTATAATGTTTCCGATTGTAACATGCATGCCAATTGAATGACCAGACAATGCCCTTGTAAGTTTAACGTATAAGTGAGACACCATTTATAGGATAATGACCTCATTGTTTATGTGATCAATATAATTGATTAACCTACAAGTATACTATACTCACATCAATAAACACCCCTGATTACTGTACTGTTTTGTGGGGTGTTATGTTTGACAATACTACTGATTTACAGGGCAACTAACAAAAATGTGTATTGAAATTATAGCATTTTGATTGTCAATATCGGTGTGCAACAAAAACAAAACAACCCAACCTAAGACACAATAACACAATATTATACGAACTCAGCGGTTTTGGAAAGAACAATCACAACCTACCCGGCACAAATCAGATTCGATAGTTCTCAGGACAACAAAAACAATCAAGATTTACTTAAATCTTGTAAAACTGATTTGGTTGATTTACTTTTTAAACGTAATTTTAATCTGTCTTTTAAACTTAATGGGACCGGGCTGAGAGAATTTGAGGTTATATTTGTAATATCATTTAATTTAGAGTTTAAGTTTCTTGGAAAATTTGGCTCACACATGAACACATCCTCAGTTTGGTCAAAATCTAATAACATTTTAACTTTGTCAACATCAATTGTTTCAGTAACTGGTATAATGGGTGACATTTGATCAATCAAATTCAAATTTTGCAAACCAGGTTTTGGAGAAACACCTGACAAAAATGCATGAACAGGTTCTAAAATTGAAGAATTCTGAGTTGGCATTTGGATCAAGTTCACAGATGGTTCAATGTCATTAACAGATTTCTGAATGGCTTCCTTTGAATTATCATCAACACTCACAGGTTTCAAAGTTGCACAACTAATTCCTTTATTGTTTGTTAATTTATTTATTGAGACATTTGGATCTGGTGGTTCAACAGTGGATACATGCAATAAACTGTTTAGTAACGACGTCTGAATATTAAAATTACCAAAAGTCATATCATAGGTCCTGTTGAAAACAATGGAATTGGGTGTCTTATTCAAAGAATAATCGGAAGTTAAAGGAGTTTTGTTACACCCTTGACTATTCTTTATTGCACTATAAATTGGTTTCATCGATAGTTGATCCTTCCCAAAATTGCAAAGATTTACATCGTCATTGGGTGAGCTATTTTTACTTAAATAAATATCACTTTTAGATGGTGTAGTTAAGTCACAGATGTTATTTTTGTTATTTAAAGAAAGACCCTTAAGAGAAGGTGACAACACAGTGTTGATCATGTCATCAATATCACAAACCTGTTTTAAATCTTCACTTTTAGAGATGTCACTAGCAGAAGATTGTGGCACATTTTTTTCTATACATAAATTATTCAATTTTCTATAATTATTTTCTGAAAAAGTGTTTGATGTGTCCAAACAAGAATCGTCTAAAAGGAGAATATTTTTCTTTATTGTACTCACACTTTTTTTCGACCGACCTTTTTTCTTTTTGGGCATTTTAGTATTTTGAGCAACAGATCGTGTTTCTGAAAGGTCACTGGCTGCATGAGGAAGGGTTATCGTTTGCACGACTATTGTTTCTGAGAATTCAAATGTTGAAGAATTAGTTTTAACTTTGTCATTGTCGTCATTGCTATTGGTCACAACAGATGATTCCAAAATATGCTTTGATGTTTTACTTTCATGAACTGATGTAATTGCATCCATGTTGTGTTTGTCCGTCATAGATAATGACGTTTTTATGATTGAAGCACAAGGTGTAACAGAAAATTGTTCCTCATTTGAATCTGCAATAAAATGGTTCCTTGTTTTAGTTTTATTTACCGATTCATTGATTTTCCTTTCTTCTATTTCTGTTGCCGATTGTGATCGTTCTAAAATTCTAGAAGTTCCTACTGACAAATGAGCATCTTGATCAAAATTTGACTTGACATCTTGTGATATTTTCACCAGTAAAGCTGAGGCAGGTGTTGATGTGTTTAACTCACACTTTATATTAGATCTAGATTTAGGAATAACTGAAAACTTTGATTCTGGAAAAGCTGACACAGATTTGGCTTTGTTTCTAGCTTGTCTTTGTTTTATACGAACAGATAATGGGATGAAAACATCTTCATCATCATCTAAGATAATATCCTTTTTAGAAGCTTTAGCTTCATTAACACAAACAATATCTGTCACGACAAGATTAGAACTGGTTATCTCTGATATTACATCCATTGTTGTAAATTTATTCTGTGTTTCTGAGACCATACTATGGATATCATTTGTTTTGGAACAAATTTGATCACTTTTAGTTGTAATAATTGTTTCTATTTCTTCATCTAACTTTATGGAATCCATTTCCGTTGCCATTTTGTCAAGATCAGTGTCTTTCTTTGACTTTTTCACAGACACTAAAGATAAAATTATAATATTATTATTATTATAAAGAATTATTCAGACCATGTTTAAGGTTGTAATGAATGAGGTTAAATTGACTTTCTTTTTTGACTCTTAATAACAAGATACAGAGTTTTGTTAGTGCTGCTATCCTCACCAATGGGAACTTATCTTTATTTAGTTTTATGGAAAGGATAATGACAAGCCTTCAAATAAGGCACATGTCACATGCATATTTCTTCTGGTGCCGGTCATCTTGTCCTGTATTAAATGACTAAAATAAATATTTCTAGATCTGTGATATAACTACATTACCACTGTCGAAGAGTTAAAGAAGCAGTAAATACACAATCATTGGGAACAATTTGTAGATGCGAATATATAGGTGATATAATATTTGGCTACTCATATCATATAGTGTTTGAGATCATTTCAAAAGAAAACATTAACATTACCTTTTTTCTTTGATTTTTGTTGATTTTGTTGTTGTATGAAGTGTGTAACAAGGTGAGGATAACAGTCAGTATATAATATTTGTTGTTCTATAGTAGTATAATAATTACTAGGTGTAGTAGTATCACATGCTGAAATATATACATATAATTATACAATTGAAAATCTATATAGTGGCAGCTAGCCGTCCAGGATTTCTCATAAAGCTACTAGTTTTAGGCTCAAGCGAGATTGTTTGTTCATTCCTGGGTGATATCGTGGACCAGGTGAGATTGTGAATCTGCTCCCTTTATATAGTTGTTGGGGACCCGAGTACAGTAGAGGTCTCAAGTGGACCTGAATAATTATCATCCCTCGTAGTCCCTGCTTCCGTGTGAACAGAAAGTCTGTTTATTTGCATACTCTAAACTTTCAACCTTATGACTACAAGGTTTAAAATAATTACACCTATGGGAACTATTTGGATACACAGGTTTTTATACATTTACTCATAAACAATGAGATAGGATTTAATGTTTAGCTTTTCTGAACCAACCGAGCTAAAGCAGATATATGTCCTACTGTTCTGCCATGACTGGGGTAATGAAGACGGGGATACGCCATACAATGTGCTATGCCTACTCTTATATCGAATTCCAAATGCCAAGGAATATTTTACGTGCATGCCAATGTATACACAGGACCTTGGTTTTTTGTCCCATCCAAACAGCTAGACAGCTGTCCTTGTCACGTCCTCCTGACAGCACTGTATGGTGTATGCCCGTCTTCATTAGCCCAATTCGGAGCAGAACAATAGGATGTTAAACCCCATTTTATTTCATTTCATTTCTATCTACAGATTGAGTTTATAAATTCTATTTTACCTTCTTTAATCCATTCTACCTGATAACAAGGTACACCATGTCTCACTCTACTTTTAACAATTCTGAAATAAGAAATAAAATAATACATCTCTGGTCATGCAGTAAATTTTTTGATCACACTCTTATGAAGGCCATGGATACCACATTATTCTACTTCGTTATTTGAACTTTGGTTAGATTTGATTGTGTTTGATTTCTATTGGAAGCAATGCTGGCTCAGTGGTTATGTTGCTGGCTGACTAAACAGGAGGCCACAGGCTTGTTTCCTGTGTTCCCTTTGTCAATGGTGCAGGACAGAGGGCCAAGCAACAAACACCATCTAGTCATGCAGATGGGACAAAAAAAGGCCTGTGTGTCTGTACAAGAACATGTGACAGTTGTCAGTCGATGAAAAGTAGGCAAAAACACTGCTATCCAGGCAAGATTTTCCTTATGAATGGTGTATAGACCTACCTATCCTCATTAGTCCAGTTGGTACAATAGAGTAAGATTTTGATTATTATTGGGTCTCACTCCGTTCCAATCTTGCCAGTTACCATTAAATTGTGTTAATTAAAATTCACATATTTTGCTGTATGTGCACAGATTTATAATAATTTCAAACTTCTTGATGTTTCCATTTCTTCAGTCACAGAAAATTATCTTTGAAAGCCTCAAACAAAGTCTGGATAAGTTTAACTGGGTCTGCACCAGCCTGATTACCGGTAAAACAAAGATACCATTTCATTTTGATTTTTATCGTTCAAATTTAGTTTTGTTTGTCTTCACTACAGTGAGCGTTTCGATAAACAGTATTCTGTTTAGTCAATTAAATAATCTGTTTAATTGTGATTTACACAAACTGTGCAATGAATTAAAATAAAAGTTAAATATAAATAATTTTCATCATGAAGTCAAAGTTCTAGCTGAACCCATAGTATAGTGTGGAGGCCATTGAAAGTATAAAATAATAAAACAAAATTTAGACCTGTAATATAATCAGATTGATAAAGAACAAGGAATATTGATATTCTATTAAATACAATGTTATTGAACTCATGAAAAATTTAAACTCAACAATTCAAATCAAAGTACCTGTGGGGTTGTATATGTTTTGTGGATGGTCCATGTTGTTTTCTATCCAACATACTCCATAATGTAACTAACGGTAATACTTTCTCTAATGTATATTCTATCGGCCAATCTAGTTTACTCAAAGCAAACGTCTACAAAAATAAGATATGAAACACTATTGAAAGTTTCATGAGGTAACAATCTGGTAACACAGTTGTACTAAAGATGCAAGACTTTGTGTAGACTCAAGAACCACTTTGGTGCACAATTCAAGCTTCATTTGTCTGCAGATTGGTCTCTACCATACTAGAGAAACTCCTCAGGACTACTGGATCATCTCCTCCATTTATCACAAGGGTTGTCCCACTATTTTGGCTTAATTTTCAAGAATGCTAGATCTGCAATCTTTTTATAATATTACTTCATTATGTTAGTTTTGCTATTGTCATTCCTCGATCACCACGCCATTATTAACAACTTGAAAAATAAATCTAGTTGATTGCTAAAACAATGGATTTATTGAAATATTAATGAAGAGGAGATTATTAGTCTCCAGAAAAAAAGGAGCTCTACTGTAAATATGCCTGTGCTCACATAAATAAACATTAATGGATCTCAATTAATTTTTCAAAAGTAATATAGATGATACAGTAATGTGGGCAATCACTAGCACTAAATATTATTTTAGTTTTTAGTTACAGTAACTTACCTGTGCTGTTGATATGTTCGCTTTCTTCCACTGAAAAGGTTTACTTGGTAGTTTTTCTTTTACCAAAAGAAATTCATCTATTACCTAAAAAAGGATTTATTTCACAAAATATTTTTATATCCGCATACATAATTTTCATAATGTGCAGATTAAATACTAAATTGATATGTCACCATATAAACCATTCTTTAAAAATCTCAACTGTGAAATAGAGGACAATTAATACATCAGGGTACATGTATATTATACTTCTTCAACCAAAGGCAAGATGTCGATAAGAGTACATTAAGTAATGATGTACGATTTACATTTTTTGCTAAAATAGCACATTTCTCACGGCTTAATCCATGCTAAGATATTCTCAGATCGATTATTTAACAATTTATTAAGAAAACAAAATTAAAATACCAATGTTTGATAATCTCCTGGCTTGGATTCAAACAGATTTAAAACAGATCCAATCAGAGATCTGTTTTTTCTCTTTGTTTATAGAACATTGTTGCTAACAAATTACTATATAAAGCATCAGTTGGCAATCAACAAGTAAATGATAATCAGGGCTAGCTAAGTCAAGCAAGTCAGCGAGTTTGGGAGTGCTATGGAAGTGATCTTTACAGAATAGCCTCAATTTATTATAAATGACAACTGAATTATAAAGTGTGTGGTCTTTGATGAAAGGAAACTGTGGGTACCTATGATTCCTTGGTTACATTTTTAGAATTAATTGAGTGTTAGATATATTAAGTTGAATATACCTGCTGTTGAGGAAAATCTGATACTTTCATAGCTTTATCTCTTATATTAACTTCTATTTTATCAATACACTGTGATAAACTCATATTTCTCCATTCATGAAACCTACAAACATGGTAAATAAACTATAATATATACTTTTATGAAAGAAAAAATACTTAATTTATTTGGGCGACCTTTCGAAGATTATTCTATCAACATTTTCAAGCAAGTACAGTAAGAAACCTGTTAGAAACATAATAAGACAAGCAAGTCTTACTTCATCTATTATAGTAAATCTTCTTCAAACTGAGCTCTTAATGTCATATAGCATGAACCCAAAATCATTACATATAGCACTTGTACTTAAACAATCTTTAGTTGAATCAACATATCCAGATTCAACTTCTTGGTGTTTACAACTGTTTTCAAAATACCCTGTAAATTTCAGCTGAAAATTGCTCCCCATAATGGCCATATTTTATTTTATATCATTGACAAATGGTGAGAAGTCACAGTGAAATTATGCAACTCTGCTACTTACTGACCTGGAAATAATGATCTTAGGTGTACCTGACAAAATGTTGGGGCACTGCAGAGGTTGTTCTAGACATTTTTAACTTTGTGCTGGAAATGTTTTGAAAATTTCAACAAAAACACAGAAATTAGACAAGGTTGTGACTGGCCAAATGACAGGTACCAGAGAGGTTGTGTCTGACAAAGTCTGTATTTGTAAGCTACCTGACATTGTCTGTGACAGACAGTATACTTCCAAGCTTAGAGTGAAGTCCTGGCTATATAGACTCTAAACCTTGTACACTAAGTACAAGTACCTCAGCCTTATGAATGGATAGAATGACTCTCCTTATGATAACTCTCCTTATTTACCAAAGTCCCTACCTAGTCCAAACTGGGGGAACTTTGTTAGGAGAGCCAATTTTGACTTTTGCAAATTAAGCAGAGCTCTTTTCAGCTTAACAGCTAAATACAGAAAAAAATGACTGGTAAACCATCTCTGGTTTTTGATCTAAACTCTCACTCGGACTGACAATAAATTTTGGGGGGTTAATGTTTATACCTATGTATTATATCTATACCAGATAAAGACTTCAATAGTTTAACAGCATTAGCTACTCCTACACCACACACACCACCAGGTAAATAATCACATCCTAATAATAACGATAATCCTACTAGACTCTGTCTAGTTATACATAGTTTTCTCTCTATATCCACCATTTTAAAACTCTCTACATGTGGATCCTGGCAAAATATTATATGGCAATTATTATAAATAATCAAATAATTCAGTTACTGAAATCAGTCTTCACTATTGATCAAAAATGGTATACATAACCATATACTGTAGTGACAAATATTAAGCACCATACAGGTTCTTACTTTCTAAAACACTTCTTATGTATTTGGCAAGTTTTACCCAACTGCCCAAATTAACAGATTGTAATATGCATTCTGCTTACAAAAAATGATTAATGTATCTTGACAGAATTTGGCAAGTCATTACAAAATTACATCAAAAATAATATAAGCTTATAAGGCAAGAGTAATGATCTGTCAATCCTTGATATGGTAATAGCGTGAAATACTATTTATCTGCATATTTGAGTTTATTTAATATCTTGTTACCACTTCTCATAGATCAAACTAATATACCGTATGGTCATTTTATTTACCTCGGCCCTGTTTCTCCAAATCTTAACTAAAGATAAAATCCAATTTTACTAGAGATACTTCAATTTTGATTGGCTAAGCACTAAAATCAATCTAATATTATCCAATCAAATTACTAAAATTTGGATTTTATCTTAGTTATTCTCTGAAACAGGCCCCAGTACTAGCGATGAGAGAGAAGGGAATTTTGCCCACTTGCAGTTCTTTGAAATGTCATGGTCAGGAGATTTGATAAATGCAATGTCAATGTGACCTTGTATATCAGGGAGCTGTGACAGTTGAGCAGTAGGGTAGGGGGCTTTCAAGTAGAATGTCCCAGGATTTTCAAGCCCGTTTTTCACTTTGTCACATGTAGGTCCTGTGGGGCTGTCATGAAATGTGTGCCTAGTTATTCTGAAGAGACAAAAATAATAAGGTACATATTGGCATACATATAAAAGAACCCTTGACATTTCGAATGTGAAGAGGAGTGGACAGAAACCCCACTGTCTACACAATATTATGCCCTACACATATAACCATCAAAATAAAATAACCATAGGTTAGTCTCGAAATGACCACAACATTGTGTTCACAAGACTTTAAACCCTATTCCATTCCATTCAGTAGACTCCCAAGCTTTCCTCAATTCACCCTGGATTTACTAAAATATATGTTACCTTTGTGTTCATGGTAAAGTTTCTGTAGACAGTTTGTGCACCATAAAGAAAGGCATCTCCATCATCCGTTATACATGCATCAACTAACTGTAGTAATATATATAAATGAATGTTGAATAAATATGCACTTACCTTTCAGGGTTTGTGCTAAAATATCTACTTGACTAAAATCAACAAGATGTTTAGCAAGATACAGTGACAGACAATTTCTGTGTTTTGTTGTTAGCGTTGACAAGGTTCAATAAAGTGAAACAAGGGTGATAACTCCAGAGGAAATTAAAGGAAATTAAATAGGATTCTTCATCTTACTGATGTACACAACATATATCAATTTCAAAAGAATCAGATGATAAATGTAGTCTGTAGAGTGTTAACAAGAAATTGAGGAAGACCGGCAATATACAACCACATTTCCATGTGGGCATATGAAGAGATAAGAGTTTAATCTCGCTATTGAAGTTTTTTTCCTGGCTTCTAATGTTATATAATTTTAGACATTTATTTACATGAAAAGCCCATAATCAACTTTCTAGATCATTGAATGATCGAGATAATAACCTTTAAATGGATAATCAAGACTTTCCTTAATAGTGTAGCAATGGTACTTGACAAATGAGACTATTTAGGCTAAATCTTGTCAAAATTTTAAACATAACTTTAAATATTCATAACTTTGCTCAGAATAAAGTAATTTGACTGAAAATTTCAAAATATTCAAGTTTCATTATTTATTTTTGAACTATTATTGCATTTGAACTATTTATCTTTCATAATGCTGCTTAAATAAATGCTGTTAAAAAATAAACAAAAATTAAAAAATTTTTAACAGTGATCGAGAAATTAAATACTTGTATATTGGACACTCATTATCAGAATTAATCAGTCAGCTTTAAACTGGACACAAGTAAAAATTAGATGATTTGGGGTGAAATTAATTGATTTTTACGACTTTTTAAACCAAGATTTGATATTAAACGAATGTGAAAGAAATTAGTGCTGGATACAAAGATTAAATGATACCCGGTTTATAGTGATAGCAGCTGCATGAACTGTTGGGGTCTACCAGGATGTCTTGACAGGCCCTTGTTAAACTGAAAAAGAATTCATTAAGGAAAGTTAAAGCAACCTACCCCTGCAGCATTTAATGTAGCACACATTGCTTCAGCTTCTCCATTACCAGTTATATGTGGTATACCTAGTAGATCTAACAGCTGACAACACTACAATAAACCATAGCTATTATTACTGTACACAGCCTTAATTAACCATTAAGCAAAATAAGCACAGGCTTATTAGGGCCTTAAAGAAAGAGGGCCTCACAGATTTAGAAACGTCTATGCATTCTCAATCCAATATGACATTTTTTTATGCTACGTAATACTGATGCTGTAGCGGCTACTGTATATAAATCTTAAAGTAAGTTTTGTTTTCATTATGAATTACAATGTTACCATAATCTTTTCAGTGCTTATAGGGCCTCCAAAGCTCTGGTCCTGACTGTATATACAGCACTAAATCCCACTAAAATAACTTACTGAACATAAATTCATCATGCACTGTAAAAAAAAGCATCTTTTCTAGTAATGTTTCTCAAGGAAAGAACTAAATACCATGCATTTATAAACATGCATTTCAAGATTCATCAAAATCGGATCAAAATTGGGAGCTCTAGAGGGTCCACAACCTTGATATACCAGATGTTTACACTATTGAGTAGACGGGCGGCCATTTTGTCTGGCAGTTTTGGTCCGATTTTCACGAACTTCGAAATTGACCATCATTATGGTGTAACGGTGATATATTCACATGTTTTTTTAAATCAGATAATAATTGTGACCTCTAGAGGGACCACAACTAAAAACGTGATTTTTCGTACAGTCAGGGGCCATAATTCAGGAAGTTACGATCCGATATGTGCAAATATCGACAGCAACCAAGATCATTTGGTTACAAACATGTTTTTCAAGTTTCATCAAAATCTGATCAAAATTCTGAGCTCTCGAGGGTCCACAACCTAGATATACCATATTTTTACACTGTTTGTGTTCAAGGGGCGGCCATTTTGTCCGGCAGTTTTGGTCTGATTTTCACGAAATTTGATCTCAACCGTCATTTAGGTGAAACAGTGATATTATTCAAAAGGTTTTTTTAAAATAGGAATAAAATTGTGACCTCCATAGGGTCCACAAGCTAAAAAAACGTGATTTTTCGTACAATCAGGGGCCATAATTCAGGTCCGATATGCGCAAATATTGTAAGGAACCAAGATTTTTGGGTTATAAACTTACAATTTTACAAAATCGGGTAAAAATTGTGACCTCTATAGGGTCCACAAGCTAAAAATGCGATTTTTCGTACAATCAGGGGCCATAATCCATGAAGTTACAGTCCGATACATGCCAATATCGAAAGGGACCGAGATCTTAGGGAGATAAACCTATATTTCAAGTTTCGTTGAAATCGGATAAAAATGGTGACCTGTAGAGTGTCCAAAAATAATTGTGGTCGGACGGACGTTTAGATGGACAGCGGCGACGACAATCTACGTCCACATGAAAATGTGGGCGTATAAAAATTGTGACTTCTAGAAGATCCATAATGTTGGTATTACATATAAACTATATGCGTACAAGGAGCTGCTATTTTATCCGGCATTTTCGGTTGGGTTTTAATTTTAACGAAATTTGAACTCAACCTTCACTGAGGTGTAACGGTGATATATTAAACATACTTGTGATATAAACATACATTTCAAGTTTCATCAAAATTGAATAAAAATTGTGAATTCAAGAGGGTCCACAACCTTGGTATTACATACTTTTAGACTATTTGCGTACAAGGAGCGGCCATTTTGTCCAGCAGTTTCGGTCAGATTTTTATGAAATTCAAACTCAACCTACAACCTAGGGAGAGGGGATCAATATAGGCTATGCCTGTTCCTTAATCCCTATTCAGATACAAATCTGAATAAAAACTATAAAACTAACGAAACCTACATTGAGTTTTAACAGTGATATATTTAAACGTTTTTTAAAATTGAATCCAAAAACGTGATTTTTCGAACAATCAGGGGCAAAATTCAGGAAGTTTCGTTCCAATATGCGTGATTATCAAAAGGAACTGAGAACTTTGTGATATAAACACAAATTTAAACGTTTTTTAAAATTGAATCCAAAAACGTGATTTTTCGAACAATCAGGGGCAAAATTCAGGAAGTTTCGTTCCAATATGCGTGATTATCAAAAGGAACTGAGAACTTTGTGATATAAACACAAATTTAAAGTTTCATCAAAATCAGATCAAAATTGTGCTAGAGGGTGCACAACCTTGATATACCATATTTACGTTTAAGGAGCGGCCATTTTGTCTGTCAGATCTGTCAGATTTTCACGAAATATGAACTCAACCCTCAATTTGGTGTAACGGTGATATATTTAAAAGTTTTTTTTCAATCGGATAAAAATTGTGACCTTTTGAGGGACCACAAGCCAAAAATACCCGAATATCGAAAGAAACCGAGATCTTTGTGTTATAAACATACATTTCAAGTTTCATCAAAATTGGATTAAAATTATGACCTCTAGAGTGTCCACAAGCTAAAAACATTGTTTTTTGTACAATCAGGGACCATAATCCATGAAGTTACAATCCGATTCATGCCAATTTAGAAATGAACCAAGATCTTTTGGAGATACACCTATATTTCAAGTTTCAGTAAAAATAGATAAAAATTGTGACCAGTAGAGTGTCCACAAACAAAATGTGAACGTACAGACAGATAGGTGCGACGACAATATACATCCACATGAAAATGTAGGCATATAAAAATATAATAAGAAACCATGAAAATTATAAATCTGTGATGAACTTCAAACTTATGGACACAGTAGGAGACTGGGCCGAATTAATAAAATTATGGGGTTTAAAGCCTTTCTTTTCTGCTCAAACCATGCTAATGAAGATGGACATACGTCATGCAGTGTGCTTTGAGGTAAATTTTGCTTGGACAGTAACTGAATTCCAACTGTCAAAGGTTCTTTTATGTGCTTGCTATGGTGTACATGGGACCTCGTTCTTTTGTCCCATCCAAATGACTAGATGCAATTCCTTGCAAGACTATCCGTCCTGCAACACTGACAAGAGAGAAACCATGCTTGATAATCCTGAGGAATTTTCTAGTACAATTACACCTGCTTCAAAACCAACACCTGCATCTAAACCAGGACCCCCAGGTTAACAGGCCAGTGCCTTACTCACTGAGCCACTGCGGCACCCAAATACTGCACTGTGAATTTACAACATGTATATAGATACATACACTAACCTCTTTCAAACATGAAGTAAACTGTGATCTCTTTCTTTTACCGCCTTTAAATGTAGCGCCTGGTTTTACTAAACCCCTAGCTTGTTGTCTTTTCCACATTTCTTCCCATTTTAATTCTGGTGCCTCTCCTTCTACAACAAATACCAGCTTTACACCCAACTGTGTCAGGTAGGAAACACGGAAAAATAAATTTCTGAAAAATATAATCATAAATAATTTACATTCAAGATTCACCATACAGAATTTTGTATATTTTATTCTGTCCATTTCAATTCTATTTAAACTATATTAACACAATTCTTGAAAAGAGTGGAAGCCTTTAGATGGGTACTTCATTGGACAGGTTACATCCATCGAATATTGATGGCTGGACAAACATTACAAATTAAACTTTGCTTTATATCAAGTACATTAACGTGCAGGGGGTGGGGGATGGTTAGCGCGATGGGCGTTGTATCATAAGATCTGTTATTGAGTCAACTGGAGTGGTTCGATTCCTCAATTGTTAGTTACACGTTGTAGGGTCGCTGTCCAACTTTGTGAATTTTCTTCGGGTCCTCCGGTTCTTCCCACTGCTAAAGACCTGTACGTGCAAACGAATTATTGAAATAAAATTGAACCGTATATTAGTCCCGAAATGACCTAGTTTGTGTCAAGTGGATGTTAAACCCCATTTCTCTCTCTCACATCAGTGTGCGGGACAGGATATGCTTTAGGGGTGCTGTAAAATTTTTGCACAATTATGGCAAATCCTGTTATAAATGAAGTTGTAACTTTATTACCTGAGATGAGGTTTAACAACCACACCTTGCATCTGTCTCACAGATTGATTTTCACAAACCCAAATTGATAAATCTACAGCTAACGTCTGTCCTTTAAGTTCAGATAATAATGTATGTTGCTTTACTGGTGCTAATATCGTCCATAAATTAGTCACGCCCATGATACATCACTAGTTAATTTTTTAATCTGCAATAAAAATAATCAAACTTGTTATTTAGGACAGCAATCTGACTTCATTCAAATTTTATGTTTAAAGACAAATAGTTTACTAAACCCATTTCGTTCTTTAACTGTCAGTATTTAAAAATTAAATTAAAATTAGTAAGCAAGCCGTCTTGGCCACTTAATCTTTCAAAACCTTGAAATAATAATGTTAGTACTTCCGAAATTTGTGCTGTACATGTATTAAAAATGAGAATGAAAAAAGACAAATCTATGTTGAACAAACCAACAGACACCAAAGGGCTTCTGCCTCAGCAGCCTGACATTAAAGTGATAATTGCATTTTTTCTATATCTAATTAATATAATCATTTCTAAATCTATTACTTAATAGGTTGTTAAATCACTACTATGCAATCATAGGAATCATTCTAACACTTATATTTTCTAACATTCTAATCACCGACGGTATTTGGAAATTGTATCATTTCTTTTCCATGGAAAACTAAGTCTACACAATGAAAGTGGGAGTTAAAATTGTCTTGATTTTCAAAGTCTGTGGTTAAACAAATAAGGATAATGTTGCTTGGGTGAGCGAGACTTTTCAAACCTGCACATGTATGTGATAACACTGTAAAAAGCAACGTTGGATTTTAAAAAGAAAATGATATATTTGCCAATTTCTCAACTGATACAAGTCAATTAAAGGATTTAGGACTGTGTGTATAGATGTCTGAATTTGTGTCTGACAATGTCTGTGACAGGTCCTTTTTTTCCAAGCTTTCCGCTAACTAATCTAAATTTAAACACAGATCAACCCTTTAATCTTGTTTAGAAATTACATAGTTCAGAATTAAATGTGAAATTTTTTTCAATTTACACTGATTTTTTGGGAAAATTTATGGTTGTAGTTATTTGATACCAAAACTGAACAATTCTTCAATTTTAAGAGAAGAGCCTATATTTGTCGAATGGCTGGGGCTATTTGCCACATGTGGTAAAACAATCCGGAGACTATTTGCCACATGTGGCAAGTCTCCGTACCGCAATTATCAACCGATTTCAATGAAACTTACAGATAACGATAACATTAATAATATCTCAGAGTAGGCAAAATTTCGACCACTTCCGGTTAGCGGTTTCCGAGATATCAGGTTACCACACATTTCATGTGGCACGGCTACAGACCACAGTTATCAACCGATTTCCATGAAACTTACAGAATATGATAACATTAATAATATCTCAGAGTAGCCAAAATTTCGACCACTTCCGGTTAGCGGTTTCCGAGATATCAGGTTACCAAACATTTCATGTGGCACGGCTACAAAACACAGTTATCAACCGATTTCAATGAAACTTGCAGAGTATAATTACTTTAATAATATCTCAGAGTAGCCAAAATATCGACGACTTCCAGTTAGCGGTTTCCGAGATATCAGGTTACCACACATTTCATGTGGCACGGCTACAGACCACAATTATCAACCGATTTCAATGAAACTTGCAGATTATAATTACTTTAATCATATCTCAGAGTAGCCAAAATCATATCTCCGATTAGCGGATTCCGAGATATCAGGTTACCACACATTTCATGTGGCACGGCTACAGACCACAATTATCAACCGATTTCCACGAAACTTGCAGATTATAATTACCTTAATAATATCTCAGAGTAGGCAAAATTTCGACCACTTCCGGTTAGCGGTTTCGGAGATGTCAGGTCACCACACATTTCATGTGTCACGGCTACAGACCACAATTATCAACCGATTGCCATGAAACTTACAGAATATGATAACATTAATAATATCTCAGAGTAGCCAAAATTTCGGCCACTTCTGGTTAGCGGTTTCCGAGATATCAGGTTACCACACATTTCATGTGGCACGGCTGCAGACCACAATTATCAACCGATTTCCATGAAACTTGCAGATTATAATGAAATTAATAATATCTCAGAGTAGCCAAAATTTGGGCCACTTCCGGTTAGCAGTTTCCGAGATATCAGGTTACCACACATTTCATGTGGCACGGCTACAGACCACAATTATCAACCGATTTCAATGAAACTTGCAGATTATAATTACTGTGTTTTGTAGCCGTGCCACATGAAATGTTTGGTAACCTGATATCTCGGAAACCGCTAACCGGAAGTGGTCGAAATTTTGGCTACTCTGAGATATTATTAATGTTATCATATTCTGTAAGTTTCATGGAAATCGGTTGATAACTGTGGTCTGTAGCCGTGCCACATGAAATGTGTGGTAACCTGATATCTCGGAAACCGCTAACCGGAATTGGTAGAAATTTTGTCTACTCTGAGATATTATTAAAGTTATTATAATCTGCAAGTTTCATTAAAATCGGTTGATAATTGTGGTCTGAGATATTATTAATGCTATCATATTCTGTAAGTTTCATGGATATCGGTTCATAATTGTGGTCTGTAGCCGTGCCACATGAAATGTGTGGTAACCCCCATATCTCGGAAACCGCCAACCGGAAGTGGCCGAAAGTTTTCCTACTCAGAGATGTTATCAATGTTATCATAATCTGTAAGTTTCATTAAAATCGGGTAACAATTGTGGTCTGTAGTCGTAAGGCTATTTTGAAATTCTTACTTACCACATGTGGCAAATAGCCACTGCCTTTGTCGAATAGGACAAACTCTCACATTTCATTAGTTTGTCTACTAAGTTCTATGTAGTAAATAACTAGTATGTATGTAGGCTACTGTACTGCCTTAAAATAATGTATTTTGATAGACAGTCTAAAATAGTACTTTAATTTTAATATGCGTGTCCAGCTAGTGAAGGTAAAGGCTGGCTTAAAATGCCCCTGCCCTCCTGGGTTAGCCTAATAATTATGGGGCATATGACAAGTCAGTGGGCATTATAAATTACTACCCAACTTCATCTGATATGAAAGCTTGGTCAAGTTGGAAGCAGAAGCTAGTACTTGACATGTTTTGAAGCTTACTTCTTAATTTGTCTTATGATTTGAGTCTGAATCCTGCGTGCTTCCCCTTCTGATTTTAATATACTGATATTGTATAGTTCGCTAATAAATAATTTCGATACACTAGAACATTGCTTATGTCGCAAGACTGTATAGTAAATATACTGAATAATTGTATTTTATTAATAAAAGAAACCAAACAATAACCGTCAAACACCTGCCCATTTTCATCGAATTTGCCGCCATATTTCAAGGTCGTTGGGTTAAGTTAATTATAAATAATTATTTTTTATAATCAAGATGATAAAAAATCACATTTTCGCTGTACTGTGTGCTAATGGATAACAAAATTTTAAAAAATTCATCGTATTCGTAGATTTAAGAGAGGGGAATCCCTTCAGTCACGTGACTTTATTTTCTTTTTTTATCGGGAAATATCCCACGGATGTTCGCGCCAGATTTTAAACACCCGATATTAATTGTGTTATTTTAATGGATTTGGGTCATAATGCCACTTTTAGGCAAGAAGATTTTTGCCCCATCGAAGCCATTGGCAGATATTCAACCGAATGAGGCAGTGTACACGATCCCATACACAGGAGAAAAGTTCCGACAGAAGTCGTATCCTTTTATGCAAGCGATCGCTAAAAATTCAATATGGCGGCCCGCATGAAATCTATTGTCAAATTCACTATTTTGGCGATATCTTGGTAAATAATGGTCAGATTTAGGTGTAATTTTCCAGGACGTAGGAGAGTTTGGGTCTATAATTTCAGGTAAATATAGAGAGGTTTCCATAACAGTTTCCACTTATGATTTTAATTTTTAAAAGTTGACGAAAATGCACACGTTTACATTGTTTACATTACTATGACGACAACATTTTTCGATATAAGTAAAATTTGGTTATTTAGCTACTAACTGACACGTATAACATGTCAGTTATATCAAAATAATACGTTACAAAACGGTGTAATTGACGAAGGGTGGTTGCGTCGGCCATGTTGATTTGTCTGTTTCTCGTGAGCTTTGTCGTCTGCTAAAATTGTCGGTAATTTCTCGCAACGGGAATATCTTTCACAATTACTGACATTGCATGTATTCTATTTTATGGTTTAAAATAAGTTTCTACAAATAATGATAACATTATGTTCATAACACCTTGATTTTCTTAGTTGAAAATGGCAACTTATGTTTGTTAGGAGACATTTTGCATCAGTTTGACAGACCTGTGAGAAATGTGCCGATGTGCCGTTTTTATGACCCATTTTATAAAAATCCGAACAATTTAAGAGCTTAATTTTGGCACTTTATGGAAAATTTTATCATAATAAATTGACATTTTACACGATTTCTATATACATTTCCTTAATAATTGAAAGTGAATACGACCAAAGATGTATGATGTACAAAGAAAGAATATGGACTTGTCAATGCACGGGCCACGTGAATCTGTCATATGAAGAGGCATGGAATTCTGAAAAAGCAGTCCATAAAACAATCAAAGATCAATTTTCTGATTGCTTCAAGAAACCAACTTTAGAAATTGTTCATCATGGTAATGATTATTTTCCTAATTAATGTCAAAATTCATCAGTAAACATTCCATTCACATGTTACTATTTTTAGCCAGTAGGTGGCGCTGTTTGTAAACAATGCTTGATGGTAAATTACTTGCTGTGTAATACCCGGTAACCAGTATTTTTTTGCAGATGAATGAATATTATTACTGCAAATATTTCTCGTTGGAACTTGGGTAACATTGATACAAATATAAGATGACAAATTTTTCCCTCATTAGATATTTTTTTGATAGGTAGATTAAATTGTCAACATCCCAATTTGCAGTGTTACTGTTGATCAATATGCAGGCAGGTAATCCTATAAACAAGTAGCCTACATAAACATGAGGTTTAGGAATTCAGGCTTATATTGTAGGCCTATCTAAAAGCTGTGGTTATGGTGGATGCTTTTCAATGAAATTAAAAATTAGATGCAATTCAATATCAATGAGCTTGTGTATACAGTTCTTGGTTCTAACAAAAATTCAGATTTGTTTGCTTTTTAAAATGTAGTTTTCAGTTCCTTAATTTTCCAATAAGATTCAAACCTACTGCTATAGTGAAATTTTTATGGAAATAAGCATTGTATATTTATCCCCTGCAGCTGAAACTGGAGGGGATTATAATAGGTTTTCTCCAGTCTGTAATTTTTGTTTTTTGGAATTTTTTAAAAGTAAACTTTCAGAGATTTGATTGAAATTAGATAGACTGTAGGTCTATATTGCAGAGTTAGAGATCAAGTTTGCATTTTGTGGGATTTTAATGAATTATAGCCCTTAGAATTACAATCAATAAAAATTCTGTTTTCTATAATTATTTTGGTTAAACTTTGAGATATTTGATTGAAGGTTGATACACTGCTGTATGAAATAGATCTAATTCACATTGTTTGTGATTCTGTTAATTTATTACTGAATTATGGCTCTTTGTTCACCAAAAAACAATTTATTCCACCTTACACGTACGTGTTTGGATTATACATTCACAGTATTGCATTCACAGTATCAGTCTCTTATGGAGTCTCTTGTAAAATTTATAGGGGACAGCAATAATATCAGAATGCTTATTTTTTTTTTTTCAGCGACGGTATCGTTAGATAATTTAGTGGATCAGGCATGGTTAAAACTACAACAAGTTTTATGTATTGGTGAACATGTAACTTTAAAAGTGAAATCAGCAGCGAAGACGTAAGTAAAAGTACCCACCTGTATCAGTATACACTATACAACTTGTCACCACTGAATATACATTGCTGTTCTGTATCCATATATAGGCAGTGTTAAATGAGTTGCAAGGTTGTCAAATAACTTTTGGTGCCAGCCTTTCTCAGAAAAGGTGTACGATTCCCAAAACTTGTATTGAGAATGTTGATGATGAGCAATAACAACCGCAGAGATAAACTATTTCATTGGTTGAGATTTTGGAATACCTTATAATAACTTTGATTTTGTGATGAAATTCAAGAGTCTGTTTTCATTAATCAATAGCCTAAGTTACGTTTGATGAGTTCGATCATTGGTATTTTTTGCCTTAGCTATGTATAGATAACCTGTGTTACACAATGCTTTACATAAAGATAAATGTGCAATTAAACATACATTATGCAAGAGCTGAATCTGATTATTGCAAGTCTTTATTTAGGCTTCAGATGTCATAGAAATTATAAATTAGATCTTTTACACAACAAGCATAAAATCTACTCTGTAGACCCACGGATGGCTTGGATTTAAACAGGATTTCATTGATTGATTAAATTTTTAAATGGCGTCCCAAGCGGAGATTAACCATTACGTTGACGTCATACTCCCGGAAATTTTACATCGAGGCTAAATGATAGAGTGTACGAAGCGAGGCCGCATTGCATTCAATTTGATTGAAAGTTCGATATATACGGTTTTGATATTATGTTTAGCTGTGGTTAAAATGAGAGTTTGGATGTCGGTATTATACGCTCTTTTGTCACTTGCGTTTACAGAAAAATTATGGAAATTGATAAACATCACAGCTAACATCACACCAGTTGAATTGCAGCCCCATTGGATCACTGTTTCCTGTTTGTCTGCTTCGGGAGTTACGTAGGCCTACCAGTTACAATACAAGAGTACACGCACGCAGGCTAACAAGAAGTCAGCTATAATTATGATTCATTGATTTGGTCCATTCCTTTCAAACTTTCGCTATCTATATATTAAAAGTCTTATTTTTAATTTGTAGTAAAAATAAATGTGATACAAATTGAATTGCAACCCCATCTCAAACCGAATAGGCTAACGGAGTTAACGGCTGTCAATCAAACGATCGGCCATTCTCAGAGACGGTGAAGAGAGAGTTGACTCCTATTTCTAGTCAAAAATTACAATGGTGATAACTTTGTTCAGAATAAAGTAATTTGACTGAAATTTTCAATAGATTCTTCTTTCATCATCTGTTTTTGAACTGTTATAGCAAGAATGGCCAACTCTCTATTAAAATCTCTCATAATGTATCTTTAATTAATAGTGTAATAAAGTTTTAAGTTACTATCAATTTTTACTCGATTTTCAGAATTAAAGCAACTATCGTCAGTGTAGACACATGTGGAGTAAACGTAAGTAATAAACTCTTACTATTCTATGTTAATGCAGCAACCAGATAGAAGACAACATTGATCAGGGACTTCATTTCGTGGGACTTTGGGGTATAAAAAAATGGAGTATAATTAAAGATTCCTAGCCATTTAATGATCTTCTACACTAACCACGGTGAATGAAAGAATAATAGAGATATAATATCAAAAGCAATAACTCTAAGCAGCAGACCAAAAAATAGTGGTTTGCTTGTCATGTATATTTTATACTTTGGGATGTGTCTCTTTGTGATATTTCATTATTCTTTTGAATTATATTTATTTTAGGCCAATCCTACTAGTAACTGTAGTTCACCATCAAGTGATAAAGAAAATAGTGCATCTGAAGGAAAAGAAGCAAGTCCTAAAAAATGGCTTCCGCCCAAGGTACATGTGTATAAATTTTCAATATGTATAAAAACGCTTACAATTATGTAATATGATGCTTGATTTAATATATAATGTGTAAATGTTATAATAAAGCCACAACATTCAGATGAGCAAGAAAAATAGCCATAAAACACAATAACTCTCTTTCTAATTGAGCTAGAATGTTCAAACTTGGAATAGGTGTTTATTAGGTCAATGCCTTGATGGAGTTCGAAGATGAGCATTTTCTGCTTTAATAGGGTAAGCAGAAATAAGCAATTGCTTGGTTGATGCTTTGGGACACGATAACTTAAGTTCTAATTAAGTGAAAGTGATGAAACTTGGTGTATAGTTTCATTACATCATAACCTTGAATAAGTTCGATAATGAGCATTTTCTGCTCAGGGTAAGCAGAGCGATGAGCAATTTGATTGGCCGAGACTTTGGAACACAATAACCCTCCTTCTAATTGAGCTAGAATGTTCAAACTTGGTGTAGGTGTTTATTAGGCAAATGCCTTGATGGAGTTCAAAGATGAGCATTTTCTGCTCAGGGTAAGCAGAGATAAGCAATTTGATTGGTTGATGCTTTGAGACACGATAACTTTAGTTGTAATTAAGTGTGAGTGATGAAACTTGGTGTATAGTTTCATTACATCATTACCTCGACTAAGTTTGATAATGAGCATTTTCTGCTCAAGGTAAACAGAGCGAAAAGCAATTTTATTGGTCGAGACTTTGGTACACAATAACTCTCATTCAAATTGAGCTAGAATGTTCACACTTGGCGTAGGTGTTTATTTAATTAATAGGTAAATGCCTTGATGGAGCTTGGAGATAGAAGATGAGAATTTTCTGCTTTGGGTAAGCAGAGATAAGCAATTTGATTGGTTGATGCTTTGGGCCCCAATAACTTTAGTTCTAATTAAGTGAGAGTAATGAAACTTGGTGTATAGTTTCATTACATCATTACCTTGACTAAGTTCGATAATGAGCATTTTTTGCTCAGGGTAAGCAGAGCAATAAGCAGTTTGATTGGCCGAGACTTTGAAACACAATAACTCTCCTTCTAATTGAGCTAGGACGTTCAAACTTGGTGTTGGTGTTTATTAGGCAAATGCCTTGATCGAGTTCGAAGATGACTTTGGAACACAATAACCCTCCTTCTAATTGAGCTAGAATGTTCAAACTTGGTGTAGGTGTTTATTAGGCGAATGCCTTGATGGAGTTCGAAGATGAGCATTTTCTGCTTAGGGTAAGCAGAGATAAGCCATCTGATTGGTTGATACTTTGGAAGCCAATAACTTTGGTTTTAATTAAGTGTGAGTGATGAAACTCCGAGTATAGATTTATTATATCATTACCTTGACTAGTTTGATGATGAGAATTTTCTGCTTAGGCTTAGGATCGATAAGCAATTTGATTGGTCAAGACTTTGGAACATAACAACTCTGCTTTTAATTGAGGTAGAATGTTTAAACTTGATGTTGAAGCTCATTAGGTGAATGTCTTGACTGAGTTCAATGATTAACATTTCGAGCTAAAGCTAAACAGAGCTAACCAATTTTATTGGTCGATGCTTTGGGACAAGATAACTGATAGAGTGATGTAACTTAGTGTAAAGTTGATAATCAGTTTAATTGCTTGATAATTTTAAAAAAAATAAATGTGCGATTAATTAATATGTGTCATCTATTTATTTTAGGATTTTGGCGGGGGACATTGATCAGCCTCACTGTTGGCTTGTTATTTCTGTAATAATCTGTTTTTAATTGAATATTTATGCTAACCTTGGTTTACCTTTTGTCTAGTTTTTGTAGTCATTCAATCATATAAAGTTGCTCAAAATATTTGTATCAAGTTATAAAATTCTGATAACAATGTAAGATAGATAAATTACACATTTAAAAAAAAAAAAGATCATAACATTTGTATTTTTTTTATTATATCAAAAGAAGATTAAAACGAAGTTAATTAACACATATAAGTATATTTTATAATAGAGCCCACGCCCCCTGGACTCGCTCATGGTATCTCTCATTAAAATATTTTGATAATTTCTTTTTTTCAGTTATTACCTTATAAATATAGTATACGTCTGGAAGATGAAGATAAAGTCATCAATGCTGTACCAGCTTCTGATTTGTCGTAAGTTACCATAAATATCAAAACTGCTTTTTTTTTCAAATTATTGAAATGACTCGTGTTTGATTGATGACTGTAAATATTTTAAATTTGAAAAACAGGGCTCTCTATCTTCAGTTTTTACAGATGATTTTTGAGAGCAACTTGGGTTTCACGTAAAATTATTCAATCATTTAGAATTTGAGTGATAAACTGCTCACAATTGTTATATTCTTTTGAGGGAAAGGGTACCAAAACATGAATGATCTATGATCAGATTGTTTTCTTTTTCTACCATTTATGAGTTAAACTAATTATTGATAAAAGAAATTAACATTTATTATAAAGAAATAGAAATATTTGATTTTTGGATTTTCAGGCGAAATGAGCGTCCACCACCTAAAGATTTATTAAGATTGTTTATTAGAGCTAATACGTTACGAGCTGGACATACACCTACTAGTCCATGGGTTGTTAATGAGGCAATGGTACAAAAATACAAATTACCCAGCAAATTCGCAGATTTTTTACTTTCTCCTGCCAAGGTAATATTCGAATTATTGTTTTATTTGATTAAATTTTTGGGGCAGGCCACTTTATCATAAGAGTATGACATGATATAATGAGATAAAATAATTCCGTTATAATCATTTCTTTGAGATTAATGATCCTAAATACACTGATTGTGAAATGTGTTCAAACTACGGGAGCAGTGGGTTGGATATATTATCTCAGATAGTGATAGTTCAAATGGACATAGTCACCATTAAGTAGTACACTAAGATGCTATACACTATGCGTATATTGCAAACTTTTAGTTTTCAATGCCAGTTTGAAGATATTTTGAAAAAAAGATTGAAGACATTTTGAGGAAAAATTTGATAGAAAAAAAATTGGAGACATTTGAGGTAGAAACAAATTGAAGACATTTGAGGTAGAAACAAATTGAAGATATTTAGATAGAATAAATTATTTTTCTACAAGTAATTGAAATAATGTTAGCATGAAATTTAAATGTCATACAACAATTTTTTCATATTTAAAGATGGCTGAAGCAGCTAAAAGAGCAGAAGAAGAAATATCTCGGAAAAGAAAAGCATCTAAATCAAGGGATAGGTCATCAAAGAAACAAAAATTAGACAAAAATTCTAAGTCACCTAAGAAAAAAAAGAAATTAACTGAAATGAAAGTGAAAAAATCTGTAAACAAAGGTGTGATAGAAATTGATCCAGACAGTAGCTCAGATGATGAAGTTGTTTTATCGAAAGTGGTCAGAAAATCAACAGGTGGAACTGACAGTGATTCTGATACCCCCCTAATGAAAATGAAATTAACTCCTAAAAAACGTAAAAGTGCTGATGCGAGTTCGGATAGTGATGATGAACCTTTGATTAATCTAGGAAGTGCTAATAAAAAATCCCCTAAGAAAAAGAAAACATCTTCCCCTAAGAAATCTCAAAAACAGTCTACCAGTAGTAGTGACAAGAAGAAACGAGGCCGTCCAAAGAAAGGAGAGGAGAGGGTGAAAATAAAACTAAAAAAGAAAAAGTCCAGTGAAAAGGTAGAAATTTCAAATTATTTTTTGGATTCTGTACATTTTAGAAAGATCATCTTTGTAGGCCTAGAAGTTCTGTAACCCACATAGGTATTTACATGATACTATATATTTTATGACAAAATATAATTTAACATTTTATAAAGCATGCACTATATACAGTATTTGTATGATTTTAATGGTGATTGTCATCTTCTAGGGGTTAAAACAGATGACCTTGTTTGAAGTTGCATCAAAAAAGGGAGGTAAATCTCCCAGTAAGACTACACCAAGAAAACTACTTTCACCTGTCAATATAACCCCTGCTATTGTTTCACAGTAAGTATAATATGTAATAAGAAAAACTTTCTCTTACAAATTTGTTGCAAAGCGAGAAAGAAAAAATGGAGTTTAACATCCACTCAACACAAACTAGGTTATTTTGGAAGTAACATTTAGTTCAAATTTATTTCAATAATTTGCTTGTGCATAGAAGACCTGGAGAAAACGCACAAGGTGGGACAATCGTCCCTACTCCTTGTCACGTACAAGCAGGAAATCGAAACCACGCCACTTGACTCAATGACGGACCTTATAATTTCATATGCACACGTTATACCACTAGACCACTTTATTACAATAATTCATACTTTAATTGTGTTTGTGCAGTAGTGGTTAGGACTTCTAATTCAAAATATATGTTGTGCTGGATTCAATTCTTAAAAGTTTTTCATGCCCAGTTCTCTCTTGCCTAGGTAATGCAAGCAGTGCTAAAAAAGAATGTGTCTGTTGAAAAATTCTTTGGCATTTGAAATACAAAGAGTAGCTGTGTCAACATTTTGATTTAACTATCTTCCAAAATATTACTATTACTACTCAATGGCCGCTAAATGTCATTGGATCGTGTTGACTTTGAGTTTAAAGGACTGCTATATTCAGTTGTTTTATGTCTTTAATAATGTTTTAACAACCATGGTAATGTCAGGATGGTGGGAATTCTATTCTTTCGCAAAATGAGAAGTACAGTTGCTTAAGGTAATCTCTTTACCATGTCCGTCTTCATTAGCCCAGTCTGTTCAGAAAAGTAGGATGTTAAACCCATTGTATTACATTTCACTTTTTTACCGTGTTCCACTGCAACATTGTTTCAGATTGGTAAAAGCACAGGGTTTAGAAGATAAAACAAAGTTTATAGGTTTAGTGAAAAAAGCTGCAGTCACATTAACAGCTACTCAACGTAATAATTTACCCAAGTCAGTTAAAGCTGAGGTTGTCCAAAAATATGAACAAAATAAAGAAAGACAGTTAATGTAAGTAGAATATATTGTATGAAGTTTAAAAATAGACTGAGCTGTTCATTTGAACTCATATTTGTTTTTTAGAATACTTTATATCCATTGCGAAAATGGTCCAAAAATTACAGTAGGAAACACCACTAAGATTTCATAATTCAATTTGAATGTTTTTAGTAATAGAGTATGCCAAGCCATATGTCTCTTTAGTTATAGCAGTTCTCCACTTATTTCTCTACAAACAAAAATAAACATAAAAATAATATATTTTTTATGTCTGTAAACTGTAGAGCTAAAATGACACCTGCTGAAAGAGAAACATATTTTAAGAAAAAGAGACAGGAAAGAAAACAAGAAAGGAATAAGGTAAGACAAATAGAGTTATCTCCCCTTGTCTGATTCAATGTGTGTCAAATAGTTGGATTTTGTTTTTGTAAGATTGGGATCAGTAACTGCAGAATGGGAAATTAATATACCGGTATATTGAAATGAATGTCTTACTGTTCTGGTGTATTGAGTATAGCTCAGTTATTATGGTAATAAATGTGACATTAACTACCTTGTGATGTCATGATATTACATGAAAGTTATACAGTATTGGTGATTTTTGTGTTTATTTTAATATCTTTTGTAGCCCCTATGAAGGCTATCTATATGAACATTTGCTATATTATTTTACCAAATCAATTACATTTCTCGATAATGATGTATTGATAGATTATTTATTGTTTATTATTTTGTGCCTAATGAAATTGTACACACACATCAGCCTACTGTGGTAGTTGTGCCTTTTGTTCAGTTTGAATTTCTCAGATTTAATCATTTTTTTCTACGCCCAAATGGAAATGTGGTCGTATATTGCCGTCGCCCACGTCCGTCCGTCCGTCCATCGTCCACAATTTCTTGTGAACACTCTACAGACTACATTTATCATCTGATTGTTTTGAAATTGATATATGTTGTTTGCATTAGTGAGATGGAGAAGCCTATTTAATTTCAATAACTTCTATTAATTTCTTCTGGAGTTATGGCCCTTGTTTCACTTTGTTGCACCATGTGAACGGTCTAATGACAAAAGTTATCAACCGATCTGTATGAAATTTATATGCATCACTTAAATTAGTAAAATAAAGAAGCCTATTGAATTTCAGCAATTTCTGTTAATTACATCTAGAGTTATGGCCCTTGTTTCACTTTGTTGAATGTTGTGAACGCTCTAATGACAACGGTTATCATCCGATCTGTTTAAAATTGATATGCATCATTTAAATTGGTGAAACGAAGAATCCTATTGAATTTCAACAATTTCCGTTAATTACGCCGTCAGTTATGGCCGTTGTTTCACTTTGTACCTTGTGAATGCTCTAACGACAAAAGTTATTATCCGATCTGTATGAAATTTATATGCATTATATAAATTAGTAAAACAAAGAAGCCTATTGAATTTCAGCAATTTCTGTTAATTACATCTAAAGTTATGGCCCTTGTTTCACTTTGTTGAATCTTGTGAACGCTCTAATGACAACAGTTATCATCCAATCTGTTTGGAATTGATATGCATCATTGAAATTAGTGAAAATAAAAATCCTATTGAATTTCAGCAATTTCCGTTAATTACGCCGGGAGTTATGGCCCTTGTTTCACTTTGTTATACCTTGTGAATGCTCTAGCGACAAAAGTTATTATCCAATCTGTATGAAATTTATATGCATCATTTAAATTAGTAAAACGAAATAGCCTGTTGAATTTCAACAATTTCTGTAGATTTCTTCCAGAGTTACGGCCCTTGTTTTAGTTTTTAGAACGTTGTGAACCCTCAAACGACAAAAATTATAATGTCATCTGTATGAAATTGGCTATTAAATTCCCCTAATACCTACAAAAGAATAAATATGCGACAACCCTTGTCGACTGCTTGGACGATTTAGCTGCTGTGGGCGTATGTTTTGTTGCCTGGCAACCTATCTTCTGTTTTCATGGAAACAAATTTGCCTTAGTTTTTGGTATGCAAGGGCATGGGATGTTGATGGCTAGAGTCTGCTCATTCCTGTGAAATATATGTATTGATATAAAATTCCATACTGACACAGTTTTTGTTGACATACATAAAGATAAAATTTTGGTTTGATATGTGTAGTTATGCTAACCAAATGTTGTTATTAACTGAATAATTTGGGGAATATGAGATCAAAGGTTCTGAAAGTGAATTCTCTTATCCCTCAAAAGCTGTCAATCGAGGACACTCTAGAATTTCTGGCGACAAGACATGCAAGAACTTAATGATTCTATATCTGTCAGTTTGGATTCTTTCATTATATTCTTTAAAACTTTTTTATTTCTGTCCATAAAGCGCTATGAAGATCAAGGTTTAAAATTGACACCATTACCAGTACCTAAATTAGTATCTAGTCCTGATAGTTTACCTAATGAAGTATTTGGAGATATTGCTATGGTAACGGAGATGATTAGTTGTTATAAAGGTTTATTAATGCCAGATGATGAGTATCCTATATATACCGGTAAATATAAAAATGCATTTAAAGATATAAACATTCTCCAAGACATTAGTGTCTTTCATTTTATATAATCTACAAATTCCTCTCATTGAGTCAACTGGCGGGGTTTCGATTCCCTGGTTGTACGTGACAAGGAGTAGGGTCGCCTGTCCAACCTTGTGGGTTTTCTCCAGGTCCTCCCGTTTCCTCCCACTGCTAAAGACCTCTACGTGCAAGTAAATTAATGAAATAAAATTGAACCATGTGTTAGTCCCGAAATGGCCTAGTTTTGTGTTGAGTGGACCTTAAACCCCATTTCTCTCACATCTACAAATTCATTGAAATATCGAAAATTCCATCACTAACTTATGCAAATAATGTTTATGTTTTCATTAGAAATGGGTGTATCAAACATTTTTTAGAACCAATAAGGTACATTAGCCAGTGTCTGCAATGTTTTGATAGGGCAATTTATACAAAAGTAAAAATCAGTAAATCAGTGTCGGAATGTTTTCAATGTTCAAGATCTGAAATATCATTAAATGAATAATAAACATGTGTTATTGTAATTTTGTTTTTAGATGCGTTAATGAAAGCTCTTGCAAGTGGACCAAATGGTTTTGCCTATCTATCACGAGTATTAGGAGTCTTATTACAGACATTATTACAAGATGGAATAGCAGAGGTAATGTATGCATTTCATACTTTATGACAATTGGTAATTGCAATCTATGTTTAACCGCAGTTATCTGAAAATTTATTTAATGTGTCCAAACTACATTATGAAAAGCTGTAAAGAGATTTTATTATCCATCAAAAATGCATTTAAATATTGCCCAGACAAACTTAAACATAAATTATCAAAACATACTGCAAGTGTTAAAGCATCTAAATAGAAGAGTTTACATATGATTTTATGATTTGAGTTATGATTGATCTAGTTTATTCAACTTTGTGGTTCCAAAATGCTTGGGTAGAGATCAGCTCACATCAATGTTAATCTGTGATACTACAAGCTTGATAATCTACTATTAATAAAATTGGTTGATGTATAACATGTAAATATATTTTATTATTTGTGATACAATGCTGTGATGGCATGTTTATTAAATTTTGCCTCCCAATGATGACCTGACGCGACCGTGGCAACTTTGGACCCCATTGGAAATGAGCAACGGATGTTATATACGTCAGGCTTTATGGGCTATCCTAAGAAAAGGTCTCTTCATGACACCATACCTATCATATTTCTCTATGCTTGTCTCATTTGGCATCCCACTTTACAATGTAGCACATAGTTCTTATTTTCATATACATATCTGTATTTATTGTTGTCACTTTCCCAGTCGTGCAATGCGACACTAGTTTTTATTATAATACATTAATTTATTGTCATGTTGTAACCTTGACTTGAAGAATAAATAAATAAATAAATAAATTTTATGTTTTGTATATATTTCAGGGTTATACAGAGTTAAAAGTTAAATTATCTGATATACCTGTCAATCCGTTTACAGTATCTGAATTAGTACGTCTATGTTTACGTAGTAATGATACTGGTGAAGATGAAGATGATATGAGTGATGATCAACAAGATGTAGATGTGGTATGTAGAATTTGTTTTTTGTGCCATTGTTTCTCATTAGTCACTAATCATTTGATTGCTTGACAGATCAATCATAAGTTGAATTAATTGTTAAGATTTTTTTTACTAACGTAGAAATTTGATCAGATCTAAACACCTGATTCAATGGAATATATTACTTGTAACATGTGGAAATATCCTATCTTAGCATTTATATACAACAGTTGTCAGCAAAACATATTAACCGTGAAGATCAGGTCTCTGTGAAGAATGCTGCCTTGAGAAAATTGGTGAATTTTTTGGTGTAATAAAAGTAGTCTCATGTGATATCTGATGCACTAAAAAATTTAACTTGAATTAACAGAAAAGGATTATTTGAAAATCACAATCCGATTGAAATTAGAATTATGAATTAATATTTTAGGCACAGAATATTATTGGGAAATTAGAAGATGAAGAATTTTATCAGTTAGATCCTTCAGATAAACTAGCTATATTAAAGGGTTTATGTTTACGTATTATGGGATCCTACTCAGTACAAGATTATATGGAAGATAAACAGGTTCAAGCTGTAAAGCTTACGTAAGTGAAGATTATATTCTTGTTTTAGACATTTTCAGGTTTTGGATCATTTTGTTTTTCCATATTAAAAAGGAGCTGCGGTGGCTCAGTAAGTAAGATGCTGGCTTTATAGCCTTGTTGGTCGAGAAACTTTCTTAGGATTGATCCGGCATGATTTTCCCTTGTCAGTGGTGTAGGACGGAGCTAATGGCAAAGAGAGCTGCCTAGTCTTTCTGATGACACGAAAAACTGAGGTCCTGTACACATTTATGTGCACGTAAAAGAACCCTGACAGTTAGCATTCGATACAACTCAAAATCAGGGCCAGTTTTTCAGAGAAACAACATCTTTCTTTATTTTGTTAAAAAAGACTATTTGTTTTGACTTATATTTATAATTAAACATACATTATGCAAGAGCAAAATCGGCCTATTGTAGGTCTTTCTTTAGGCCTGAAATGTTATAAAAACTATTAATTAGATATTAATTAACTTATCCAGACCATAATCAGCTCTCGATGTCAAGGCTTGCCTGCGATATTTGTTGGATTACAATCCGATTTGCTGCAAAACTTTCCTTCGTGATTAACGATTAAATGGATAATCAAGACTATTAGTTTTGTCTTATCGACTTCAGTAATGATCGAGGCTAAGCGGAACTTTCATCCCCTTGGTTCTCGGTTCATAGTGGATCAATTTGACTGAAATTTTCAGCAAGTTGTCTTTACATCATGCAGTTTTTAACTATTATAGTAGCATTACCACATTCGTCCTCAGCGCTGTGTGACACTCAGTCAGCGTATTGACCGTGTCCTACACTCCTCGCACACAGAGTGCCAAGAAAAAATATCCGATAAAAAACTCACAATTTGTGTCAACATATTTTAACCTATATGAATAAAAAGCCAATTAAATTACCTTTCTAGTGATACAAGTTTCGTTTTTGTTCTTTATTGATAATGCACTCAAAACACAAGTTATAAAATACCCACGCTAATATTACGTCACTGGCAGTTAGCCATTGTTTTTCCATTAGCAAATTAATTAGTGTTCACGGCACGCCCGGGTTTTTGAGCGGTATCTCGCTGGGGATTCTCATAGCTCGGAAAGTTCTTCACGTACGTCATTGAAACTTTCAACGAATCATCAGGAAGAACCCCGCAAGGTTCCGCGGCATTCCCGATCAAAATGGCGGGTATAGTTTTTGAGATACAAATGTTTTAAAAGATTGAAGTCAAATTTTTCTAAAACTCAATGTTGCGGCTGGAATTTTAAAACGGTGAGAACCTTTATGAAATATCGTAGATTATAATGATATATGTGTCGTCGGTAATAAAAACTGTTTTCATTGAGGAATAAGCCGCAGAAGTTTGATTGCCAAGCCGAGTTCTTACGGCGAAAACTTCACGGGCGATTCCATTCATAGCAAAATGGTATTCCCCTATGACGAACATTGTTGACATCACGTGATTGTCTTTGTTGAGTCTGATTGGACAAACTCGCATGTCATTTCAGCTGTAGGGGGTGGAAGGCGGGTAATCCTTCCATGGATGCTATCACGCACGATATAAACAAAGCACTTGTTATTTTGACATTTATGTATGGATTTGACTTGACAGTTGTCTTGGAACCGAATGACAAACATGTATGTCCCATAAATTAGTTAATTTTAGATATTAATCGAATTACTAAAACTATAATAGTATAATTATTTACCAAACATTTCATCAATCATCAAGTAGTCTAGAGATATAGGCCTATCAAATAATATTATCATTTTGATTATGAAACTCAATAAAATGGATCAATTTTAGATATTAATATAATTAGTAAATTATGTAAAACTACAATTATTTACCAATCATTTTATCAGTAATCATGTAGGTTAATTAATATTATCATTTTGATTAAAATGTAACGCAATAAAAATTGTTTAATTTTAGATATTAATATAATTAGTAAAATTATGGAAAACTATAATTATTTACCAAAATTTTTTCAATAATCTAGTAGGCCTATTAAAATTATTATTTTTATTAAAATGTAACTCAATTAAAATTAGTTAATTTTACATGTTAGATTGTCAGTAAAGGTTACTGGGCCTATATAAGCTAGACTACTTGATTATTGATGAAATGTTTGGTAAATAATTATAGAATAATCTTTCATTTCATTTTCCAATTATAATATGTGAGGGAATTTAGCATTCCTATATCATATAAAACTTTTGAAACCTATTTTTCATGTATTTGTGAAAGATGCAAGCAGTTTCATGAAGGCGCATCAACTTTCGACATTCCACGTCTCATCTTTGAAATATTGAACAAAATAAACAATGTCTAAAAACAACTTCTTTATTTAATATGTTCTCTGGTGGGTATTGGACATTTGGAAACTGTAATCCCTCTTCAATACCTTTCCAATGATATATTACAACCCATACTTTGAGCACCGAATAAATGACACCCGATTGTGACGGAATCTGGCATGTCGGCCATCTTGGATTTTTCTTTGAAGTCATGAAGTAGATCAAACTTACTTTATGGAGTGCAGAATGAAGCATTTTTAACAGCCGTGTAGTGTCATTTGATGCTGACCTCATAATTGCAGTACATTTTAATGGCGGTTTTAACCGCAATCCAAGATGGCCACCATCTCACGGAACGCGTATGTTGCAGAGGCATTTTGACGACAGAATTGAATTTGTCGTCTATTTTTCATCTGGGTGTCAAAATTTCAACTTATTGCTTTTGATATTACCAGAGTTATTGTAGGATCTTTAAAAGACTATTTTAGCCTCAAAAAGCCCTATTTCGAGGGCGTGTTTTGCCTATAGATAAGTCTATTACTTTTTGTCAGAAAAATGTTGCCATCTGCGATGAGAAAAATGTTCATAGAAAACTTATTTATTAACCGATTTTGAGAATTTAAAAAGTTTCTTCATGTTTGAAACAGGCTGCATGCATTAAAATAGAGAAAAACACATCATCTGTTATGTGAAATTTTGATGTGGTAATGCTAATTATAGTGAGAATTGCCAACTCGTTATCTAATCTCCCATAATGTATCTTTAATTGATTAATAAATGAACAATGTATGTTTATTTATTAGAAAACAGAAATATGCAGAACAAAGAGAGATGAATGAAAAAAATAAGAAAGATAAACAACAAAAGGAAGAAAATAAATCTGAGAATCCTACACCATCTTCCTCGAATACATCACAAAATACTTCAGGTAAAAATAGTAATTAATATGACTTGTAAAATTAATTTTATCAGTTGTAATTCTATATGAAATGAAACTGCAAACTGAAAAAAAGAAAATTAACTGCAGTAAACACATATTTAAAATCAGCTTCATTTTATAATCAACCTAAGAAAGCAGAAACTAAACTTATAATGTAAAAAAGCCTTTATTTTTTCGAAATCTTTTATATATAGACTTTATTGAAAAATATGTTAAACATTATGTACAATTTCTCTACAAATTATTTGATTTCCATCATTTAAATTCATTTACATGTTTCTCTCATGTCATCTATAAAGTTATTGGTGAACAACAGAACATTTCCTTGATATCTTTCAGCCCTTGCCATTTCTATTTTTGTATCTTCTTTGAGAATATGTTACTGTTTGTATTTTCTTTGTTCTATTGGATTGTTTGTTCAGTCTGGGTTTAAATGTACAGTCTACATAAAATGTGTATTAATATGACAGATAATTTTTTTTAACATCATAACTAAATTAGAATGTCCACTATTAATATATAATAACATAATGTCCACTATTAGTATATAATAACATTTAGGGGGTTGGATGGCCGAATGGTTAGCATGTGCGCGCTGCGCTGTATCATACGGTCTGTCATTGAGTCAACTGGCGGGATTTTGATTCCCCAGTTGTACGTGACAAAGAGTAGGATCGCCTGTCCAACCTTGTGGATTTTCTCTGGGTCCTCCAGTTTCCTCCTACTGCTAAAGACCCCTACGCGCAAGCGAATTATTGAAATAAAATTTAACCATGTGTATGTGTTAGTCCCGAAATGATCTAGTTTGTGTCGAGTGGACATTAAACCCCATTTCTCTCTCTCTCTCTCTCTCTCTCTCTCTCTCTCTCTCTCTCTCTATTAGTATACTATAACACATAGACATTATTTCTGCTACACTAACATTTGGTGCTAGACTATCATTTTCTTCTGTATAGGACTTGTAATGTCTGCCTTTTATGGTACCTTAGATAAAGTTGACTCGGATTCCAATCCAACAACAGAAACTGTATCAGCTGATGATGAAGATAACCTAGTAACAACAATAAGGAGTCGGAGAGTTAATGCTGCTAAAGTTGCTGCTGAAAAAGCTAAGCGGGAAGATGAACGACGAAAACAGTAAGTTTGTGTGGTAGGGGTTGGTCAAGGATGAGTTATTTAGTAGGTTAAAATCAATTCATTATGTTTCTTCTATTGGTCACTCCATTAACATCTAAAGACTTGTTTAAGGGTGTTGCCATGTCCTGGTAACTTCGCAATTAATTTTATATTATTTTTCAAACACTGTTCCATGTTTAAATTTAGTTGGATCTTTAAAAAGACATCTGAAGCTACAATTCAAGCCATAGTTTGTGGTTTTAAGGATAATTAGATTTTGAAATCTGCTTAAAAATGGTCAATTTTCTTCATAAATCTACAAAATTCTTAGTGTTGCCTAATCCTTATTAAATGATTTTTGGCATGCAAATACCTAAACTAGTCCTCGATAAAATGATAGATTTTTTTCATGATGCCAATAATAATGCCCCAAAAAATCCTGAAAATCGCAAAAAAAAAATCTTTCATATAATTACAATTTGTCCCATAGAAATGTTCGTCTGAATGTAAGCTTCACTGTGACACTAAGTTTAATCAAATTGGTTGAGTATAACTTGAATTTTTTCATGGTTTTCCTTGGTTTACAAAAAAGGTCCTTTCAAATCGTGACTTATTCATGTAATAAGTAATATGATTTGTAGTTATTTAAATAAGATATCATGAATTAGTAATGAGTAGACTTTGTCGCTCCTGCCTGTGTATTTTGTGAAAAATAACATGAGATCTTCATCCCGCAAACCAAAGAAAACAAATCAAGCCATTTTTTCGGTATTGACAGCTGCCAAAAAGACTGGTTATTTGAGATTGAAGGAATTCCCTCTAGTTGCTGTGTACAGGAAATGACCAAAACAAGGCTATTAGAAAGAAAGAAAACTGAGCTACTATATTTACTGTGACGTTTAAAACAACTTCAGGTGCTATTTTTATATGAACCAAGGTCATGGATACCCTTCCTTTAACTGACTATCCTGACCTATCCAGTAAAGTGATCGTTTCTTTCCGTTGACGAGTTATGTTATTAGGGGTAAAGGAGACAGGTTCTAAAGTATCACCGAGAAATATTTTGGAAAGTCAGTGTGAATTTTAGACATGGCAATGCCCTTAAGAAAAGATTATTTATCTCCATAGACAACAAAATAATTATCATACCTTTTTCCTTGATTAGACAGACCTTTATGTATTTAGACCTGTATAAAGAACCAAAAGTTAACATAGAATGAAATTTTGCTTACAATCTCTTAAAGATACATTATGGGAGATTTTTATAGAGAGTTGGCCATTCTTGCTATAACAAGTAGATGATGAAAGAAGAATATATTGAAAATTTCAGTCAAATTACTTTATTCTGAACATCGTTATCATTGTTGTAATATTAGACTAGAAATGGTAGTGAAATGTGCCTTAACCTTGGCCGATCATTTGATTGGCAGGTGTTAACTCCACCTACATATCTCGATTATCAAGTAAAGTTTTCAATGGCATGCGGAAACACTCTACAGCGACCTCGCTAAGTACACTCTATCATTTAGCCTCGATCTAACTGACGTATTCTCATCAGGGTGCGCCATATTTGATTTAATCAATAAGTGAAATCCTATTTAAATCCAAGCTGTAGCCAAGCCATCCGTTGGTCTACAGAGTTGATTTTGGGCTTGTTGTTTAAATAAAGATCTAATTTATAATTTTTATAACATCTGAAGCCTAAATTAAGACTTGCAATAATCAGATTTAGCTCTTGCATAATGTATGTTTAAGTAAATGTAGGAAGTTAGAAGATTTTACAACTGTCTTACATTTGCGCTTTTACAAATAAATTCTGTTTATTTTTGGTAAAAGGAATGTGAAAATATTTACGAAAGGGTGGGATATGAATGGTGCTAATACCATCTTTGAAAAAGTTCTGGTGTCAGGATTTGGTTTTATATCAGAGTTTTGATTGATTCAACTAAAACACATCAACCTATTGATTGATTTAGTTTGTCAATCTTGGTTCATGGCATCCCTATAAATATTTTATTTATTTATATAGGATAGAGAAAGATATGGCAGAATACAAGAAACAGAAAGAAAAAGAAAACTTTGATAAGACTTACAAGGTAATATTTCATAATCTCCATCGAAGTCTGTTTGAGCCACTGTTCAGGTCATAGTGATTATATAGCTTGGACTTAACCATAATGTCCTGCATTTGTATACCAGTTTGGTCTGTCACAGTAAAACGTTAAGAATTTTTTCCCTGTTTGCAATAATGGGACAGGTTGATCGGGTTCTACTCAAAATCTGCGATTCTGTGTACAAATTAGTAGTGCATGTAAAACATCTCTTGGCAGTGGAATCTACAAAAAGAGTAGGTGAAAAGACAGCTGTCGGGGCAAACTACTCCCCTGAAACAGTAGAATCTGTATTAAGCAGCCACTCAGGGGGAATTACAATTAACTTTTAATCCAGCTATACGATGGCATGGCAGATATAACTAAAATTAAAGAGATGAGTATTTCTATGGGGGGACTTTATTGTGGCCGTTTACAAGATGTCGTTGAAAAGGAGTGGCTGCTCTTACAGATTCTACTGTATATTATTCCCACAATTCTCAACCAGCCTGGTTTGTGGATGTTTGTATTTGAAATAGTAACCCTGAACCTTCTGAGAGTGTGAAACTTAAAACTACTCACATCTTCGGTTTAGAACATATTTTTCAGTCCTAAAAGGAAATAAAAATGTCTATTTTTATTTGTGACACTGTTTCTAAATTCTTAAAAGTATATTTTGTGTTTGTAGGATGGTATTGAAGCTGCTAAACAGACATTGCGACTAGTACCTATAGGAACAGATCGTAATCATAATAGATACTGGATATTTAATTCTACAACACCTGGCTTATATATAGAAAAAGGTTAGTTACCGTCAAATAACTTTAAACTCCAAAATGTTTCTACAGGGGATATCAACAGTGTGTTACTAAACGATATCTACAACAATCTATTTTTGATTTCTGCTTAATTTGGATTATGTTTCATCTCTTATTTGTTTAGATATTAAAAATATACCAACACTTGTTAATATCACATTTATATAGTAACAATTACTGGTTTATTATACTAGCGATATTTCAACTATGTACTTTTGTCTTTATTAAACAAGAGATAAATCACTTATTTCAATGATATTTCAAAGCTATTCAAACTTCGATTTATTGGCATGTATCGGACCATAACTTCATGGATTATAGCCCCTGATTGTACGTAAAATCGCTTTTTAGCTTGTAGCCCCTATAGAGGTTACAATTTTTATCCGATTTTGTTGAAACTTGAAATGTAAGTTTATAACCCAAAGATCTTGGTTCCTTTCGATATTCGCGCATATCGGACTGTAACTTCCTGAATTATGGACCCTGATTGTACAAAAAATCGCGATTTTAGCTTGTGGACCCTATAGAATTCATAATTTTTATCCAATTTAAAAAACTGTTTTATTATATCACCGTTACACACTAAGGATGGTTGAGTTCGAATTTCGTGAAAATCGGCCCAAAACTGACAGGCAAAATGGCTGGCCCTCGTTCTCAAATAGCGTAAAAATATGGTGTATCAAGGTTGTGGACCCTATAGAGGTCACAATTTTCTTCTGATTTTGATGAAACTTGAAATGTAAGTTTATAACCCAAAGATCTTGGTTCCTTTCGATATTCGCGCATATCGGACCGTAACTTCCTGAATTATGGACCCTGATTGTACAAAAAATCGCGATTTTAGCTTGTGGACCCTATAGAATTCATAATTTTTATCCAATTTAAAAAACTGTTTTATTATATCACCGTTACACACTAAGGATGGTTGAGTTCGAATTTCGTGAAAATCGGCCCAAAACTGACAGGCAAAATGGCTGGCCCTCGTTCTCAAATAGCGTAAAAATATGGTGTATCAAGGTTGTGGACCCTATAGAGGTCACAATTTTCTTCTGATTTTGATGAAACTTGAAATGTAAGTTTATAACCCAAAGATCTTGGTTCCTTTCGATATTTGCGCATATCGGATAGTAACTTCCTGAATTATGGCCCTTGAATATACAAAACATCATGTTTTTAGCTTGACTTCCATGTAGAGGTCACAATTTTTATCCGATTTAAAAAAACATGTGAATATATCACCATTACACACTAAGATCGCGTATATCCGTATGTAACTTCCTGGATTATAGCTCCTGATTGTTCGAAAAATCGCATTTTTAGCTTGCGGATTCTCTAGAGGTCAGAATTTTTTTTCCGATTTTAAAAACCGTTTAAATATTTTACCATTTCACCATAATGAAGGTTGAATTCGAATTTCGGGAAAAAAGAAATGAAACTGCTTGACAAAATGGCCGCTCTTGGTACGCAAATTGTGTAAAAGTATGCAATACGAAGGTTGTGGACCCCTCTAGAGGTCACAATTTTTATCCAATTCTGATGAAACTTAAAACATATCTTTATATCCTAAAGATCTCAGTCTCTTTTGATATTTGCACATTTCAGACCATTACTTTCTGGATTATTGCCCCTGATTGTACAAAAAATCACGTTTGTTTTTAGCTTGTTCTCTATCTATCTCTTGCAAAATGTGGGCGTATCTTGCCTGGCAGCCACTGGTTAATATTTGATGTCAATTAAAACTAATTGAATTGAATCTTCTTGTTTGTTTCCCATGAAAGTTTTTCTAATATTAATTCAATGAAATCAACTAATATTTAGATATAAACAAACAGATAAACGAAAACATTGATTTTAAAAGATGTACAGTTTGAACAAATCTGAAAATGCATCAACAGTGGTTCAAAAATTGATCTTTTCAGTTGAATCATATGTTTGAATTATGACTTCAAATATTTGAATATGAAAATTGGCATTATGTGACCTTGTAATTGTCTAGATCCAGGGCTGTCGGTAATTTTTCACAGATGATTAGCAGCACTGCTAATCAAAAAGCCCAATTTTGCCAAATTTGATTAGCAAATTTAAAAATTGATTAGCAGTTTTCAGTTTCAACATAAAACACCTAAATAACAAGATATTACTTTAATTTTAATTCATAACAAATGATTAGATTTCATTAAGATTTTTTAGCACTGCTACAGGTAGCTGTGACAGTTTCTGAATGTGATGTAGACTTTTGGTTAGGTCTTATGTCTGAAGCCAATTCTTGGCAGTGGCTTCTGAATCCCCACTCATTTTAATTCTTATTTCTTCATTAGGGAGTTATGTCCCTGTATTATATAGTATAATAAATTGCATCTGGGTTGTTTGAGAAGAAAATGTCACGGAGAATTCAGTTTTGTTGATAAAATTTTATTTGATATTTTATACACATTGAAAATGTTGAGAAAGCCTTCTAGTCTTCAGAATGTGGAGTTATATTTTCTATTTTCAAGGCTGGGTAACAGATGACTACAGTTATAATGTCCAGTCTGATGGTGATGAATCTGTTGCTAAATTATTAACTCCTAAAAAATCAAATGTAACTGTTAGTCCTCAAGTTACACCAAGAAAATCTCCTAAGAAGAATGCACAAATTGCTCCAAGGTATGTATGGCTTGAAACTCATTAAAATTGGTTTGTTTGTCTGTCTAGAATGTTCAAACATGATTTAGATCTTTACTTGGTGAATGTCTTGACTGATTCGATCATGTTAATTTTCTCAAGCTAAGCCGACATAAAAAATTTGATTGGCCTAGAAATTTTGAAGACAAGGATAAAGTGAGAGTGATGGTATTTGGTGTAAATTTCATAACATCAATACCTTGATTAAGTTCAATAAGCAGCCTTTTCTGCTCAGATTAAGCAAAGTGATATACAATTTGATTAAGACTTTGAAACACGATAACTTTGACACTAATTGAGGTAGACCGTTTCATTTACTTGATTTCTCTTTTTCTCTTCCCCCAAGTTTAAATATTGTGTTAAGCCCAGGGAGAATGGCAAGAAAGAAAGAATCATTCATTTAAAACATGAAAGACCTACAACTGCTTTTAGGCTGCACAAAATAAATGTCTTGTTTCTCGGGCAACTGACAGCTGAAATTGTAGGGGGGCGGTTTCTTTTTTTTTTTTTACCTCATTGCTGGCTAGAGGATGGTGCAAAATAAAATTTGGCTTTTGTTGAAAATTGTTGGGGCGGGAGGCCCTCCTTGTATTTTTATTTTTTTTTAATGAGAAAGTCATTACTTGTCTACGGTTTTGCTTTCAGTTATATATTGTACATACTTAGAACATAAACCCAAAAATCAAGTCTACTCAAGTGTGCCCGAGAAACAATTTATTTTATTTGTGTTGCCTTATGTTTTTATCAATTGTTTTCAGTTTTCCCCATGTTGGTCAGAATCTATGGTTTGAGTATGATTCAGTTAAAGATTTAGATCAGCTGATAAAAGCATTACATCCACAAGGTTTACGAGAAAGTAATCTGAAGACTGAAATAACCAAACGATACGATGATATAACAAAAGCTATCAATATATCTAAAAGGTAAGGTTATATTACAAGAAACACATGAACTGTTTATTGATGACATGACAAAACTAAAGTTTGACTTGGCTTGTCCAGGAGTGTTACAAAAAGTTCAAGAAAGTGACATGCAGTTTAATATCTTCTATTTTCTGTCCCTTGATGTGTGAAATAGACCAGAAAGATTAGATAATAACTTTGGATATGTGATCTGTGTCCTGGAAAATTATCTCCCCCTAAATTAAACCTGTCAAAATTAATGTTAGCAGATATTGATAAACTTTTTAAAAGTTTTGTACTCTAATCGTTAAGTCAATGTTTGTTATCATTTCAGAACTAATCTAGAGTTACGAGATTCGGATGGCGATGTAGAAATTCTAGCAGGAATCCGAAGAGTATGTTTATTACATGTATTGTTTAGCTTCGGTTTTGTTTGCATAGAATCCAAATGTAGATTCTTTAACAAGATTCCACTCATAAAAAGTTTTACAATACTCTGTAGGTGACAAATGAATGATCGCCATTTTGAGCCCAAAGAATCCACACCAACAGTCAGATTCTGAGATTCATGTGTCTCAATTTGTATTTTATAATCTTAAAGGAAATTAACAGAATGGATTCCAAATCTTGAAAAATGTAGATTACAGTGGCACCTTTAGGGTTTCAAATATTTTGAAAATAGATCTATGTTATTATACCAGCTATTTGTCAATGAAGTTTATATGTCGATTAAAATCTTTTTTCTTTTTTCTTGTGAGATAAAATCATTTATCATAAGGCTTGAAAAGTTAAATTGGAATCTATTTTCGAAAAAAGATATTGCCTGATAATCTGTGTTTTTATAGATTAATTTCAGTATTTTACATTGCACACCAATATGATATATTTTATTTTCTAGGAAATACTAGAGATGGAAGTTAGATTACGTAATGGTGGACTGGGTGGTGTACCAGATTTCAGTGTTTGGGAACAAAAAGTTCTCTCTTGTGAAACGTTAGATGTCTTTGTAAGTGAATTGGATTATTTCTATTTTAGAATATGAAACTTATGTAATTCCCAAAAATCAAAAGTTTCGCAAATCTTACTGGTGGTAAAAAGTTTTAATTGTTTTAAATTTATACATAATTCAATGAATGTAATTTCCTTAACGTTAGATTTTTTTAATAATAGAATTGATCAGTCAGATGGTTTGATTGAAGCAGTCGATCAATCAGATGGTTTAATTGAAGCAATCAATCAATCAGATTGTTTAATTGAAGCAATCGATCGCAATGTTTAATATGATATTATGTTTTATAGGGATCATTATTACTAGATGTACAAACTAATGTATTAGAGAAGTTTTTAAAGGGTATAATGAAACCTAAAACTCTACCTACAGTCACTACAACTACAGTAAAGACTGAAGTTAAAGATGGAGAATCGGATGAAGGTATTATATTTTTGTAATATTTTTGATGCTGCTATAATACCAAGCACATTAACTCTTTAAGTCTTCATTGCACACAACATGAACATTTTTTTTTTGGGGGGGGGGGGAGATCCAAGAGATGCAAAACATAGCATTTTCAGTACTTTTTAAATGATTAATTAATATGTATTTTTATTTTGCTTGAGTAGTTGATAAAGCATTAATGTCTTGTTTCAGTATCCTGTATATTAGACTTTTTATACACCCATATTGAAATGTGGTCATATATTGTCGTCAGTCCGGCGTCCACAATTGCTTGTGGATGTCTTGAGGCTAAAGTTAATATCTGATTGTCCTTATATTTTTACGCAGTGTTTAAGGTCATCAGAGGAAGAAGCCTTTTGATTTTCAACTGTTTCTGATAATTACTGTCTGAGTTATGGAACTTGATCACTCTAAAAAAAAAAAAAACTCTTGTGGACGTTCTGGAGGCTGAAGTTAATATCTGATTTATATACAGTGTTTAAAGTCACGAGACGAAGAAGCCTATTGATTTTCATTGATTTCCAAAAATTAATGTCAGGTTTTTCCCTTGATCACTTAAGGATATCTAGATGCTCAAGTTAATATCTGATTGACTTTATTTTTATACACAGTGTTTAAGGTCATGAGATGAATTCTAACAATTACTGCCGAAGTTTTGGACCTTGATCACTTTGAAATGTCTGGTGAATGCTCTAGACGCTAAATACACAGTGTTTAGGATCATGAGACGAAGAAGTCTATTGATTTTCAACGATTTGCGATAATTACTGCCAGACTTATGGCCCTAGATCACTTTGAAAAATCTTGTGGACGCTTTAGTTGACTATATATTTATACAGTGTTTAAGGTCATGAGACGAGGTAGATTATCCATTTTCATCGATTTTCGATGATTATGGCAATTGATATTACATGTGAATGTTTTGTATGCTAAATGTTAGAATAGGGCAGAACTAGACGCCAGATGGGTTATTACTCGTGATCATATTGTAGTATGTTGTTTTCATTTGTTAACTCCCCTGACAACTCAGCTGCTGTGGGTGTATGTTTCGTTGCTTGGCAACCTATCTTTTAAAATAAAAATTTGTTACGTTGCCCATTTTTGATGATGTGGCGGTACATGTATCTGAGAAGCAGAATATTTTTTTTTGTGGCTTAATAGCAGATTTAACTCTTACTTAATGCATCTTTAAGTTTGTACATTTTCATTGGCCTTCTGTCACTTCACCTATTTGTTCAGATTGGTCTACCTATATTATTTGTTGCTGTATATATTTTAATAGAAGAAGAAGAAGAAGATGAGAAGAGTAATATGCCTAAGACTTTAACAGACTGGATACAAGCTGTAGAGAATTGTCAAACTATATCTCGATTACACGTCTTATTGGGTATACTAGAAACTAGTATTAGATGGGAAAAATCAGCTGAAAATGCGGTATGTGAATCTCTTCTTTAAATATCATATATAATACAAGAAAGTCTGTTAAGTCCAACTTCTATGATTAATATGTTTTGTTTTGTTGAGCATCTTCCTGTTGGACAGTATTCACAACTCCCTGTTTAATGTTCACTATGCAGATTATGGGATACTGATAACATCTTTTTGAGTAGTTTGACCCAAAAATTTAATTAAGTCAAGTTTATTAGAATTGGACGATTTGCCAATAGATAAACTTGTCCAGGGAAAATAAGATTTACCAAATAAATAATTTCAAATGGCTTAAGTTAGTCTAAAGTATGACATACATGTATATATTTAAATTTACAATTGGGATGTGCCATTGTGTAAAAAAAAAAGAAAAATCTGACTACCAATTTATACACACTGTTTATATTATTTGTGAAACAAAGAATCCCATTGGTTTTTACTGTTTTCAGAGTTATTGCCCTTGGACTCCTTAAAAAAAACATTGTAGAAGCTCAAGCTGCTGAAGTTATCCTTTGAATAATACACAGTATTTTCATGAGATGACTAATGGCCCATTATCACTTTGAAAAATATTGTATATGCTTGAACAGCAAAACATATCACTTGATTGACTTCCAAATTATAAGTAATGTTTCTATCCATGAGACAAAGAATCCTATCATCCATTAACTTGAAATTTATACAATGTTCCTGATGAGAGTGACAACCCTTGTGGACTTTTCAGACAACTATACCTGACAGCCTATCTTTTTTCCTGTAGTAATGTTATATATTATGTATTTTATAGAAATGTAAGATATGTCGTAAGAAAGATAATGACGATAGATTATTATTATGTGATGAATGTAACCAGGCATTTCACATGTACTGTTTACGGCCAGCCTTACGTGATGTACCTAAAGGTGATTGGTTCTGTGCTGCGTGTGCTGTAAGTGTAGATTATTGAATGTACTTTATTGACATTACAATTTAGCAAATATATTTTTATAAATTGTATAATTTATAAACTGATTTCATTAAATATCAAGGAAATTATAATTCCCATAAAAGTCATTTAATACAATTTCATTATAAGGCACTTGCTGATAATTTATTAACTTGAAGATGCCTTAAGTAAAAACTAAATCTGCATATTGCAGGTTTTTATTTTGGCCCTAAATGTTATATAAACTATTATTTAGATATTTATTCACATGACAAACCTATAATCAACTATCGAGACTATCGGATGGTAGAGATTTAAACGAATTAAAACCCGGTCACCATTTAATGATTTATTTTAAAATAGGAGAAGCAAGACTTAATTAAGTCTTGAAAAACAAGTACCATTGTTATGATAATAAACAATCTATGTCACATTGTGTCAAAACTTCAAACATTGAGAACTCTGCTCAGAATAAAGTAATTTGAATTAAATTTCAATATATTCATTTTGCATTATCTGTTATTGAACTATTAAAGCAAGAACAGAGATCTCTTTATCTAAATCTTACATAATGCATCTTTAATTATTTTACTAGAACTTATATTTAATACGTCGTATATTTAACTATCATTTATCATCGTATATTTAACTACAATTTATTAACTAATAATTGAAGACAATTATTAACTTATATCTTTCTCAAATTTCAGCCAACTCGAAGACCTACTCATAACTATCGTAGATTTGGCTTTGATGTAAGTTTGTAAAAGTTAAATAATTAAAGTCCAAATTATCACCCCAATTGGTTGTAAATAGTGATAAGTATGACTCATATATAAGACATAAATACTTGTTCTTCTAGACCTCTTTGATTCAGCTAAAAGATAAATGATTAAATTGATTTAATCTGATGTGTTATTTCGATTTATTAAGTGGTAGTCCAGTACTGATTGTCCCCCACCTTTCAAAGAAAGCGGCACATTATTAAAATGGGTCTGTCCGTCACACTTTTTGGGACACAAAAACTCTGCTTCTAATCGAGCTAGAATATTCAAATTTCATGTAGGTGTTTATTAGGTGGATACCTTGATGGAGTTCGAAGATGAGCATTTTCTGCTTAGGGTGAGCAGAGATAAGCAATTTGATTGGTTGATGCTTTGGGACACGATAACTTTAGTTCTGAATAAGTGAGTGATAAAACTTGGTGTATAGTTTCATTACATCATTACCTCGACTAAGTTCGATAATGAGCATTTTCTGCTCAGGATAAGCAGAACGATAATCAGTTTGATTGAGACTTTGGAACACAATAACTCTCCTTCTAATTGAGGTAGAGTGTTCAAACTTGGTGTAGGGGTTCATGAGGTGACTGCCTTGATGGAGTTTGAAGATGAGCATTTTCTGCTTAGGGTAAGTAGATATAAGCAATTTGACTGGTTGATGCTTTGGGACTCGATAACTTTAGTTCTAATTAAGTGAGAGTGATGAAACTTGGTGTGTAGTTTCATTTTATCAATACCTTGACTAAGTTTGATAATGAGCATTTTCTGCTTAGGTTAAGCAGAGGGATAAACAGTTTGATTGGTCAAGACTTTGTAACACAATAACTCCTTCTAATTGAGATAGAATTTTCAAACTTGGTGTAGGCGTTCATTAGGTGAATGTCTTGACTGAGTTCAATGATTAACATTTCTCACTAAAGCTAAGCAGAGCTAAGCAGAGCTAAGCAGAGCTAAGCAATTTCATTGGTCGATGCTTTAGGACAAGATAACTTTGATTCTAACTGATGGAGAGTGATGAAACGTAGTGTATATTTTTACTATCAGGTGCTTCAAAGCCTTGCTTAGATTAAGTATAGATAATCAGTTTAATTGTTCAATATTATTGAAAAAGATAAATGTGCAATTAATCAATAAGTGTCATCTAATTAGTTTGGGATTTTGGCGGGGAACATCAGCCTCACTGATGGCTTGTTACTAATAGTTTCATTTTGACTTACTGTGTGGAACTCAAAATCAGTTCTATCTCATTGCCAGGCATAAGACAGATTGTTATCACACAAAACAAATGAACATGTAAAATCCAATGAAAGCCACTATTTTATTTTTGACCCAAACCAAAGAGGTCTTGTTATTTTAAGTTGAAATGTATTAATATTGTATGTTTATTTACAGGAACCTAACTATGATGATAATGCTACAGTAGGTGGTACTATAGAACATGAAGATACATGTGCAGAGTGTGGTGGTGATGAAGATCTAATAGAATGTTCTGTCTGTCCTCTAGTATATCACACCTTCTGTCATGATCCTGTATTACGTTATCCACCCAGGTAAATATTCTTTGATATATAGCACCAGTCATGGTCCTGTTGTTGTGTCATGTGGCCTCATTTCGTTCCAACACTTGTATGTAAGAAATGGTAGGGTGAGCTGCCTAACATAATGTATTTTCTGCAGGTCCTTCGGTTTCCTCTTACTGCTAAAGAAATTTGTACCATATGTTAATCCCGAAATGACCTAGTTTGTGTTTAGTTGACATTAATCCCCATTTCTCTCTGAGTCTCTATTATGGTATCAACCAATTTATATTTACTTTATGGTCTGTCTACAAAAGAATTTCATATTTTCAGGATTTAATGGTTGTAAAACCTAACTATTAAACATACATTATGCAAGAGCTAAATCTGCCTATTGCAAGTCTTCCTTTAGACCTGAAATGTTATCTAAATTATTAATTATACATTAATTAACTATCCAGACTATAATCAACTCTTGATGCCTTCGTTACTCTGCAATATTTAGTAGATTTGAATACTTTTTGTGATAACATAAAAATGGATAATTGAAACCAACGTTAGTAATGGCGATCGAGGCTAGCCTAAATTTGAATCACTAATATCTCTGTTCAGGGTGAAACAATTTCACTGAAATTTCCAGGATATTCTATTTTCATTATCTATTTTTTAACTATTATAGTAAGAACTGTCAGCTCTTTATCTAATCTTACCTAATGCCCCTTTAAATAATTTTAAAACCTAACTATTAAATAGTTGTAAATGTTATATTGTAATTGTAGAGGACATTGGGAATGTATGGAGTGTAAAAATGGTGGTAAAAGAAGGAAAGGAAAGAGGGGTAGTAAAGCATCTAAAGGAGGTAATATATATTTATCTATATATTATATAAATCTATTGTATAATATAATTTCCACACTCATAATTAAACTGAATCTTTCTATTATTTGATCAGTCCTATTTATTAAGGTTTCTTTGATATTATACGATATAATACAATTGATTTAAATTTTTAGGAGGAAGGCGCCATAATTATAATGATGACGAAACAGCAGACAGTTCAGAAGAAGAATATAAACCCAATAGACCACCGCCTAAGAAGGTTAAATCTGTTAGTAAACGCAGTATATCTAAATCACGATCTGTTGCTATAGAACCAGATGATACCCCACCGAAAACTAATCGTAGAGCGCCGTCAGAATTATCAGTAAGTTAAAATGAAACTATACTATTCATGTTATTCTGTACAAGACAGTCATGGTTGTGTTACTCAAACGGTAGGGCACTGGGCTCACGATTAAAAGCCATCAGTTTTTCAAGCTCAGGTTTTATCTATCAGGGGTGGCAACTGCGGGCAGTGTTGGGTTGACAAGGAAGGGTGTCTTGTTGATGAAAATTACCATCCATATGTTAGTCTCAAAATTTCCTAAGTGTTGTGTTGACAAGATGTTAAAACTCCATTTCAAGATCGTCAAATCATTACCCGACCTTCATCGAATCAATGAATTGAAAATAGTCTTTCTGCATCACAGTCTAACACGACAACACACTCAAATGAGTTTTATATTAATTGTTATTTCTGTTGACAGCTCTGTGAAGACATCTTGACGCAACTAGTGAAACATAAATGTAGCTGGCCTTTTGCTGAAGCAGTTAGTAAAAAAGATGTAAGTAAAATAATGTACAAGGTGAAGTACAAATAGTGAAAGTGATGGTGATGGTGAAAACAAGGTATTGCAATCCGCACATGGTCATGGCAGCGGGAGACGTGGTCCACGAATTCGTGGTGGTATTGCTCGTGGCTGCTATTGATCAGTGAAAAAAACAATATCCCATAAATATTTCATGGAGAAAAATTTGTTTTCATTTTAGCTTTAGTGAGAAATGAGACATCCAAAATGGCCGCCATGACGTCACATGACTACATGATTATGCAAATTTCCAAAATTCTATTTTTTCTCTTAGCCCAACCTCATGCCCATCCCAACACACAAAAAGAATTTCCATAAAAGCTTCCATAAATACTGTTTGGCATTTAGTTCCAAATCCTCTTTTTTCCCCTCGAAAAAAGGTCTAGCACAGGCAGTGGATTTACGTCTAGCATTGAAAGGGTTAACAAAAACATTCATTGTCAATTTAGTAATTAATTAATGGAACTCCCTAATGATTGACCAATTCCCAAGATTTAACTAGCTTATGCCATATTCACTAACACCACTACAGAGAATGAAAAATGACCTTCACCTTGTATTTGGAATATACAGAATGCATTGTTAAATGGTGGATTAAGACATCATTTCCACTTTAGACATTGAGTGAACAGAGAGCAAGTAACTAAATAAACAAATGATACCATTTTGTCCAGACTGATATTCATTATAGTCAAGTAAAGACAGTGTATTTGACAAAGTAGTTGAGAAGTGAAGACAGTGTAGTCAAAGTGAAGACAATGTGTGATATTGCCGGTAATTTATTCTAACAGAAACTTATTGATTTATATTTTGATTGTAGGTACCAGATTATTATACAATTGTCAAACATCCAATGGATTTCCGCACCATGAGGAATAAATTTATGACATATTCTTCTGCCCAGGAATTTATTGATGATCTGAGTTTAGTTTTTAGAAATACAGCCCAATATAACAAGGTTTGTAAGATAATCCAATGTATTAATAGTTCCAATTGTAAGATCTACAAATATGTTCTCTCTTAAATTGGGAGCACTGTAACAAATTGTTCTTGACTTTGCTTTCAGTGTAGGATGAGAAAGTTCTGGCAATGGACAGTGTCTAGTTGTTTAAGTGGGATTAAAAACAGAGGTTCTGTGTACACATTGGTGTGCACGTAAAAGATCCTTTGACATTTGGAATTCGATATAAGAGTAGGCCGTAGTGCCGCTGTATGGGCAAAATTTCCCTCATAGCACACTGTATGACGTATGACCGTCTTCATTAGCCCAGTTCGGAGCAGAACAGTAGTACGTTAAACCACATTTCATTTCATTTATCCATCTCTTGCAAAATGTGGGTGTATCTTGCCTGGCAGCAGCTGGTTAAAAAATTCCGTAGTTTTAGTAAACAAACCTCCCTTGTTAAAATGGTGCTTTTTTCGAAAGAGCAAACCGTTGCGAAATGTTTGAACGGTTTGACAGCTTTTAATTTGTCTGCATCGGCCAGTGTTCAAAAATTGAATGATCTCGTTTTGGATTATTTTTGTGAGAACGTTAAATATGAACATTCCCGAAAGCATGATTTTATTGAAATTACGTGTGTTATGTTGAAATCTGATGTTCTTTACAATTGTGTCAAGTTTAGTGGCAGTTTGGTGTTTTTAACCATGACTTTTGTCCTGCATAGCAGAAATTTTGAACATAATCTTTAAACAAACTTTTCTCGAAATAGGCGTTTCTGGTCTTTGAATTTGAATATCTTGACGATGGAGTAAGGTAGAGCAATGATTTGGTATCATTAGACAGCTTATGACATTCTGTTGTTTATATTAGTTAGATGAAGAACCCTATTTAATTTCAATAATTTCTGTTAATTTCTTCTGGTGTTATGGCCTGTGTTTCACTTTGTTGAACATTGTAAACGCTATAAAGTTATCTGTATGAAATCTATATGCGTCATTTAAATAAGTAAAAAGAAGAATCCTATTGGATTTCAGCAATTTCTGTTAATTACATCTAGAGTTATGGCCCTTGTTTAACTTTGTTCAACCTTGCGAACATTCGAATGATGAAAGTTATCATCTGATCTTTAAGAAATTTATACGCATCATTTAAATTATTGAAATGATGAATCCTATTGAATTTGAGCAATTTCAAATAATTACTTGCAAAGCTATGGCCCTTGTTTCACCTTGTTGCTCGAATGATGAAAGTTATCACCCGATTCTGTATGAAATTTATATGCATTATTTAAATTAGTGAAATGAAGAAGTCTATTCAATTTCAGCAATTTCTGTCAATTACTTCTAAATTTATGTCCCTTGTTTTACTTTGTCATAATCCGGTCTGTATGAAATTTATATGCATTTTTATACGCCCACATTGAAATGTGGTCGTATATTGTCGTCGCCCCCGTCCGTCCGTCCGGCGTCCACAAGCTAAAGTTAATATCCGATTGACTTTAAATTTATACACAGTGTTTATGGTCATGAGACGAAGAAGCCTATTGATTTTCAGCGATTTCTAATAATTACTGCCAGAGTTATGGCCCTTGATCACTTCAAAATATCTTGTGGACGCTCTAGAGGCCAAAGTTAACATCCGATTGACTTTAAATTTATACACTGTGTTTAAGGTCATGAGACGAAGAAGCCTATTGATTTTCAGCGATTTCCGATAATTACTGCCAGAGTTATGGCCCTTGATCACTTCAAAAAATCTTGTGGATGCTCTAGAGGCAAAAGTTAATATCCGATTGACTTTAAATTTATACACAGTGTTTAAGGTTATGAGACGAAGAAGCCTATTGATTTTCAGCGATTTCTGATAATTACTGCCAGAGATATGGCCCTTGATCACTTCAAAATATCTTGTGGACGCTCTAGAGGCCAAAGTTAATATCCGATTGACTTTAAATTTATACACTGTGTTTAAGGTCATGAGACGAAGAAGCCTATTGATTTTCAGCGATTTCTGATAATTACTGCCAGAGTTATGGCCCTTGATCACTTCAAAAAATCTTATGGACGCTCGAGAGGTCAAAGTGAATATCCGATTGAGTTTAAATTTATACACAGTGTTTAAGGTCATGAGACAAAGAAGTTTATTCATTTTCAGCCATTTTTGATAATTACTGCCAGAGTTATGGCCCTTGATCACTTCAAAAAATCTTGTAAATGCTCTAGAGGCTAAAGTTAATATCCGATTGACTTTAAATTTATACACAGTATTAAAGGTCATTAGACGAAGAAGCCTATTGATTTTCAGCGATTTCCGTTAATTACTGCCAGAGTTATGACCCTTGATCACTTTGCAAAATCTTGTGGACGCTCTAGAGGCTAAAGTTAATATCCGATTGAGTTTAAATTTATACACAGTGTTTAAGGTCATGAGACGAAGAAGATTATACATTTACAGCGATTTTCGATAATTACTGCCAGAGTTATGGCCCTTGATCACTTCAAAAAGTCTTGTAAATGCTCTAGAGGCTAAAGTTAATATCCGATTGACTTTAAATTGATACAGAGTGTTTGAGGTCATGAGACGAAGAATCGTATTGATTTTCAACGATTTCCGATAATTACTGCCAAAGTTATGGCCCTTGATCACTTTTAAAAACCTTGTGACCCTCTAGAAGCTAAAGTTATCATCCGATTGACTTCAGATTCATACACAGAGTGTAAGGTCTTGAGACAAACAAGTATATTGATTTTCAATGAATTTTTATGACTTGAACAGCTAAATCCATGATGTTAAAAGTTTCCTATACTAAACGTTAGCATGGGGCAAAACTTTATAAAAACCAAACAAATTCTAATGGTTTTCTGATAATTACTTAATGAGTTGTTACTCTTAATCAGATTTTAATGTATTATAAATGTTTCATTACCGAAAAAAGTAAAAATATGTGACAACTCTTGTTGACTGCCCGGACGAGTTAGCTGCTGTGGGCGTATGTTTCGTTGCCTGGCAACCTATCTTTTGAATTAGTAAAACGAAAAAGCCGGTCGAATTTCAACAATTTCTGTAAATTACTTGCATTGTTAAATTTAAAGGCCCTTGTTTCAGTTTGTAGAACCTTGACCCTCAAACGACGAAAATTATAATCTGATCTGTATGAAATTGTCTTGTAAATAAATACCCCCAATTATCTATAAAAGAATAAAGGTGCGACAACCCTTGTCCACCCGCCGGACGATTTAGCGGCAGTGTGCATATGTTTCGTTGCCTGGCAACCTATCTTTATTGAAAGAGTGATTAGTTGCGATCATTTTCAGCATGTTTTCATGGTACAAGAATGCCAGCCTATTCACTTTCAGTGTAAATGACCTCGAAAATGCCCCAACGGCGGACTGATTACCACTCGGAATCGTACTCTACGTAACAAACTACTGTAGAAAAGTTGGTTCTGGGTTTGTGCCCATTTGATGGATACCCCAGCACACTGAGCCTCCTGACTAGTATTACAGACTACATATCATCTGATCCTCTTAACACCTTGACTGTTAGACAGATAGCCTTAGTTCCCTGCTGGTCATTTTTCAGCAAATATACCAATATTTGACAAAGATGTTTATTCTGTATTTTTATCATATAATATGTAGCCTCCTTTTCATTTTTATGATCAATAATCGTCTTGAATTTGTTTATTACTTAAATTTCAAGTTCCCTATCATCTTATCTGACTATCCCCGTTTGAAGCATAACCTGCAGTTTGGTCCAGTTTTGACTTACGTCACCCCCTTCATTGAATCACTTTCCCAGCGACTTCCACTACTAACTTTATCTGATTTTGAGCCATTAGCAGCAAACATTTCCCACAAAATTTTGTCTGTTCTCCCGTGAATATTTCTCTCTCGCATGGGCTGCCATTTCAAATTCGGATGTAAACAATTATATTTTTAATCGTTTGAATTTATAATAATTTGGAAAATACAGAGCTATCATGGCGTGAGCAAAAAAATAACAATCAGCTCTCTATATTTTTAGTAAAAGGGGTATACCCCATGTCAATTCCCCTATTTACGCGACATCTGTATTTAACGTCATGATAACATGACATCACTTGAACACTCTAAAGTGAATGCTCTAAAGTTGTTATCCGTTAAGACCGATCTGTTCGAAATTTATCAAATGAATTTCAACTAGATCTCTGTTTATTATGTCTACTAGAGTTATAGGTCTTGTTCACATTATTTCAACCTGTGAACAACAGCTAAAGTTATCATCTGATCAACTTTAAATCTATGTACTTTGTTTCGATTAAATTAATACGATGCATAACAATTAAATCAATTTGCTGTTGATTATATCATAGAAACTTGTCAATATCTCAATGATATTATAGAGTACAAAGATCTTGCAATGTATTTACTTCAAGATTCAATATGGAACAAGCTTTTCAGACTGGTCAGGCGATGCAAATGTGTACATGTTTTGTTGCCTGGCAACACATATTTGTTTGAAATATTGACTTAAGTTACATTTTGTTTATAAAATAATTGATGTCTTTAATTTGATTACAGGAAGATACAGAGATATATCAATGTATGTTGACGTTAGAGAAATTAGTTGGCCAATTAATCAGTGCTTATCTACCTAATCACATCTATAGTCGTGATGTTGTCGCCAATGGCTACCATGATCATGGCTACAGCAGCAAGAGAAAGCGACGATGAAGATTATCCTATCTTTGTATTTCACCAGAGTTTGAATCGTGATTGAAATCGTAGGTTTCATTAGAAAATTTCCCAATCATGAAAGTAAAATAGATTTATTTTTATTTGAAATACTCGCAATAATGAATGGAAAAAATTCTTTTAATTAATTAATGTTGTGTTATCTATGAATTTAAAAGAGTGAAATGCTTATGTTTCCACAAATTGAATTACAGTAGTTGTAGGAAAATGTTTTTAAAAAGCACAGTATATATTTTATTGTATATAAAGACATCTGATGTTCGATATAAGTTATGTATAAAATTTCACATTTATTATAGTGCGTCAACTGTTTTGAATTTTTCTTTTTAAATGCTGATATTGTCTTTAGCACCAACTAGACAGGACATTATCATGTAATATGTTATGTATTTTATTATTTGAAGATAAGAGAACATTGATTCCCAGTTCTATCATTTATAGACCATTGTTTATGTATACATTAATATAAACATTTAACACAGCAGACATTAGTTTTATGCTGACGGAAGAAAATAATTGTTGATTATACATACACATTATCTCTATTTCAAAAAAACGAAAGCGGGCGATATAAGTATACATAAACGGGTCGATTTCAGTCCTCCCTAAAATGTATAAATTTGTGTATAATTTTATCTCTACATGATTCAACATTAAGGCATATTGTACAGAGAAATTGGTTAAAGGGGAGCAGCTTAGAAATTTAAAGCTGATCATACTCAACTAGCTTCACAAACATTTATTTCGACATAAATTGTTTTGTTTTATTACATACAAGTAATTATGCCTAAAACTTAATGTGGTACATTCATCTAGGTTTAATAATTATAGAATCGTTGTACTAATCAATTTGTGTTCAGTGTATTGATTTGTACAATCACAGTACCTGACTTGAGACATTAAGGAAACAGGGATATAAATAAATCAGTAGTTAGATTTTCAGCCCAAATTAATACTGGACCATGTAAGATCTGAAAAACAATATTTCATATTTTGTCAATTCTTAAAAACTCAGTCTAAAGCATTTGAATTTACTATCTTTGCTCCTTTGAATAATACAGACCATTTATAGACAATTTCCTCAGCCATAGCAGTTATCTATTAATATATACATAGGCAGTTCTCTGAATAAATAAGACATCATCACAGCCATCTTGGGATTGTGACATGTCAAAAATCATGGTTCGTCAATGAACATGCATGCTAAGTTTCATGTCGATCATACATGCATTGGAGGCACTTTAGGCTGAAGAGTGTTGCTTCAAAGAACAACAAGATGAGTAGCTCTTGGAGAACATTTGCTGGTACAAAAATACATAGGCAGTTCTCTATTAATAAAATATATAGATTGACTTATCTATATCTGATTGTAAAGTGCTAGTATGGTAGATTTGCTAAACATTGTCTTTATTTTTATACATCATGCTGTCAAAAGTATTTGTTAGTCTGTTTCACCTACTGTATTACTGACCGGTCAAATACATAAGATGAAAATGTGTAGATATGTCTCTATTTAACAATAAAAATTCATGTTTTAGTATTTAGATAAAAACTTTTTTGGTGGCTTTCTCCTTGTTATAACTTTTTAGTCATAGTCGCGCAGGCGCTATCAAAATAAAATGGTTGAGTAATGGAATAAAATTCATGTAAGTTTTATGTCTAATTATTATTAATGAATATAATAGTCATCATTGTTATCTGTTGTCATAACCTGTACATTGGCTTCATTAAATAAACTATATTCACATAGCCTACCTAATTTGTTTGTTTTTATTTGTATTGTCATAATGCTAGGAGCACAAAGACTCCTGTCCGAATGATGGATTGGCTGAAGGTTAGTTAAAATTGAACTAAATGGGGTTCAACGTTTTTTCCTTCACCCTTCACCAATCGGGGAAAATGAAGGTCTTGCAGTGTGCTATGAGGGAAATTTTGCCAGGACAACAGCATTACGCCCAGCAAATGTTATGTTCTGGACCTTGTGTTTTTTTACCCATCCAAATGACTAGCCACTCTCCCAAACGGCACCACTGACTAAGCTGGGAAATCCAGAGGAACTTTAAATGTCACCAAGCCACAGTGGTCCATACTTACACTTTGACAGGTCATCAGTAGTGTTTTCATTATGACATTAAAACATCCTTGATATCATTAAAATTATAACAAAACATCCAGTAGTAGCATTTGAAAAAAAAAAAAATCTATCGAAACTGTATCCTCTGTAACGTTAACAGGGTGTTCGGAAAAGGGGGGGGGGGGGCACTACGGAATTAAAAAAAAAGTAGAGGTCTTGATATCGATACGGTTATTCCTTCCAGGACCCCAAGTATTCACACCAAAATTGATTGCAGACAATCTTATAATTTGGAATGGGGGGGGGGGGGGTGATCATAACACTAGGGAACAAAGAGTTGCGGAGCTCTGAATACCTATAGGTTTCATCGTCCCAAGGTATTCTGGAACGAAAGGTCGCAAAGTGCGAAAATAATACACCCACACTAATTTCTAGATAAAACTGATTCGTGTCTGGTTATGGCGGAAAATAAAAGAATGGGCTTTAATGTTTCGTCAATTTAATACTTCGGCGATTTTGCGAAATATATTTCAGTGTGGCCGTGGTCCCCCGTCCGTCTGTATGTTCGTAAATTCCCTCCGTTAAAAGGAAACCCTTTACCCCGTCGTTGTCGTCGTCTGGTTTAAATTTCATCGTTTTGACTTTTTCTACGTTACTCGAACTTTTACCTCTGATCATAGAGACATAATAGGCCTATCTACCTGAAATAATATAAATATATCATACTGATATTTCTGATTATCAAGCTCTGCTTTTGATACTGTAGCAAAAATATTAAACATTAATTACCAGTATTTAAAATATAAATGGTTTAATCGAGAATTGGTGTTTTAAATGTGAAAAGCTGCAAATCGCTTAGGAAATATTTTTAAAGATTAAACATGATTTGGAAAAATTTCTCTTGGTTAACATGCTCCTTTTCGTTAGAAAAATTCAGCAAAAAATTATTACGTCTTACCGGTGTGGGGTTGGATGGCCGAATGGTTAGCACGTGCGTGATGTACGAGGGGTGATTGATAAGTAGTGAGTCTAACAGAAAGAAACAAGAAATTCACATCAAATGCATAATTTTTCAACATAGTCCTTCAATGTAATACACGTCTGCCATCGGTGTTGCAGAGCATTTATTCCAGTTCTGTAGAAGTCTTTGTCTTGGGTGTGTAGAAAATCATCCACAGCGGTAATGACGTCATCACGTCATCGTCAGACGGGAAATGCCTACCGGAAAGACATTTCTTCAGAGCAGGAAACAGATAGAAGTCTGAGGGAGCTAAATCAGGAGAGTAGGGTGGATGCTGAAGAAGTTGAAAACCACAGTCATGGATTGCTGACATGGCAACAGCTGATTTTGTGCACTGGCGCATTGTCCTGGTGGAAAATCACACCTTTGGTCAGCTTTCCTCGTCTTTTGGTCTTAATTTCTTGCCTCAACTGCCCTATAGTATCTTCCGTTAATTGTTTGACCCTTTTGGAGGTAATTCATTATGAGAACACCCTCAGAATCCCAGAATACTGAGGCCATCACCTTTCCTGCCGATGAAACAGTCTTTGCCTTCTTTGGGGTCGGCGACGTCACATGTTTCCACTGTTTTGACTGCTCTTTTGTTTCTGGCTGAAAGTGGTGGACCCAAGTTTCATCCATAGTAACAATTTGTTTTAGGAAGCGGTCAGGATCTGTTTCAAATAAGGCTAGATTCTCTTCTGACATGATGTGTCTTGAACGCTTTTGATCAGGCGTCAAAAGCTTTGGCACCCATCGTGCTGAAACCTTTGTCATTTCCAAAGTTTCAGTGATAATAGAATGAAATCTCTCCTGGCTAATACCAACTACCCCAGCTATAAATCGTTCAGTAACTCGCGGGTCATTCATTATCAGAACATGGATTTTTTGTACCATTTCAGGTGTTGACACAGTTTTTGGTCGACCAGGACATGGTTCGTCTTCAATGCTGTCTCGGCTACGCTTGAATTCAGCTGACCACCTTTTAATTGTGGCATATTAAGGAGCATCATCTCAACCATATCATCATGTGTGGCTTTCGGTGTTAGACCCTTTTTATGCAGATACTTAATCACAGCTCTCGCCTCGATATGTTCCATTTTCTGATAACAACAGACCCTACTTGATTGTTATGACCTGTCACAACCAAACAGTTTAACAGAATGTGATGAAAGTTTGTGACAGAGCCCGGGGAACATAATAGTGCACGTGCAAAACGTGGTATCATTGTGTTGCACGGTTTTCCAATCGAGGCTCACTACTTATCAATCACCCTATCATAAAGTCTGTCATTGAGTCAACTGGCGTGATTTCGAATCCCCGGTTGTACGTGACAAGGAGTAAGGTCGCCTGTCCAACCTCGTTGGTTTTCCCCGGGTCCTCCGGTTTCCTCCCACTGCTAAAGACACCTACGCGCAAGCGAATTATTGAAATAAAATTGAACCATGTGTTGGTCCCGAAATGACCTAGTTTGTGTCGAGTGGACGTTAAACCCCATCTCTCTCTCTCTCTCTCTCTCCCTCTCTCTCTCACGTCTTACCGGAAAAAGTTTTAAAAAAATAATTTTGATCCTTAAAAAAAAATGACCTAGTTTGTGTCGAGTGGACGTTAAACCCCCCCCCCCCTCTCTCTCTCTCTCTCTCTCTCACGTCTTACCGGAAAAAGTTTTAAAAAAATAATTTTGATCCTAAAAAAAAACAAAAAAACAAAAACATTCTGCACTACAAAAGAGAAAGGCAGTAGCTGCAAAATAGTCATATTGAGATGAGAAAATCGACTTTAAAGTTTGTCACTTTCCCCTGCACTCATAGTTTTCAATAAAATAATCCGATTTTTTAACGTAGGGAAATATTATGGTTCTCTTTCGATATAGCCTGTGGATTTTCATATATTTCTCTGTGGGACTAAGATAATGATGCAGATACTGCCCATTTTATGATCCTGGGCCATTTCCGGTACCCATTGTAAAACCAAGATGAAAAGCAGTATCTACATAATATAATAGTTCCTTTAGGAACTGTCTCTGAGTGGACGATGTCCACCGTCAGTGAACATCCGTCCACTCATCTACACATGCTCTGTAATTGCTTCTATGATGAATGGACAGTTTAGAAACTGCATATTTAAGCAAAAATATTGTTCTAGACATTTCCACATAATAGTTGAGTCCAAACCCTTGACATAATTACTGTTTTTCTTGCCCAAATTGACACTGTATATCCTTTGCCTAATTGCGATATAGGAATGAAATTTTTACATGTTATATACTGCTGATCACGATACCAAAATCATATTCTACACTTTTGTGAATCCAGATATAAAACCGATGCCAACTATGACTATATTGTAAATAAATTTACTTAATTTAAAAGTTCTAAAACTTAAAAAATAAATAAAAAATAAATAAATAAAACGTGAAAAACTCAATAGATCTAGTTATTCAATATTTCAAACGCTGAGTTAAGAACAGGTTAAACAAAATAGATCTACCAATATTCTCTCTTATAATTTTTGAATGTCATTATTGCTTTTTCAATAAAGAAGTCTGAATTAAAAACGTAATCTACTCTTTGTTGCTATGGGTCAAATAATTTAGTAATTTTAACTGAATCGTTTTTCATGCATGATTTTATCGTCAAATCCCACAGTTTAATGCCTAAACGTGAGACCCCCCCCCCCCTTGAATCAATACTTTCTTTTTGAAATTGATGATTTTTTTTTCACACTAATATAAAACATTAGGCAGAAATATTCTCCAATATATATATTAAAAAAAAGGTCTAGAAAAAAAGTAATCCTAAGTTTAAACTGTCTTAAAACGAAAATATCAATGTTGTGTCTACTTTTATTTTGTATTTTATAGTGATAGTACATGTAGTTTTGACTATGGTGATACATTAAGTCAGGTGATATATAATGATAAAAACATGTTTGTTACATTAACTGATGAAGATTTTATCAACTCTACAATTAATACTTCTAGTAAGTATAACACTTTACTATGTATATAATTAATCGGTTTGCATTACAAATTTAAAGATAAATAGATTTAATTAACTTTAGGGTGCACCAATAAATGACTGACTAAAATCATTTTTTGAAGTTGAATTATACATGTATCTGCTGAGATCTTCTTGTAGTAGGTCAGCGGTTCCGTCGATCTGCGACGCAACAAACCTATCGGAAACCAGTAACGTAAAACCACCCGAGACTAGTTGCGGACGGTCAAAAACGAGTTTTAGGTACACTCATGTTGTTCTGACTGATCAAGAATTTGTAAGGAATTATAGTATTATAAGAATCCTAGAACACTAGTAAAAATGTGTTCTGAACAGCCAGAGAAGTTTTGGCTACTGATCTGTTAATTTTAATTTTATCAACCGTCAGGTTTCGGAAGATAAAATATTTGACTGGTTGTAAGACTTTTGGCTTCTCCTTTGGTCGCCCAGGATAAATAACAAATCTGACTCTTCTCACACCCTTTTAGTTACACTTGTTTTAGACAGTATTCCACCAAACTCTTTCAGTACATACAATACAGAAGTATAAGGGTGTTCAATAGCGGTATAAATAGGGTTGGGACAATATCAAAAAAAAAATGCGATTTATTTTCATAAGTATAGACCATTAATGGGTTTTTCAACAATATAATTCTGATAAGAGGTCACACGAAGCATTTCTCTAGCAAATAACTCCTGGAATCCAATATGGCGGCCAAAATCCAAGATGGCGGTCGTATATTGCAGGGATTACCGGATATTTACAGAATAACAACAAACATGTCATGTAATATATCATTTTATAGGTTTTTCACTATTTTTTACTTTCCATTAGACTTAACTTTGAAATCCAAGATGGCGGACAAAATCCAAGATGGCGATCATATATTACAGTGTAAAGATAAACGTGTCATGTAATATATCATTTTATAGGTTTTTGCTGATGATCTTTCGATGTAAGTTACTGTTTTAACGACGCTTAGCAAGTGCTAATTTTAACAAGGTTTCAATGTCACAGTCTTGCTTATATTCTGGATGAACAACAGATTTTATTGAGTTTCTGAGTTCTTGAATAGTGAAATTTTGGAATCGGAACCGCCCATTGTCAGACTTGACACGTCGTTTTTGACGGATATCAGGTGCTGTAGTTATCCTCAAATAGCCAATTTCAGAGAGTAGCTGTCGTTCATTCAGGTTATTCAACGAGGTTATTGAAGAGACAGTGACTGGACCTCCGTGTAGTTTACACGTATCCAAAAGTTTTTGCATTTTACCAAATTTTAGCTGTTTCAATTTTTCTTTCTCTTTTAACGCTAACTGTAAATTTCTCATCAGCTAATAGTCCATTAGTAGCAATAATGCATTTTTTCGAATACGTTTCCACTTTAGTCATCCCTCCTGCAATTTTCATCCTATTAGTAATAGGAGCATACCTTAAATTTTTTTCATCAATCCTACTCGTAATTTAAAACATCAATGATTTCTTCAATGATCGTTCCGATTAACTGTCCTTTTCCGGTCAACGTTTGTCCGAATCGCTTTCGCAGTGTCGCTAATTTTTCAAACATATCACTGAAAAAAGCTCGTACATTCGCCCAACTGTGCTCTGACTCGCATTTACGACCATCTATTCCGAATAAGTCCATCATAGGAAATATTATCATGTCACCGATCAGGTTATATACTTCACATGCACACTGGAACCAGTCAATTGTGATGAAGGTTGATACAGCTAATACTAACTTATTAGAGTTTACATCAACGATCGCGTCAAAAAAGTCTCTGATCTGATCCATTTTAGCAATGTACAACTTGGCAAGTTCGGCGATACGTCCACAACGATTGGAAACAAATCCTTTAAAGCCGTTAGATTCTAAGTTATTGTTAACCAACCAGTTCACAAATTCATTATAAAGAGACACAGAGTGCGCTGCGTGACTTGGTGAAAGTAATTTTGTGATAGCTATTAGTCCGACAGTCAAAATACTGGATGATGGTGAACGAAGAATACCGGAGCAGTCTATCAGTTTTTCAATTCCGATTCTTTGCTCTGTTTCTTTGAGCACTTTTTCTACACCGCTATACACACCAAGAATTATATGGGAGCAGCATTTCAGAACATTGAGGTATTGGAGCATGGTGCTACAATCGCTAGCACGGTCGGTCATCCAAAAGTCAATGTGCTCTTTAAGCTCTTCAGTTGAACAATCGGCCAGAATTGCTAAACTTTTCAGTTTAAAATCGTATATCTTGGCGGCATCTTTACCAGAATGTGAAATGTTTTCAGCGTAGCCAGTTGTAAAGCTTCTTGTCCGCTGTTGGTCCTGCTACAGTAATGTGATCCGTTTTGATGTTGAGAAATCTATGGCCTGCCGATTTTGTGGTGTCGTCTAAGCCGACAGTGATTGTGTTACCAGAACTATCAGCAAGGTGTCTAGCTACCATCTCCAAATTGAGGTAAGAGGCATCCTCTAAGTGGTTTCGTATCGACTTTCTACTAGGCATTATATAGGTACGATCGTCACATCGCCTTCGCCGCTTTGGAGCATCCATCACCTGGTCTTCATAATCATCACTATCGTTTTGTTCCATGTCTTCATCGTCAATCATCTTCCAATTTTGATGAAAGACTCCATTGGCTAAATCGACACAGATGCCTAATAAATCGTTAGTAGTGACCTTGTACTTTGACAGACTTTGTACGAGATAGCAGATCAACGGCTCATTGAATGTCTTATATCCTGTCCGGATTTTGACAGATGGAAAGTCAGAACCGGAGTCCGATTTCTTCAAACCCGTGATGACGTAGAGATGGAGTCTGTATCAAAATTTTCATAACCAGGATCACGAGTTTCTGAGTCAGGTATATCTTTAATTGCAGCTACGATTTCACGCATGTTGATTTCCATTTGAGTCTCATTTTCATCAATGATAGCTTTCTTTGTCTGTTCTTGTGATATTTGACGTGCTGCCACCCTACGTTTCTGCTTTAGCCAATAACGAGGAACCGTTTCAGTACAGCGGGCGATGTAGTTACCTTTACAATTATCTTCATCAAACGCATTGTCCTCGGGCGTCATTTTCACATCGAATTCTGTCTCCAGTTGTTTTTCGTACAACGGGTCAGTGGCTCTGATATCATACGCCCTGGTGGTCATTTTATCGTTGAAGTTTGAAACTTTACTGCGCCATTGATCACATCTGTTTCCCGGACTTTTCTCGCGTTTTCGCATATTGAGCAAAAAGTCATAATCCTCACGGAGACGTTTGGCCACAGATCGTTCACTAAGCGGATACACATTTTTACTGATCCAATCCTGACGTACGTAATTCACCAGCAACTATTTTACTAGCTTCGTCTCTGCTTACTATTTTCCTCCCTGTAGTAGGTTCCTTACACAGCGACATCATTCTACCCAATAAATACTTGCCAGTTGGTAACTTTGCGCCCTTTACATACCCAGGTACTTCGTCGTAAATTACGCCAAACAGTTCTTTCCTCGCGCCAGAACTGCGAAATTCCATATTGTGAATAACAATTATAAGCTTAGTTGAACAAATTGGCACTACATGTATGATTACGAAAATCGAAAACGTATGTGACTGATCAGAACAGACGACGTCTGTTCTTTTCTAAGAACTATTGCACGTCACCATTTATGACGTCATTTTCTGACGTCAGAATTAGTGTAGAAAAAACTCAAAATTAATCCACTCAAAAGTAAAACGAGTTACACGACATGGTTATCGTTACTCTGTAAATATCCGGTAATCCCTGCAATTTATGGCCGCCATCTTGGATTGTGGCCGCCATATTGGATTCCAGGAGCTATTTGCAAGAGAAATGCTTTGTGTGACGTCTTATATAAGTTTTATATGTTGAAAATCCTATTAAAGGTCTATATTTAGGAAAATAAATCGCACTAATTCGAAGTAATAGCTTAAAAATACGATTTTTTGGCTATATTGGACCCATTTTGGCGGCCATTTTGAAAATGTGCCCCATTCCGACCGAAAAAATGGTGGGATACCAAAAATTCTTCAATTTTTGTATTTTTCAGTCAATTTGGCCTCAGAAACACCCCTGCAGAACAGTAGCATACGAAAAAGAGAATTATTGTCCCAACCCTAGTATAAAACGTTACAATACATGGTACAAATGCGATCGAGGCGTCGGTGCCATAATTATTGTATAATTGCGATACGTATATAAATAACAATGATCAGATTAGTCGTTTAATAAAACAAAAGATTAATTAATAGATAATCCCGGGTTGATTGTTATTTTTACATTTCTTTTTACCTGATCAGTTGGGGTCCAGTTAATTAACTACTACTCACGGGATTAGCGGGGGTGTTACAAAGAACGACAAGATGGTATCATTCAACAATGGCCGTTGAATGGGCCATGTTTTGTTGAATTTATTAGTAAAATAGTGACCGCTGGCCGCGTTAGAGGAGTGACCGTTGAATAAAGAGATGAAAAAACAGAATTTTTACGGGGGGATTTATTGTGACCGCTTACAAGGAGATGTCGCTGAATAGGGGGGAGAGAGAGAGAAATGGGGTTTAACGCCCACTCGACACAAACTAGGTCATTTCGGGACTAATACATGGTTTAATTTTATTTCAATAATTCGCTTGCGCGTAGGGGTCTTTAGCAGTGGGAGGAAACCGGAGGACTCGGAGAAAACTCACAAGTTTGGACAGGCGACCCTACTCCTTGCCATGTACAACCATGGATTCGAAACCACGCCAGTCGACTCAATGACAGACTTTATGATACAGCGCGCACGCTAACCATTCAGCCATCCCCCCCCCCCCCCGCTGAATAGGAGTGGCTGCTCATACAGATTCTACTGTATATTAACTGGAAAACGGGTCAAGTTTTGTTCCGGTTTAATAAGCTATTTAATTCAGAGCAATAAGACTTGATTTCAAACGACGACAGCGGTCTTACCAAGCGAGCTCTCTTTAAAAATGAAAAGCCTAAAAAGCCTAAGATGGATTATAGCCACCTTATTAATTTCATACGCAGCTGAGGTATGTCGATTTCTATATTATTTTATCAAAATTATTTCTTGAAAACAGGATAACCGTGTTTGTAAAATTAGACATCATTAAATTAAATTGAATTCCATAAACGGCCCTAGCCAAGTGTGCACTTTAGCACTGTCTGTAGTCATACAAGTTGATAACGTGTCATCAGTAGGAACTAATATAAACTTCAAATGGCCAAAACACAAGCACAAGCTGGCAGATATTAATAGTATGGGGCTGGATTGTGGGTATTAAATGTTCTTAAGAATTTACAAAGATCAGATAATTTATACATCTTAATGCTTTTCAGAATATACTTCAAAGGTATACTGTGTTTCGTAACAAAATTAAAATGAAAATACATTTGGGTAGACTGTCAAGGCTCCAAAATAAAATATCTATGGATATCTTTCTACAATGAAAAATCAAAAATGCTCATATTTGGGTTAACGTTATCATATTAGCATATTGGTTTTGCTTTAAAATACCCTTTAGCCTTCTTATGTCTACTCATTAAAGACCATTCATTTTGAGGGAGCCACCGTGGCTAAGTGGGTAAGACGCCATCCTCGGTTACCCAGTGTACTCATTCCGTTCTACTCCACTATACCCTGGGTTAATCCATAGGGTTTCCACGATTTCAAATTATCTGCCCTGGCCTAGAATGTAGCTACAGTCTACGAACCAATCAGAAAACAGTTTACAAACCAATCGTTTCGCCTTCGTTTTTATAAGGGTAGATAATCATATTCATACCAATTTACTGAATGATTTATGTAAATAATGTATATATTTATAATTTATTTATATTTAATTGTATTATCAAAATCTGCAGTATGTGTTGTTGATTTCAAATATGTATAACATCTATATGTTTGACGTTTGTTATTATTATTATTGTCATTCTGTTATGTTTATTATTATTGAACTTATACTTGATAATTTGTCTGCTAAATCACCTTAGGTGGAAGTGGACGTAAAACTCCAGAAACGAACGAACGAAAAAAAAAATCTGCGATATCACCTCGGTGAAAGCGGACGTAAAATACAACTAACACACAAATTCACAATAACTTGTCTACGATATCACGTGGACATAAAGTCCCGGGAGCGAACGAACGATTCTAAATAAAACTTATGACCCTATATTACTATATGAACGTCTGGGATTGGTCGATAAAAATAGTACAATCATCAAGGGCGGATAACTTGAAAACGTGTCTCCCCCATAGATTAACCCAGGGTATAGTGGAGTAGAACGGAATGAGTACACTGGGTAACCGAGGACGGTAAGACGCTGACTCGCTATCCTGCAGGTCGCGGGTTCGCACCCGGTGTTGGCCGAGAAAGTTATTCGAGATTTTCTGGCGTGGTTTCCTATTGCCAGTGGTGCAGGACGGAGGGCCTGACAAATATGGCCAAGTAGGATTAAGGAGATTCTTAATTAAAACTAAACCTAACATTAATAATATTAAGATCCGTATAACAACATGGGTTATATAGAGTCCTGTACAGAAATTATATCTATTTACAGATACTTGCAGCAGCAGAAGATGATGAAAATGACGGTAAGAGTATTGATGAGATTCTGATGTCCGCGGCTACCAGAAATTCAGGTAACTCTTAGTAATTTGAACACATTTCTGTTATATCATTGTCTCTAATTTATTCATCACTTGTTTACTGTAGCTTGGATATTTAAGATACATTTGGGATTTTAATAGTTGATACAGTATAGATAGAACATAAGTACTTCCTGGTGATAAGTAGAATTTCTAAAGGCACTCAAGTTCATTTAATTTTACCCTTTAACTTTCCCGTGATAGTTGAACCCAGTAATTTCCATAAAGACAGAATTGACATATAATAATTAATGATGTTTGTATTTGTAGTGGAGATGTTAGATCTATTTCATATGATGGAAGAAAATAAAATGATGGCTATGGTAGAATTAGATATTTTATTGAATATGACTGAGTTAGCAAGATATAAGTAGGTTTAATTATTATTCTTAAGGGAGTCGCGGTGGTTCAATGGGTAAGGCGCCGGTTCGATCCCGGTGTTGGTCGAGAAAGTTTCCTATTATTTCCAAAGATGTATTCCCCTTGTCAATGGTGCAGGGCCTGGCAAGGACAGTGTCTACTCGTGTCAATCGAACGAAATTCCGAGCTCCCGTGTACACGTTACGTTGTCAATGGAACAAAATTATGAGCTCCCGTGTACACGTTGGCGTGCAAGTAAGAGAACCCATGACAGCTGAAATTCGATATTATAAAGAGTAAGTTGTAGCGCCGCTTTCTGGGCAAACTTCATTAGACCAGTCGGTGCAGAAAAGTAGGACGTTAAACACCATTTCGTTTCATTTCAACTCTGTTCTTAAAAGATATTTTAATCATATATTTCAAATCAGACACGGGAGTAACTACGGATTACGTTAGTAAATAAAAGTCGGTCCTCCCCCCCCCCAAAAAAAAAAAACCAACAAGAAAAAAACCCAAACAAAACGGGCCTTCAATACTGTTGCTTGATTACTGTTAGGTTGTAACAAAAACAATCCAATTGGCTTTTATGTCACGATTTGTCTTTCATAATATATAAATATAAAATTCAGGACATTTCCACTTCCAGGACTAATCCATCCCGTAATAAGAGAAAAGCTTTACGTTACGGTCAGTACAGATGGCCTAAGAGTAAGGTTCCATACGAGATCACAGAGTCCGAGTTCAGTAAGTAAAACGTTTCATAATTATTCTTTATTGCTAAATTGTGCCGAAGAAGTTGTTATCTATAGGCTATATTTATAATAAAACTATTTTATCCAATATATACACAAATGAATAATAAGCTTCTACGAATATTAGATGAACAGTATAAATGGTTAAGAATACTAAATCATGTATTTTGGGTTTAAAGGGAAGGTCCAAGATTTCAGAAACACCAGGATATAAATATATGTAAGCAATTTACATTGTCTCAAAGTGGCCTCTTGGACACATATTCTGATATAAAGGACAGGTGCAGGATGGAGAGCCAGACAGGGAACAGTGTCCATTCGTTCTGATGGGACGAAAAGCCATATCCCGTGTACACATTGGCATGCACGTAAAAAAACGTAGGCCGTAGTTCCGCTTTCCGGGCTACATTCCCACCATAGCACATTGTATGGCGTATACCCGTTTTCATTAGCCGGTATAGAAACGTAGGACGTTAAACCCCCTTCTTATTTTTTTCAATTGATAAATGAGACTAAGGCTTATGGTCACGGTTATCTAGACATGACTATGATAGCTGCACGGGAGTAAAATATATATATTGATGAATTGTCACATGGCTTGATTGAGTCTGGGGACCCATTTGTCGTTATTCGCTGTCTATTTACCATAAATATTGATGAGCAAGTAAATTATTGGATTATCCGCCGTTTAATCCCAAAGTCTCTGTACCGCCAGCCAAAGCGCCCCTTACGTCATCCCAACAGGCAGCGGGGGAGGGACCATTTTACGTTGTGGTCCTACATAGGTGTTTTCCAGGGAATCCAGTATTTTTCCTAGTAAGGTGTGTCTACTTTCCATATTACCATACTTTTATGGGTGATATTGGGTGTCTCGCCATATTTTAAATATTTTAGTGGGAATACATTTTTAATGTGCGTTTAATTTTATTTATTTAGCTGGACGAGACATAGAAATGATTCAAGATGCCTTTAAAGATTGGGAGACATACACGTGCTTGGAATTTAAACAAGTTCAATCATCTGATGCAAATAGGTACCCTGATAGAATAGTGTTTAAAAATGGTGATGGGTGAGTACAATTTATTGATAGGAAATAACCTCTCTTACTATCTGCTCAACTCCAAACTACAAACATCCTAGAAATTAATCGGCTAGTGGGGGTTTCCCTGTAGATGATAACGTCAATGCTCCATGCAGGTTTTGAATAGGAGGCCGCCATCCCAACATCTTGTGTTTTCTCGGGGATATCCGCTTTCCTCCCACTACTAAAGACATGTTAGTTATTGGAATAATATACCATGACAAGGGCGGATCCAGATGCCATGGATACGGGCTCACCCAGGGAATTTCGAAAACTAGAAGCCCATAAATGCCATTTTCAGGGTGGAGGGTACTAGAACCACCCTTGCACGATACAAGGGTGGGTTGAGGAATCTGAGCACCCTGGGGGGGGGGGGGGGGGGTCGGGAGAGCAAGATGGAAACATCATCAAGTTTGCCGTGAGGTTTGTGGACTTACACGAGAATTTAATAAAATTCAGAAGCCCATGATAGGATCAGAGTGGAGTGACTAAGTGGCAGTGTTTATTCGACGTTATTTCGATGAATAGCCTATAGGAGACAGGAGCAGAGGAGGGGGGGGGGGGAGGGCGTGTTAAATGGACTGTTATAATAAAAGATATTTCTACATTTCAGATGTTATTCTAGATTAGGTCGAGTTGGTGGACCACAACCTATAGCTTTAGGCAGGGAATGTCGTCGGGTAAGAGAGCCTTTGTACTTTTTGGGTGTGAACAACTGAAATTACTTGTGAAGTAGTCTTGTAACACAATGGTGTACGCTCGTATGCATTATTATCATAATATAGGCCTAGTAATGATAATTATTATCATAATATAGGCCTAGTAATGATAATTATTATCATGATATAGGCCTAGTAATGATAATTACTATAAGGTATCATGACACGAGAAGAGCACAGATCCACTATGGATTGTTGATGCTGTTCTTATATTTATTTATATTTATTTTAATTTAGAGAGGAATTGTTGTGCACGAAATTGGTCATGCTATTGGTTGGATTCATGAGCATGCTCGTCCTGATAGAGATGAGTATATTACGATTAACTATGCTCAGATTCCATTAAACAAGCATCCACAGTACGACAAAGTTGATGCCGGAATTATAAATGATTTTAATGTGGTATATGACTACACCAGCATTATTCATTACTCTGGAAGGGTAAGTACAAAAATAGTTCTTTACAATGCAATACCGAATTGATAAGTCAATGTGCTGTAAACTTATTACAACAACAAATAATCTAACTTATTGCAGACAAAAATAGAGAAACTTATACAGACTTGTTACAGTAACGCATATACACTAGTGTTACAGTAACAAATACACGAACGTGTTAACAGTAATACATATACACACGTGTTACAGTAACACAGACAGGCGTGTTACATTTATTACAGTAACAAATATACAAAGTTATTAGTAACAAATAGACCTCGTGTTACAGTAACACATATACAAAGATATTACAGTAACAATCAGGCAAACTTATTACAGTAACAAACAGGCAAACTTATTACAGTAACAAACAGGCAAACTTATTACAGTAACAAACAGTAAACGAAAATGGAAAAGAAATTAAAATTAATTTATGTCCATAATGCAGGAGAAATTAGCTGTAGACATTCCACCAGGTCCATTTGCTCCGTCCTCGTCATCCCGGTTGGTGCAGAAAATAGGACGTTAAACCCACCCCTTGGGTTCGTCTATGATATGCTTTTAGGATCATAGATATAAAATATGTTTAAAAAAAACAACACTATTTTTTCGTTTTCTTATGAAACTGTTACTGTAGTTTCAAAATCGTTTATGTTATTCCAGGCTTTACACAGGTCACAATTTTATGGAATACAGTTACTGTTTATTACAGAGCGACATTTCGACTAGACTCAGTAATAACAGTATTTGTTTTCCATAAAATTGTAACCTGTGTATTTCCAGTTCGGTTACTAAACACCATTTAAATAATTTATTGCAGGCTTTTGGAGAAGGAACAATCATAACAAAAAAACCAACATACCAAAACAAAATTGGACAAAGAGACGGCTTAAGTTTTCGAGATATTAAATTGGCTAATTTGATGTATGGCTGTGCCGCAATGAGTTAGTATAGTTAATATCATTCCAAAGCATATCAATTATCAGTGGGTTAATATAATTTATATCATACAAACGAGTTAGTTTAGTTTGTATCATACCAATGAGTTGGTATACATGTAGTTTATATTATATCAATGATTTAGTATAGTTTATATCATATCAAATGTCAACTTCTTGAAGAGATAATCGTTCTGATCACAATCAGTGATTTATTTTAAAAGAACGTACAATTCTGTTTTCGATGTAAATATGACTGTAATTTAAGGGCGTCATTAAAGCTTCTTGGTGTATGTCGAATAATTATCGCAAGTCTGTTGTTTGCTGACTCAATTTATACGCTATATATTCAATATTATACGTCCTACAACACAGGTTTGTTAACTATAACTGAACGTCACAATAGAAGTGAAACAATCATACGTCATTACCCATAATTGATGGCTTGAACTATTTATTACAAACACGACAATTGAGATATTTTATCGTCTGTTACCACCCATGTCAACACACTGACATGTCGGATGCAAGACACATTAAGTTCAATCTTCTTATCCATTTTAGATAAATGTCCTGAAGAAAAGCAATGTCCTGGAGAAGGATATGTTGGTAAACATTGTAAATGTTATTGTCCTGGTAGTCCTGGTAAACCTATAGAAGAATGTCCAATAACAACAACAACAACAACAACAACAACAAGACAACCCGTTATAACAACAACAAGGCGACCCGTTATAACAACACAACCACCAACTAGAGGTTAGTAAAGTCCAACAATACTCGGGAATTATGGGTTCTCTCCTTAACCTCACATGATTTGAAAGTATCTAATCTGATTAAAATCAGATCTCAATTTCACTTCTTTATTTATCTCATTTAGAAAAAAAAAACCGAGACGTTTTGGATGTCTGTGCTCTTGGCGGGCTTAATAGGTTGATTAAACGTGTTTATTTATTTATAGGTCTTCCCCAAAATGATGTATTCGCGAACCATAATCTGTGACAGTCAAGGTCTACAATCAGGCAATGTGTACAATGCCTGAAATATACCAGTCAATGTGTACATTGCCGGGTTAGGGTTAGGTTTAGGTTTAGGGTTAGGGCTAGGGTAAGGTTTGGGGTGGGGTTAGGGTTACAAAGGCATTGTACACATTGCCTGATTGTATAAATTGACTGTAACATATCGACTATACTTAATGGACTAATTACTAACTTGTACTGTTCCAGTCCCCCCCGCCCTCCTCCTCTTCCTCACAGAAAAAAAAATGCTCACGGATAATAACGGTTACAGATTGAAGTTTCATCATTTTGTTATTTCAGTATGTAGAGATGTTATAACAACCTGCAGTACGTTTAAACAGGATGGTCAGTGTCAAAGAGATAAAGCTAGAATGGCGTTATACTGTAAATTAACATGTGAACTTTGTGATGAGGGTGAGTGATTTCATTTAATACATACATACACGAACTGCATAGGAAGTTCTCGTTCAATTTATCGACATAAACTGTTATACAGGCCTCGATCTGTTTCCTCTGAATAATCTATTTGGTTAGATAATATTTAAAGGAACTAAATCGCTAATATTTGGGATCTAGAAATTGACACAAATGGGTTGCAACGCATATAATAGTGATTTACATTCAATCGTTTCCGTTTCTACGCCAGAAGTCTCAATCGAATGATAATCTCTAGCACCTGGTTATTCCAGTCTACACCGATAGTATTTATTGCGTATGCTCTCCAATAAGAATATGACGTCACCGTTTGACATGACTCGTGGAATTTGTCTAGCCGCATTCTTGCAGTTCCTTGTTACAAATGTAACGCATTATGGTACACGAGTCTTGTACCAGTGGCAAAATGTTTATTTTGTCTTAAATATTGGATATCAGAAGCTCCTCTTTTCCCAGTAAGATCACAACATCAATGTTGATTGAAACTGACAAATAATTCGTCGCGTTTCTGGCGAACCGACGAATCTGATTTATTTAAGTATTGAGAATTATGCTTATGAAATTTGCGTTCTGTTGTTATGTCTGTAGCCATCAAATAATAACATTTATGTAAATGGCGTTCGGTGTCCTGATGTATATGTATGAAATATTAAATCACAAATGAATGTTATTATTTGATGTCCACAGATATAACAACAGAACGCAAATTTTAAACAATGTGTTTTCAATGTCGAAGACTTTGGATGATATTGAGTTTAATATATTTAATCGAATTGCTAAATATTATTAGTCAGATTTGTTCTTTGACGATTTGATGAAAGGCTTCAGTATTGTCAGACTAATGAAATAAAATGTGGTTTAACTAGTCCCCCGATATTATTGTTTTAAGTTTCTGTTTTTATTTGGTTTTCAGATTTAAATAAAATGTGTATGGATTTTGGCGATGCTTGTCCAATATTTGCTTCTGCTGGATATTGCAGCTTGACAGGAATTTCCGAATTCGTAAAAGCAGAATGTCCCAAATCCTGTAAATTATGTGAACCCCAACGTAAGAATCTAATTAGATATTTTACTAACATGATTATATTACTAACCAAGTAGGGGTTATGAAGAATTTCTGAAAGGGTGGGACAGAGTGTGAAAATATCCATTTACTCCAAAGTGAGCCCGACAATACCTTGGAAGAATAGAGAAGAAAGCGAAAGATCAAAATGGTTAACAATGCAATAAACCAACATAATGTGATGAGGCTGATTAAAGAGAGAGAGAGTAGAGGAGAGAGAGAGTAGAGAGAGAGAGAGAGAGAGTTTAACGGCCACTCGACACAGACTAGGTCATTTTGGGACTAACATATGGTTCATTTTAATTTCAATAATTCGCTTGCGCGTAGGGGTCTTTAGCATTGGGAGGATAAAACCAGAGGACTTGGAGAAAACCCACGAACTACTTGTAACGTACAGGCGGAAATCGAAACCATGCCACTTAACTCAACAACAGATCTTATGATCTAGACCCAAGCGCATGCGCTAGACCATTCAGTCACTCCCCCCGCCCCCCCCCTGAAAGAAAACATATTTTATGGTTTAATCAGATTTTGCCCAAATTAAACAATTCAAGAAAGCAAGAGAATTTAAATTGTTAACTTATTGTATTTATCTCTTTATTTCAGTGGCGTGTTCCCAGTCAGATTTCTTTAACAGTGGAAGCATTCCAGATTTAAATAAACTCTTAATTTTTTTAGTTGTCACTTTGATTAAGTTTTAAATTTCAAATTCTCGTTGAGTAACATTATTTGTTATATTTATATATAATTTATTTTTTAAATGTAAATAAAAAATTTATACGAAACGTCACAACCTATCATGTCATTTTATAAGCGTCTGACCTCGCCGTTTAAAACAGGAAAGAGGGTAGGAAATATAGTCCACTCGTGACAACTGAGTAGCATATTATGTCAGTTCATCATTTTAATAAATTGCGTTCGCATAGGTTTCTTTACCGAGGACAGCAACAAGGATGTGCAGGATTTTCTACTCCTTACCACGTGCAATAATTTTAATGAACTCACAAACAAATCCGTCGGACAATCTGCAGGGGCAACGTTTAAGACCATTAGGCCACTAATGCCCTATTTCCACCTATTTTTTGAAGAGTCGTAATCCACATAGCCATAGGCCTACAGTTCAAATCGAATTTTAAGCAATGTAAATTTAGTGGAGGACGAACACCACATCAATGAAAGCAAATATACACCGCCTGACTAAATTATACGTAGCGTTAACTATATATATAACATTTAAACGACATGAAAATCACCCCAGACATACCAAATTTTCGAATGATTAAATGTGATCATCAAGGGTTATAAACACTGTGTACAAATTTAAAGTCAATCGGATATTAACTTTAGCCTCTAGAGCGTCCAAAAGATTTTTCAAAGTGATCAAGGGCTATAACTCTAGCAGTAATTATCGGAAATCGCTGAAAATCAATAGACTTCCTAGTCTCATGACTTTAAACATTGTGTATAAATCTAAAGTCAATCGGTTACAAATTTTAGCTTCTGGAGCGTCCACAACATTTTCAAAGAAATCAAGAGCGATAACTCTGGCAGCAATTTTTGGATATCGCTGCAAATCAATAGGCAACTTCCTTTCATAACCTTAAACACTTTGTATAAAATTAGATTTAATCGGATATTAACTTAAACCTTTTGGGCGTCCACAAGATTTTAGAAAGTGATCATCAAGGGGCATAAACACTGTGTATAAATTTACTGTCAATTGGGTATTAACTTTAGCCTCTAGAGCGCCCAAAAGATTTTTCAAAGTGATCAAGGGCCATAACTCTGGCAGTAATTGTCGGAAATCGTTGAAAATCAATAGGATTCCACATCCCATGACCTTAAACATTGTGTATAAATCTAAAGTCAATCGGTTATAGACATCATTCGGACATCATTTAGACACCACTTGGATTAGAACGACCCGTTAAGTCGCAGGGGAGCCATATGATGTTGGTTGTGGGGTTCCGTCAGTAAACTTGTCCTACGAAATGGTGGGGTCGAGAGGTACAGGGAATGACGTTAATGGTAATCTATGTTTGTAAACACAAGCTGGGGATAGAGAACTTATATTTAGCTTATATTTAATGTCATAGCTGTGTGTGTAGTTTCCTGTATATAACCTTTGTATTATCGATGCTGTATTCGATATATAAACTATAGTTATCGTAAAAAGTTAATTTATCATATGCACAACGTGAACGTCCTGACTAGATAAATGTCACCCTAGTGTCACGGACCGTATACACAATTTGAAATTAATTCATAATTCATCTATTTAACGACACCGTAGTGTCACAGTTTTCTCTTTTTGGTTCCGCGACACAGGATAATGTCACATAAATTCAAGCTTAGTACTGAATACATGAAAGAACCAATAGAAATATTGACAAAATAGAGTCGTTTGGATCGAATGACAAACCGAAGTACCGTGTACAATCCGTCTCCGTTAGCCCAGTTGGAGCAGAACAGTAGGACGTTACCCCCCCCCCCCCCCGCACCCACCCACCTGGATGCGTTAATAGCGCCCACAGTCAAATTACATTTTAAAAATTATGTAATGGTAAATTACATTTCAATTAAGACGGTATATTAGATTTAGATTCAAAATTCTAACGTGCTATCGTCTAATTTCTAACTTCTATTCATGTAATTTTTAACTTCCATTCATGTAATTTCTAACTTCTATTCAAGTAATTTTTAAGTTAAGACAGTGTATAATCCAACATCTTTATTTATTCAGTGTAAATTTTAAATCTATTTCATCTTATTTCTATTATTTAGACGAAAAACGTCATCTTCATTGATGCCATCAACGAATTTAGAATTTTTACACTTCTGCCTAGCAACCATCATTATGAAGTCGTTTGGTGTCGCCACTGCGTGCTCATGTGGTGATTGCGCACCTGGTCGGGGTCATTATGTTGATATAAACGACTGGCTCTTCGTCTGGAAATGAAATGGGATTTAACGTCCTACTGTTCTGCTCCGAACTGGGCTAATGAAGACGGGTATACGCCATACAGTGTGCTATGCTAGAAATTTTGCCCACACTACGGCCTACTCTTATATCGAATTCCAACTGCCAAGGGGTCTTTTACGTGCACGCCAATGCGTACACGGGACCTCGGTTTATCATTCCATCTGAAAGACTAGACAGCTGTCCTTGTTAGGTCCTCCGTCTTGCATCACTGATAAGGGGGAACCACGCCGGCTCTTCATCTGGTTGATGAACGGAGCGCTGAAATTGAGAGAGAGAGAGAGAGAGATTCAACGACCACTCGACACAAACTAGGCCATTTCGTGACTAACATATGGTTCAATTTGATTTCAATAATTCGCTTGAGAGTAGGGCCTAACAGTGGGAGGAAACCGGAGGACCCGGAGAAAACCCACGAAGTTGGACAGGCGACTCCACTTCTTGTGACGTAGGCCACAACCGCCGAACCGGGGAATCGATGCTGATATTGAAAACAACATCGAACGTGATATGGTTGGCAAACCATGTCACGTTCGATGTTGTTTTCAATTTCAACACACCGCCAAACAATTCAACATGACGAAGAGCGAGTCGTTGGTATCAACATAATGGTGCCGATCAGGTAGGACTGAGCACACGGTGGCGACACCAAACAACGTCATAATGGTGGTTGCTAAGTAGAAGTAACAAGATTCTAAATTTGTTTGACTTTCATGTTTAACATGAAAAGCGACAACAAAGTAGACATTTTTCGTCTTAATAATACAAATAAGTATGGAAGCCTATAACTACCATTCATAATTTCTACTTTTCGCTTCTTCAGAACACGAAAGTCGAAAAGTCGAAAAGTAGAAGTTACGACAAAATGCGAGGCGACAAGACGGTATACAAGCCTAAATCTACTCGAAAATAGGAAATTAAGAAATAACACACAGCGATAATAGCGCCCCTCGTTTTTTCCTAATTTCTTATTTTCGACTTGCATTTTGGCTTGTATACTATACCGCCTTGTCGAATTTCGACTTAGTCATATTTTTGTATTTATTGATGTCAGTAAGAAGGCCCCAACACGCATACCAAGCCAAAATCCAACTCGAAAAGTAGAAATTAGGAAATTAACGCAACACGCTATTAGCGTCTTTTCGCCTCGGAAGTTGTTGTAGTCTCAGTTTTCCAGGTCGCATTTGAATACGTGCAATCAGGGCTGTATTTCATTCTTTTCCGTCAAAATGGATAATAATTTTTATATAAAAAAAATCTTCATATTTTTTTTTCCGCAAACTGGGATATTTTATCTGCCAAAAATGTCTGATAAAAAAAACACATCTTAGGCTACAACAATTTAATTTATTATATAGGCCTAGTATAAAACAATTCCCCGTACCGATATATACAATATACAACAACATACATGGGGATTGGGTGGTCTAGTGGTTTAACACGTGCGCGTGAAATCACAAGGTCTGACATTGATTCAAGTTGTGTGGTTTCGATTCCCCACAAGGGAGTAGGATTGCTTGTCCAACCTTGTGGGTTTTCTCCGGATACCCCAGTTTCTATCCACTGCTAAAGACCTTTACGTGCAAACGAATTATTGAAATGATTTAGTTTGCAACGAGTGGATGTTAAGCCAGCCTGGAGGTCGGGTGTTCGATCCCTGCATTGGTCGAGAAAGTTCATCCAGATGTTCCGGCGGATTCCCCCTTGTCAGTGATGCAGGACGTGGAGGTCGGGTGTTCGAACCCTGCATTGGCCGAGAAAGTTCATCCAGATTTTCCGGCGGATTCCCCCTTGTCAGTGATGCAGGACGGGGGGGGGGGGGGGGGCTGACAAGGACAACTGTCGCCTACCAAGCCAAAATGCAACTCGAAAAGTAGGAATTAGGAAATAAACACACGCGATATTAGCGACCTATCATTTTGGCTTACTGTCGTACTGTCGAAAAGTCAAAAAGTAGAAGTTACGATAAAATGAAAGGCGACAGCACGCTATACAAGCCAAATCGACAGAAAATAGGAAATTATTAGCGACCTATCATTTTGGTTTGCTGTCGTATTGGCGACTTTTCGAGTTTCGCCTCGGAAGTGACTGTAGTCCCAATTTGCCAGGTCGCATTTAAATACATGCATTTCGCGTTAACAAAATAGTCTGTATGATAAAGTCTAGTATTGAAGGCGATATTAGCGACCTATGATTTTGGCTTGCTGTCGTGCTGTCGACTTTTCGCCTCGGAAGTTGAAGTAGTCTCTACTTTCAAGGTCACATTAGAACACGCGCATTGATAATTGTATTTCATTTACTGTGGCTTCATTCCACATATGGCACGTAGAGACTGAATATATACGTTCAGTAGATGTGGAAATATCTAAAGACAACAAAAATAAATTCTGATCTTAGTGGATCACCTCAAAACTGTGCTAATGTATTTTGTGGAGAGAGAGAGAGAGAGAGGGAGAGAGAGAGAGAGAGGGGGGGGGGGTAACGTCCACTCGAGACAAACCAGAGACTAGCATGGTGCAATTTTATTTTAAAAATTGGCGATGAGAGAGAGAAAGAGAAATGAAGTGAAATAAAATTGGGGTTTAACTACCTACTGTTCTGCTCCGTACAGGGTTAATGAAGACGCCAATGTGTACAAGGAAACTCGGTTTTTCGTCCCACCCGAACAACTAGACAGTTGTCCTTATCAGCCCCCTCCCCAGGGGGGTTGGATGGCCGAATGGTTAGCACGTGCGTGCTGTATCATAAAGCCTGTCATTGAGTCAACTGGCGTGGTTTCGAATCCACGGTTGTACGTGACAAGGAGTAGGGTC